ACCATGGCGCTTCATTACGTCATAAAGTCCATGGTTCACCTACCCTAACCTAACCAAACCTAACCTAACCTAACCTAATCTAACCTAAACAAACCTAACCAAGCTTTACCTAACCTAACCAAACTTAATCTAACCTACATAGTATTACGATTTCTTTTACTTCAAAACACTCAAACTCAAGCTCCCTCCTACCCCCCCCTGTAAAACACCCAAACCCCAAGCTTTTCCCCACATTAAAACACTCAAACTCAAGCTTTCCCCTTTAAAACACCGCACTCAAGCTTCCCCCCACTTTAAATCACCCCACTCAAGCTTTCCCCACATTAAAACACTCAAACTCAAGCTTTCCCCTTTAAAACACCCCACTCAAGCTTCCCCCACACTTTAAAACACCGCACTCAAGCTTTCCCCACACTTTAAAACACCCCACTCAAGCTTCCCCCCACTTTAAAACACCCCAACTTAAGCTGACACCTTCACCGACGCCATCTTACCTACTCCCACCTTCAATTCCCCTTCTTGGCTGACCCCATTCTGTCCTGCAACGTCTTAACACGAACGTAAACAATGGATCCACATAACTCATAATCACCCACGTCCCCCCCCCCCCCCCTACGCCGCAGCCCCCACCCCCCGACCAAAATATAGGTTAATGAGGCTGTCGTGGGTTATGGACACTGAATTAAACTTAACACACATGGGAAATGTTTCATCTCACTTCACCCTTGACCTTCTATCTGTCTGTCTGTCTGTCCTTTTGTCTGTTTGTGTCTGTCTGTCTGTCTGTCTGTCTCTCTCTTGTCGGAATCTTTATCACTCTAACCCTTGACCTTCTCTCTCTCTATCTCTCTCTCATAAGCCAACCACCCACAACACTCCTCTTATGGTTCTAATTAACCTAACATATGACTTACTCCATGCGTCGTGTGTACAGTATATGTGTGTATGTACGTGGTGTTGGGTGTACCGTGTATGTATGTACGTGGTGTTGTGTGTACCGTGTATGTATGTATGTGGTGTTGGGTGTACCGTGTATGTATGTACGTGGTGTTGGGTGTACCGTGTATGTATGTACGTGGTGTTGGGTGTACCGTGTATGTACGTACGTGGTGTTGGGTGTACCGTGTATGTATGTATGTGGTGTTGGGTGTACCGTGTATGTATGTATGTGGTGTTGGGTGTACCGTGTATGTATGTACGTGGTGTTGGGTGTACCGTGTATGTATGTATGTGGTGTTGGGTGTACCGTGTATGTATGTATGTGGTGGGTGTACCGTGTATGTATGTACGTGGTGTTGGGTGTACCGTGTATGTATGTACGTGGTGTTGGGTGTACCGTGTATGTATGTATGTGGTGTTGGGTGTACCGTGTATGTATGTACGTGGTGTTATTGTACCGTGTATGTATGTATGTGGTGTTGGGTGTACCGTGTATGTATGCGTGGTGTTGGGTGTACCGTGTATGTATGTACGTGGTGTTGGGTGTACCGTGTATGTATGTACGTGGTGTTTGGTGTACCGTGTATGTATGTACGTGGTGTTGGGTGTACCGTGTATGTATGTACGTGGTGTTGGGTGTACCGTGTATGTATGTATGTGGTGTTGTGTGTACCGTGTATGTATGTATGTGGTGTTGTGTGTACCGTGTATGTATGTACGTGGTGTTGGGTGTACCGTGTATGTATGTATGTATGTAATTGCCGAGGTAACAACCCTCATCAAGGTATCATAAATATACCTCCTATAAAGAGTATATTTGTTCCCATTTGATATAGGAGAAGAGTATACCACTTTTCATAGACGCTATATAACTATACCTCCAGAGAAAACGAGGTTAATGAGGGTAGACTGTACTAGATTCACCTTATGGCTTTGTTTTTCTCTCTCTGTCCACCCGTATTTTTACTGACCTTCGCATAACTTGTATTTTTTGCTTACCAATTACCAGGAACCTAATCTAACCTAACCTAAAACACACACACACACATCCTCATCTCCTTGGGCAAATTAGTCAGTGTGTGAACTGCTGTAACATTAGACCCCAGCCTCCCTCCCTCTCTCAGCAATGTCTTTCTCACAGTAGATGTAATTCAATATATAGCAGAGGTGTAGTTCAAGGTCAGGGGGTGAGGGGGGTCAGGGTGGGTGGGTGAGGGTGGGTGAGGAGGAGAGGGGTGAAGGTATGTGTGTGTGCATTCACAAATCGACGTCTTGTGGTAATGGCGTTCTTATTTACCAGTGAGGAACAGTACGTTTGGCCATGACCCGGGTGTATTTATGTATGTATGTATGAGGACAGGATAAGTATGATTAAATTCTTATGTTAGGTTAGATTAGATTAGGTCAAGTTACGTAAAGTCCAACAATGTTACATAATATCCACGTCATTTCAAAATTGACCAATGTTATTTTTACCCCACAACCTATTTCCTCCCTGGCCACCTCTCACGGAAGATCCCCCCCCCCCATCCCCTCCCCAGGCAATTTTTTCCGTGTTTCTGGCCACACTGAGACACAATAACGTCACATCTCTCAACACTATCATTGTCTGGTCTCACTCGCCCTCCAACACGTAGTGACTCCAAGAACATTTTTTTCTCCCCTCCATTAGAAATTTTATTGTGAAAAAGGTTAAGTATTGAAGCACCAGACCCGGATTTAACCTAATTTTAACTTAATTTACTCTAACCTAACCCGAATTTAACCTAAAAACTTAACCTAACTTATACTAAACTAATCTAATCTTACCCTAACTTAAACGTAACCTAACCGTAACCTAACCTAATTAAACCCAATGTAACGTAACCTTAATCTATCCGGAACTTGACTAAAATAACCCAACCCACCCTAACCTAACCTACCTCTCACCTAGCTTAACCTAACCAGCCTGACTTCACGCTCTAAGAACCAATCAGGTGTGCTGAAACTGACGCCATTATCTGACGTCACCCCCCCCTACACACACACACACACACACATAACAGGTCATATCATCAACAAAGGCTTATGAGACGCTGGTAATTCAACAACAATAACAACAATAATAATAACAATAATAACAATAACAACAATAATAATAACAATAACAACAATAACACCAATAATAACAACAACAATAATAATAATAACAACTACAATGAACCTGGCTGGTGGGGGGACTATCCTGTATCTGGTTTAGTAGGTCATAGTGCTGACCAACACACGCGAGGGGAAGGTGAGGGAGGGGAAGGGGGAAGGTGAGGGGTGGAGGAGAGAGGGAAGGGGAGAAGGTGGTGAGGAGTGAAGGTGAGGGGAATAGGAAGGGAAGGGGAGGATACGATAGGGGGAGGGTGAGGAGAGGAGAGGGGAAGAGAGGGGAAGAGAAAGGGGATAAGAGAAAAGAGGAGAGGGATAGGTACACAAGCAGGCAGGGGGTGAGAGGAGAAAGGGTAGGTGAATGGTTTCTCTCACTTTCTCAAGGGAGGTGAGAGAAGATGGGGGAGGGAGGGGGGGACCGTAAGGGTAAGTAGGTAAATGAGGAGGATAGGTGAGAGGGAGAAAGTGAAGGGTGAGAGAGGAAGAAAGAGGGGGATGAGAGGGAAAGTGAGAGGGAGGATATAGTTTACTCCCCTCTATAAATATTCACCAGTCACCCCTCTTCATTGTTGCCCCGTTTTCTTTATCATTATTAAATCAGAGGAGGATGAGTTACGTTTGTCTGTACGTCCGTGTGTACCTTAATATGTGTACGTCTGCAAACTCGTGTGCGTGGAGTGTGTGAGTGTGTGGATTAAGCTACCTTCACCCTTATCTTAAACGTCAGGTGGCACTTTCTACCACCTTGACCCTGGCTGTGGCATCTCATGTGTCAGGGGTCAGTTATCGGTGCCAGTGTCTCTCTTATGATGATGTTATGTGGCGGAGGTGGAGAGGAAGTGGGGAGGATGTGGAAGAGGAAGAGAAGAGGAAGGGGAAAAAGAGGTAGAGAGGCAAGATGATGTGGAAGAGGAAGAAAAGGAGAGGAGGAGGAAGATTTCATTGTTTATTCACTTGATCCTCCATGACACAGTGGAGGAGTGATACAAACACCAGTCCTCCTCCCCCTACCTCTACCTCCTCCTCCTCCATGAACGTGTGACCTCCTTCTCCAGACAACAGATGCCACTGTGTGTGTGTCTAGGATGAGTCTGGCCAGTCTGTTAATCACATAAATCCGAGTTAATTGGCCAGTCATATAAGAACTTTGAATCACCTGAAGAATAATCTCCATCCCAGCTTATTTCACCTGAAGATTAACCACCCTAACATTATTTTTTGGGGGGTGAGGTTAAGTTAGGTTAGGGGGGTTAATCTTTAGGTGAAATAAGCTGAGGTGGAGATTCTTCAGGTGATCCCAATTTTTTTTTCAGTCTAGGTGCATTTCTAGTTTTAGGTTAGGTTAGGTTACACTAGGTGGCTACGCTAGGTTAGGTTAGGTTAGGATTCCTACCTACGACAAAGTGCACTCGTGTTAACTATCATATCACATGTATGACTTTAATCCAACTTACCCTTGAGAAGTTAAGCACCAATGTTACTTCAAATATAACCCTCACTCTGCTCCCCCCTCAGCTGATGCCCCACTAGGTTGATCTAATGTCTATTGTTCTCTTAGTGGAGTAATGCTTCACCTTCTACTGACTCACAATCCATGCAGTATTTTGTGTCTCTGTTTAAAAAAAATATAAATTCTATCTAAGTATAATGTTATAGTAGATGATGATAATAATTGAGGAACACAGAACTGATGTAGGATAAGTGTCGGTATGGCCTGAATAACAATATGTATGACGTCTTTCGTTAACATTAATTAAACCTAAACTAACAATGCTACAATCTGCCACTTGAATCATTAAAATATCTTAACTGGTTCCAAAGTTATGGTGATTTGAAGGTTTGTAAACTTTAACTTATCCTACCTCAATTCTCTGCACCTCAACTGGCTTCAAAGAGGTTAAGTTTACATAATAAATAACCATACAGTATTTCTTAGTATACATATATTACCAAAGAAACTTCATAGTCAAATAGTCTATAAATATACATATGGTATGACCTTTCCTCTTAGTCTTACAAGTATAAAATCAACCTTATCAAATATTCATCAAAATCCTCTTAAAACTGAATACCTCTTGATCTATGCAACTAATCTCCGTCCACAATAGAGTACATATAAAAATAGTTAATCTGATGGTTTAAAAGATGTTTCCTCTCTGGTTTAAAAGATCAAGTACAGTACAGAGCTGAGCCGTGTGCAAGAGGGACGTACAGTAAAGTGAAGTCTCCATCTAACGGCTTATGTGAGAGAGGACAGTCCATTATATCGAGGTCTGTTAGATAAGAAACCTCCATCTAACGACCTATACAGTAATGACAGTCCATTATATCGAGGTTTGTTACATAAGAAACCTCCAACTAACGAGGCTTCACTGTATGTACTGAGTTACTTCAATAACTGTATATAGTGAGTACTGTTAACATCTTAACTAATATAAAGAAATACTTGAGGTACAAATAATACAGTACAAACTAAATACAGCAAACAAGTCACTGTCTCTTAAGGAATAAACAATAATATCCAACAAACACACAAACTCTAATGGTCTGGCAGTTCATCAATATCTATGTCTCTCTTCCCTGTACAGTCAATCATTAAAGTCCATTCACCTCTCCCTCTGAACCACGAACCACAGGATTCAGATTCGTGAACCCGAAGCCGTAAACTGATACATCATTCTGTCCATAAATGCTCCGGATTCACGTGTCGGGGTTCGTGATTCAGAGGCGAACGGACAGTAGCAATTGTTTATACATTTTCTCTCCAGACTAACTTAAAATTCCTACATCATAAACTTATACAATTAAGAGTTAATTAAAAGGTAGGAGCCAGGTAGATGGAAAATTTACACATAGTAGCACATTATCTATTGACTTAATTTACCCCCTTGAAAATTTAATAGTAATTTAGTTCAACAAGCACATCATATTGAACACAATGTCAAATATGAACACTGTGGCTCCTTCCGTTATCAACCCATATTGCCCACTCACAGATAAGGATGAAACCGACGGCTCTACCCACTGAACTTGACCAATACCTACGAGTAATAATCAACCGGTAGTCACGGAGAGGAAAAGACAACGTCCTCTTACCGTAACCTCGGTCGAGTGTCACTCGAAACATTCAACCAGAGGAGGAAGCATTAAACACATCGCTATAGTTACCATTCAACCATACATAAAAAATAACTTAAAATATTCTGTGGTTGTGAGCAGATTATGTATAAATCAGTAGAAGTATACATGTATACATTATGACCGTGAATGTATACGGATATACATTAGTGTATACAGTATTTCAGTATACGGGGGGGTTGGTGTATTTCAGTCTATTTCAATCATTATTGCCCTGTCTTGCCACCCTGCAGGACAATGCAGTATGGTGAAGAGTACTAGTGTGTGGTGAACAAATGGGACTCGATTCTACACCTACATGAACAAATGGGACTTAATTCTACACCTACAGGAACAAATGGGACTTGATTCTGCACCTAAAAAAAATGGGACTCAATTCTGCACCTAAATGAACAATACGGGACTCAATTCTGACCTACAGGAACAATATGGGACTCAATTTTGTACCTACAAGAATAAATGGAACTCAATTCTGTACCTACAAGAATAAATGGGGCTCAATTCTACACCCACAAGAATAATGGGACTAAAAGTGAGCCGTCATCCGGTCGATCTCCATCAAGTCTTCAATGATGTCGTCAACCTTGGCTCCGATCTTCTTGGCTATCTCGACTTTCTCAGGCGCTGGTAGGTGCAGGTACGACCAGATAAGCTCGGCGTCCAGGACCGCTCGGGAGGGATTCGTGTTGAGTCTGTAGCGGCTTTGGAATGTGCGGCATGCCTTCGGATTTAGACCTGGAAGAAGACGTAGAGTGAAGGGCGTGAGTTTAGCTCCGAGTGAACATGATCTGAAAATACTTCTTGTTACTACTACTTCTACAACTTATTTTTGCTACCACTACTAATTATTATTATTCTGACTAACTATTTACCACTACTACTAACCAATAACATTACTACAACTACTAACCAATAAAACTGCTACTATTTAATGCAACTACTACTAACCACCACCACAATAATCACCCACATACCAGCAATATGAGGGAGGTGTTGTACTAGCAGGTTATAGATCATGGAGAATCTTCTGTACGTTCTCTCACTAACTGGCAGGACGTAGCCGATGGAGCCGTCGAGAGTTGCCATCATGGTAATGTGTCGCCGTTCGATGTTCTGTCCAGCTCGCCGGTCGCTGGACACATCTCCTAGCCGGCAGCGGATTCTGGAGGAAAAAAAAAAAAATAAAAGTTAAGTTACAGGTCAATACAGAATGAGGATGATGTGGATATGGTTAAAATTTATTACAATATTTCTCTTAGTTCCAAGTTAAGTGGGCCCCAGTGTTCAAGTTAGGTTAGGTTTAGGGTTCGGATAGGGTAGGGTAGGACTAATTACTACTGAGAGCCTGTTTAACCAACCACAACTGGGAATTAATCACACAGGTACAACCAATTCCCAAAGTCAAACTACCATACGACACTTTCCTCACCTGAAGAAGCAGTTAACATGAGACCCCAGGTGAAAGTCCCCCTTCCTGATGAGCCGTGTTCCCCCAGCGCTCTCGTGTGACTCCGGGTTATACGTAAACACCACCAGGTTCCTGTCGGCATCGCTGGCTATGAAGGCCAAGGTCGAGTTGTCCACTAGGTACTGAACGCCATATACTTGTAGGGGTTTGAGGTCCTGCGGAGGAGAGCATTATTGACGTGGATGCTTCGATTACGTCACCTCTTCGTGTTTTTATTTATGCGTTTATTTTACTGAATAGAATGTAAATAAACTGGGAAAAAACGTTAAAATATACAGCCAACCGAACCTAATAATCCTAGGTGATTTTTTTTCCATTAGGTTAGGATGACTTGTGTATTGTGCCATTTCCAATAATTTTTAATACGCCGAGACAAACACCACAATAAAGACTACATACAAGAAATAATAAAAGCTAAAGTAAACATTTATATTGGAGATCATTGTTAAACATATTTCTATTTCAAGTCACAATTAATAACAAAAAAGCCAATACGATATAAATTAATAGTAGTAAAAAAAGGTCACATGATTACCTTTAAAGGGAATTATTTTACAGGACAAATCATGACACAACATTCTGGCTACAAGGTTTGATAATTAATTGAAGTCTATTGTCTTATGGAACTGGAATATTTTCAATCTACATTAAAAAAACCACATAAGCGCTTTACCCTGGAGACAAGCGAGAGCGTTCTGTTCTCTTCCTGAAACCGCAGCAGCAGGACAGATTTACAGACGTCAGCGGCAAGGATGAGGCTCTTGATGCACGTTAACTGGTGAACGTAGATCTGAGTGTCTATAAACGCTATTCCCACCAGGTCGGTATTCTTCAGCTGCCAAATATACACCTGTAAACACAACACACGATATTCTCATTAACTTTAATTCGGAGATACAAGTCTAGCCCAGAATATGAGCACTTGAGATGGGTATGGACTCATAATATACTCATGATATAGGTGTGACATTTTTCTTATATCTACTGTGTGTTACTCCAGCACCTTCTGTCCTATGGCTGACACGAGGAGGCCCATACAGTGAGCCAGAGCGGTGACGGGGCCCTTCTGCTCCCCCTCGTACAGCATCTTCAGACGGTTCTTGGTGAGTGGCTGCCCCGGCTCCGGCACCACATCGATGACGTCGAAGATGAGAATTCGTCCACGGCAAGTGATGTCTTCGCCAAAGCTGTGAGTTAATGTTGAATATATGTTAAAATATTGTAGTTGGTGTGTATGAAGACTGAAGGGGGGGGGGGGTAAAGGAATATTCGGGGTTGGATCATAGTTGGTGAGTGAGGGAAGCAAAGATGCAAGCACACATATACACACACACACCAGATATAAAGACGCATCACATACAAAGACAGACAGACAGTGAGACAAACTTACTGCTCTGTCCCCCCATAACTCCCACTCATCAAGTAACGAAGACAAACGACCACTTCAACTCACCAGTAGGTCGTGCCGAGGGCCAGGTAGCCCCTCAGACCAGACCTGTCTCCCTCGTAGGCCAAGATGACATTTTTGAAGCAAGTGATGTGTTCCCACGCCTCTAAGTAGTAATCTGTGTTGGGGATCATCTGCGAGACACAACAGTACTTCCGTTAGTCTATGTCTATAAGATATTCAGGTAAAAAAATATTCTCCCAGGTCTTTACTATGAAGTCTTAATATTGTAATAACTTCAACTCTAATAACCTAACTGCCCCACAATGATGTTAGGGTGGTTAATCTTCAGGTGATATAAGCTGAGGTGGAGATTAGTCAGGTGATAAAAAACAATCATGATTCCAACTTTACCTGCCAATTGACTGGAGAGAAGAGCTGGATGGAAAACATGGGCGCTTGTACCTGGAGAAAACGCTCGTCTCTTTCCTCCTGTATTTCCTCCTACCAAAACCAAAATTAAAGTTCAATGCAAAGTTCAGTAAAAAATAAAGTTCAGAGTAAGTTCAATACAGTTCAATAAAAATAAAACTATCGGTTCTCAAGAGTGAAAAACAAACACACACACACAATACAAGATCTCTAATTATCAGAAGAAAAACAAATTACTGCATCTAAATTTAGTGGACCTGCAAAGACTTCTTGAACGAGGTGATCCATAAAACGATATAAATTGCAAATGGCCTCATCTGTGACCTCAGCCCCAACTACACCATTGACACATTGAAATGATCATTATTCCCTCCTCTTCAAGAATGCAGGGGGAGGGGAGGGGTAAGAAGTGTTAACATAGAAGGAACAGAAACAATAGATTCTCATACAAGGGGGTAAATTTTGTATGCTTTTAACCTCTTCATTACAGGGACGCCGCTTTTAATATTCTATTCAGCGAAGACCAGATGATTTTATTCAGGTTATATGGGATCCTGTACTGAAGTAAAATAAAATATAAATGAAAAAATTAAATACAGAGCGAGTCAGATCTTACCTTATCATCTCCGTTAAACTTCCAGATTTTGAGAGTAGGTTCAGAGCTCGACGTAACAACGCAGTAAGTCTTGGTCTCCAGGTGGTGGACGATGAAGTGCGGCGTACACCTCAGTGGCACCTTCCTCACTGGCCATGGAGCATCGTAAGACAGGATTGTGGGTAATAGGCAGATTCTGAGGGATTCCTGAAAAAGATGAAATGAGAGTAAATGAAAAATCCTGAATGTTGGAACAAAAATAGAAATACTGTATGTGAAGTTTATCAGTTTGGTTAGGTTAGATAAGGTTAGGTTAGGTTAGTTTAGGTTAGGTTATACATACATTATAGGAAAACAATTATTGCATAAGATTACTGATAAGCCATGATGGACTGAGAAATAGGAAATGGTGTTCGAGCGCTTTCATGCATTATCGAGACGTCTTCAGAATCAACAGATATTTTCATGTATTATCAAGACGTCTTCACAAACAACAGATGCTTTCATTTATTATCAAGACGTCTTCAGAAGCAACAGACGTGAGGGGAATACACCAAATAAATACAGTACGGTAATTCCAGGCCAAACACTAAGTAAAACAAGATCAGTTTAGTATGGATCAGGTCCCACAACTGTCTCGCTGTAGTTACCCCTAAATAAATTTACTATGAATGGGTCTAGTGAGGAAAACACCCCCATTTATAATTATACTCCAATTTTATATATATATCTAATAACTACAGGTACAGGGAGGACAAAAAACAAGAAAAGAAACACCACCTCAGCACCAAGTCCCCCCCCCTCGGTTAAGAGAAAACGGGAGGAGAATTCTGTGCCAAGTCTGGTGGTGGAGAGGAGTAAAAATAGACCAGACTCTGCCCGACCATCCTCCTCCCTCCCTCAACAAAAACAATCCCTCCACCCACTGGACTCTGGTGAGCACCCTTTACCCTCTACGGTGTCGGCACATCAATTCATCGCCGCTAATTGTGACATAAACAAGTAACCGTGACGATGCAGGATAAATAAATCTGTTAATTCTCATCCATCACTGTAAATATAAGCCAAATATGTCTCAATAATCAACTACATGAGGTGATTTTCTCATTAATTCAGAATCTTTAGATAAATTAAAAGCCATAAATAAAACAATTACATCAGGTAATAACTCTTATCAGTGCTTTATCAAGACTTTTACCAAATGACATGTGATATATCTACTGGAATTCCTGAAATATTTACAGTGGGGCCTTCAACAGGAGAGGATCTGCTGGCCTAAACACATACAAATACGTTAATTAAATAGTGATACATATGTGTGTGTGATCAGTATGGAGGCATAATTTCATGTGTAATAAATGACTCATTCTTTGTGATCAAGTAAGTGACAATAGTTCTCTTTTTATAATAAATATACAAAATATATAAAAGAAATATATTAAAAAAGTGACACAGAATAATACAATACATAGAGCAATGAAGAAAATATAACTCATCAGTCAAGTGGATAAAGTTTGTTTGTTAAATAACATAAGTAGGAAATTTCTGAGGCAAGGGAATAATTTACTTGTGGTAATTATGAAGTTAGAAAAACATGATATAAAGTAATTGTGAATTACCGAATTTGTGTGTGGGGGGAGACGAGAGAGAGGAAGGAGGTGGGGTAAGAAAATTGCTGAATACCGTCTGGAATTTTTATCGAAACGGTGAATCATGTGTTGAAGAGTTTGTCAAGAGGAGGTAAACTTGTTCTTAGTGTAGGTAAGAGATTCTGTCAAGGATATATGTCGTCACCAAGCTTGTTTAATACAGGGGTACGTCTCCATATCTACCCCCATTACTCACCTATACCTACAGGAAATCAATTATGTAGTGGCAGTTATTTACATATTAATAGTAGAGTGAGAAGCAATAAGCCACACAGATCATAATTTTCTTCTCATAGTCAAACTTCTAATAGAATTTTCTTATAATGTTACTTGAGTTATTTTCTCTGAGTCTACAGGAAAACACGACAGCAGATTCTATAGTGTTTAAGACTCTGACTGTGGTGGTCCTTTGGCACTACTGAAGTATTGATTTTCCAGAGACTTGGACACTTGGACACTGTTTGGCAAATGGTAAATACAACATGTGTTTTCAAGATGTCTATTGAATTACAGTTTGTGTTTCTGATTGTGAATAATACTTCTATAGTTTTCCATCTTGTTTTAGTATTTTCCCATCGACTTCCAAGCCTATTCTCCGCCACTCCCTATTATTCCCACCTTTCTTCAGAGTTTCTGATCGACATTAAACAAAAATGAGATATAAACAATGATAAAAGAGAGATGGATGAATAGAAAGGTTACTGAACTATCAAATGTTCAGTCTTATGAGGATATTTCTAAGGCCATTAAGGTAAATACGACTAATTAATTATCCCCCGACAGATCGCCTCACCATCATGGCCGAGAGTGACCACGAGACCCTCACAAGTGAATCTGGCATGAGGAAGTTTTTCCGAGGTATTCTGCCACACTGGCCGGACTCATCGCCACAGGGAGGAGCAACGCCGGTACATAATGAAACATTGGACACGGGTGAGCAAATAAACTCTTTTAAACTTGTTGTAGGAGAAGAATGTCAAAGTAGAGAGTGTGTGTGTGTGTGTGTGTTTCTCTTGATCCTGACCACCACGTGATACTGTACTGTGGTAAAAGTTAGTGCTGTAAATGGGAGTAAATACGATGATAATGTACTATTTTTACGTGGTTAAGTGCGTAATAGCTCCCCTTTAACAGGTAATGGGGAATTCCACTTCACAGACAACACACGCCTCAAGAGGAAGTCATCTCTCCTGAGGGAAAAGGATGAATCAGAGGACTCAGATTATGAGGAGGTAAAAATCAGCCACACAAACAAATACAATAATAGAATCAAGCAAAATCAATTGAAATACAATACTGTATTCTGATGATGTATGAGATTAAGGTTCAGTAAAGTTGGTTCAAGGTCCCTCAGGTGTCACGCAGGGGATCTGTCATATTACGTGTGTTGTCCTGTATTGAGTTGATTTATTTCTTCATTCAGAATCTTCCATCGTGCAAAAGACAGCGTATCACAGTAGCAGCCATGAGTCGTCTCTTTGCCAAGTTCAGCCTTTGTGACGGAGAACACAGCAACGACGTACCACCCGGGGATAAGAGTGAAGACACATCAACAACCAATTCTAACTTGGATGAAAAGCTCGCCATTCCAGCACAAACATCTCAACCAGATCCGAGCTCGTCTGGGAACACGGAGGAGAAGGATGTCTCCACGGCTCACAGCAACAACAACGATGAAGACATTCCTAACATGAACAATAAAGTGAGCGAGTTTAAGAAAGTGAAACGTGACAATAAACCCGCAGACCTCGATGATCCGCCAGTGGGAAAACGACGGAAAACCGGCGACGTCGCATCGGAACGGGAGGAAAACGACGAACGTCTCCCGGAGAAAAGCGACGCGCCATCCGAAGACGCCGGGAAAAACAACAAACGGCAAGTCGAAGTAAACGAGAGTGACAATGATGAAGACAAAGAGCGTTCGTCCAAAGTAAAACGCACCAGGAGACTGAGAAGGGGACTAAGACTGTGTACAAACATAACCTGCTATATTGAACAAGTCCTCTACAACTAAGACAACACACACAGTAATCACCAAGAACAATCACTAATATTTAAGATCACATACGAGTAGTTCATAAAAGATATATACGTGTGCGTGTGTGTGTTTGTGTGTGTGTGTGTGTGTTTGAGGTGATTTTGTTTTAGCATATTTTAGAGAAATTTTACAGTGTATCTTGGACGAGTGCAAGCATAGTGGCAATTATATATTCAAGAGACGGTGATAACTTAATACAGTACTGAAAATTGACGAAACATTGCCAGTACAGTATTCAACTTTTCTCCCCGTTTTATGCTTAAGGACACTGAATGATTACCGACAAAATAATACGGTTAGAGAATGATGTGATGACTATGTTAACGTCTTAGTCTCTTAGTTGGTAAATGTTAGAATGACAACGTTCATCACTCATTTTATACGGCAATATCAAATGATCATTTCATAGTAATTTTTTTTTTACCATAATACTGTAAAAAGTTCATGTACTGTAAATAGTCCCATTTTATGTATTAGTGATGTTATATTATAGTAGTAATAGTGACTGGTAATTGGGCATGAGGAACACATTCTCCATAGCCCCAGTACATCACAGGTACTGACTGATAGGAGGCAAAGATATGCTTACTGAGTGGCCAGTCAATTACTCTTCCCTGAGTGGCCAAAAAATTAAGCTCACTGAGTGGTCATTCAATAAATGTCACTGAATTATCTGAATGTTAAAGCTCACTTATTGGCCAGTGAGTCAAGCTCTCTTCTCTCAGTGTAGGCTATGTGTTCCACTGCATGAAGCTGAGAATGAAGGTTGATAGACAGATTCAAATAATATTTTTGACACTGCTCATTTTCAACTGATGGTCATTATTATGTTACACAGACATACTGAAACATTAAATAGTGAAGAGAACTATATTCTTTTCATTGACACCAGCAGCCTTTACCCACAAGGAGTCAAGATGGCCAGAACACAGAATAAAAACTCTCTTCTAACTCCCACAAGAGATGTTTTCAGCTATGGTGTTCCCCCTCACATAATAAAATTACCACAGAGGAAGTAATGTCCAATAATACCGGATCAAAGACAAATATGGATATACCTTCACAATAACTCAATACGATGCAATGGGAACAAACACAGTCATGGGAAATACAACCTTCACATTCCCACATTCCAAAAATGGATATAATTAAAACTTCTAAACTCTCTCATAACTTACCATTTTTAAGAGGAATAAAACCAACGGAAGACATACCCAGACAATAAACTCACCTTGCGGTTAAAATAGAGGAATCCGTTCTGACAGTTGACATTCCTGAAGGGGGCGAAGCACTTGACAGATCCATCCACGCTCATAGGGTGGTACCTCAGCTCCCCTCTCACAGTCATAAATATCCAGTGAGGGTAAGGACCACATATAAATACCTGAAAATAACAATATATAATGTAGGTGTGATAATGAACTTCAATATCCTAGTGCAGTATCTATGGGGCCGATAATGTGTGATGTCTCGGAGTCTCAGGGTTCATGAGTCTTAGGGTTTAGGAGTCTCAGGGTTTATGAGTCTTAGGGTTTATGAGTCTCAGGGTTCATGGATGGGAGAGAGAACTACCAGGAATTTTTTAATGGGTGTATGTAACAAAACGGATCGATAACGAACGTGTGCGGCCAACTGTCGTGCGGATCGTTTTGGCAGTTTACACCTGGTCGACTCTTACCCCACTGTACACGCTGATGCTGCTGAAGGGACGTAACTTGGACACTCTGTCTATCTTCTTCTCCTGGCCTCCTTCCTCCTCCATACGTTTCCTGGTCCTGCTTGAGCGCTTCTCTCGGAGGATCAAGTTGTGCTCGATTAACCTCATTCTGTCCAGTAATATAAACAGTTATTTAATGAAGTACACTGATAACTTCTCCATACAACCTAACACAAAAATTATCTTACCAATAACATGTATTTCAAATTTTTGCTCTAGGAAAAAATAATAAGTGAGATATAATTATGGAATATCTTTAATCATCCCATCTGGAGCACAGGTAAATCCTCACTGACCATCCACAGTCTTTCAAAAGGACAAAACTATATATAAACAAACAAACGACTAATTTACGAATAAGAATAAACACCGACATAGAAATACCGTACCTAATTTTGAGTTGAATGGGAGCGAGGTTTTCATAAAAGGGAAAAACTTCGTACATAAGGAGATCCTCGTCGACCCTCGCCATCAACACGGGCCGAAGGTTCCTGTTACCCATCCCAACCAACAGGACCTGAAGAAATATACAAATAAATCCTCAACTAATACAAATATACTTCAATAACAATACACATGCACTATATCCATCCACACCAAGTATCTAAAAATTTCACTTATATCTGGCTGACGAGATGACTTTACAATTCCCCGATTAAAAGATACACTGACACACACACACACACACACGCCAAACTGCTTTATACCCCCCCCCGTTAAACGTACCTCGTGGATGGTGGGAGGATTTTCAACAAGAATTGGGATTGAAGGTGCAGTGCTAGTTTGGCTGCTGTCTGATAGTACCCTGTGTCCTGGGGGGAAAAAGATGTATTTTACTCATTAGCACCTGTTCATATGCTAGGTATCAATAACAATAATAAAATTGTAGGAAAGACTAAAAACATGAAATAGAAACAAATAAAACTCCAGTAATAGTAGAAATAACACAAAACATTTAATATGATAAATTTTAGTTACTTGAAACAGAAACACTCACCAACGGAGAAATTTTTAACACAGTAACACAATCTGACGTCCGGGAGTGTGTACAGCTCGAGGTTGCCATTCTCCCGCACCCCGACCAACCAGTACGTGGGTCGGACCTCCTTCTGCCACTTCTTCCACCTAAAATGTAAATAAAAATAAAGATATAATGGAAACAGTAATCCGCCGAGTCACCCAGAGTCAGGAAATTAGCCGGATATATCGGAGTTTTCAATAGTGAAAAAAAATAAGATGGAGGATTTAGTCATTTTAACTTTCTCAATGTAAGGAAGTAAATGTCACATAACTTATAAACAAATGAGACCAATGGGGAGGGGGGGTTAGGGGGCCAAATCCACCAGAATCATGTTACGAGATGACCGGTTTTGTTTTGTTCACGTTAGATTATGTGTATCTCTGTAACGCACTGTACGAAATGAATCAAAATGGTCTCAGACAATAGGAAATTAAATGTACCTTCAGACTACATTACATTATTATCTTTAAATCAGTTAGGTTTAAGTTCTAAGTTAGCGTGATTCGCCACTTTTACCCCGAGCGCCTTACATAACGTTACCGGTAATTCGCTACAATGAATACGACTCAAGACAGCCAAATTCCACTCACCAATTGTTCTGGTTCTTCTCCTGACTGGCCTGTGGGGTGAAGGTCTTGGGAGGGTCGAACACCGAGATATCTGTGTTCCCGTACAGCATCTCATCCTCGTCGTCTAATTCCCTTAGGAGGAAAAAAGATAACAAAATTTAGAATATATTAAAACCCAGACAACAAATCATAAAACATTCACCAGGAAAACTAAAACTAAATTCTAACTTTCACTCCACAAAGACTATAATACAATCAACAGGACAACAAAAACTAAATCCTATCCACAAAGACCATTTCTCACTAAGATGAAGGGGTCACTGAAATAAAAAACCAAGGTAATTCTTCCTCCTTATTCCCTATAAACACTTGTTAATTTTCTCAAGTTTTATTCTGTTCTCTATCAGGTGACCAAGCAAATAAAACACACATACTCTCAACAACTTACTTCTTTATGTCTGCATCTGTTCTGAAAATCTTAGGGTCTTTTTCTCTGTCTTGTGGGTACTGAGTTGTGAAGAGGCCGGACACGTCACAGTACGCACATATAGTCTGCAGTGGGAATTTCTGAAAGGGGGAATAAAGTTATGATAAACAGACAAATGTTGATGATGATGGTAATGAAACTCTCAACTATTTTCTTCATGTCTCTTCTGTTGCTTTATCACACCAGACATTTATTCTGGGAGTCTTTGTGCTTGTGTTCCCATTATGAAGAGAGGAATAAAAACAAAAAACAGAAGACATTAAAAAACACACAGATCCATATCAACTAACTGTATTGTGAAGTTATTTTTCTTATTTAATCTATTTGTAAATGCAATGACGCCACAGACAAAATAGCCCCCCCCCCAAAAAAAAAATCTCACCAAACCGAATTTAAAAACAAAGATGACTGATAAATGATTCACAGCTGCACAGGCCTATTAAAAAGGTTCCTCATTCTCTCAAGTCATGATTGGCAGTTTGGCACACATAGAGCTAGCAGAAACATCAACATACACCGGCATTTATCGGCTTGCTGGTGGTCAGTCTGGGAGGCAGAGACCGGGTCGTGACGAGGGTGAAGATCATGAGAGTGCCGTCGTTAGCCAGGACTGCCAGGTAGGGGTCAGCTAAGGTTGCCGCCACAAGAGGCGAGCCGACGTCCAGAGGAACATGTTGGATCTGTACTGTACCTTCCAGCAGTCTCACACCACCGCTGGTCACCTGGGAAAAAAAGAGTTAATAAATACCTGAAATAGCTAGATTATTATTCAAGGTGATGTTTACCACTCCAGGAATCTTTAAGTTCGATGGTGATGAATGTAACACATTGGGTAAATAATGGACACAGTTAAATAGTGAAAATAATTGCAGTACAGTAAAGGGAACAATTAAAAATGAAGCAAAATGATTAAAATACAACACAAACTTGGCTGAGTGCATCAACTGAGACATTCGAGGGAAAATGTCTTCTGAATTGGTCAACCTCCTCAGTCTACGCAAGTGTGGAAAATCATAAAATGGCCGTAAAATAGTGAACGACGATAACCAACTTTAATTATATGACATCAAGAATAACTTAAAAGACACTAAAGACTTTTTCTCACCTGTACGATGTATCTATTGTTGCCAACATTTCCAGCAAAGACGGTTCTTGAGGTTGTGTTGAAGCCCGACTCTTCCAGTTCGTTGATTTCCTCCTCAGTGCGTAATATAAGAGAGGTGTCTGGCCGGGTGAGGATGAGGAAAGAATGGTCCTGGATGCCTCCCTCTCTTCTCCTCCGCTCATCTGCTTTACCCACGAGTGTCCACATGTCTTCAACTTCAGGCAAATCAAATGTTGTTAAAACCTGTTCAGGGATAAATTTCTCTTAGATGTTTGCAAAGAAAATATTGATGCCAGACAGTCCATTGGTAATTGTTCACATAAATTTGTTTTCAATATACATCCCTCACCTGTACACCTAACACATAAAACAACCCTGTGTTCCTCCAATCAAGTAACTTCCAAGAGATACAGTATTCTCTTTGATTTCTTACAATTCTATTAAAAATATAAAATGAGGAACACAAATGTGGAAATACAAATGCTTGTCAGGGCTTGAATCTAGCTGGTGGTTTTCCTTAGGTGTCACAGATGTAGGCACACCTAAATCTGAAACCTGCCAAGTATTTCCCTCTGGATTCAAGAGACATCTACACACCTAAATCTGAAACCTGCCTAAAAATCTGGAATCAATAGACATCTACACACCTAAATCTGAAACCTGCCAAGTATTTCCCTCTGGAATCAATAGACATCTACACACCTAAATCTGAAACCTGCCAAATATTTCCCATCTCCCTGATTTACCTGCGGTTTGATGGATCGCTGAAGGATGGACAAGGCTCCGTTCTTGCCGTGGCCTGAGGTGGTGACGAGCTCTACGCAGGGATCCACCGAGCTCTCATATTCCTCGCTCAGGAAGGCCGGCTCACCCATGGCTACATCACCACAGGGCCCAACGTTGAGTAAACTGTCCATCACCTGTAGAAAATTCTCCTTATACAGTATTTATAAGAATACTCCACACCTGAATTTTAAACACTCTTGCAGGTTAATAATGAGATGAGAAAATATTTGATTCCACTTAACTGAGGATTGGAAACTTGTAATATTTCGGTGAGATAAGGTTTCTTCATTCTTACCACCACATTATTTTGTTTCTACTAAAATAAACAACAGACAATTTACCGATTTTATTCCTATCAAAACTACTATAATCCATGGAGACATTTCTATTGATGTGAGTTTAGTTTTTCATAACGCATTTCACGAATTAGTGAAATAAGCAACATCAATTATGTCACCGCAGATTTTCTTCTACTGTACCTCAAAGTTGTATGAAGCGAGCTGGACCGTTGAGGTGTCTTCGTGGCCGTACACCTCAAGCGCATCGTCGTCCCGAATATCATCCACATTACTGGCAATCCAATCACCTGGAAAATGAAAACACTTAAGCACCTGTTTGATTTATTTATCTGAAAAAAAAAAGGAAAGACAAACAGAATATAAGACATAACTTTGTAACTACTGTACTGTATTTATATTGACAGCATCATTAGAGGTAAGTATCCCAAATCAGCTTCAGATGAGTTACTACACCTAACTCATTTGGGGTTTGCATCTTCCATTCTATTTTTGTCACCCGAATACTCTGTTATATGGAGGTTTCACATCTAACGAACCTTGATAAAACAGACTTCACTTTCTCATATAGTCCATTAAATAGAAGTTTCACTGCATTGTGCTCCTAAACACAGACAGGCAGACACACCTACCTAATGTATCGAGCTTTTTTCTTTTGGTCGGAGGTTCTTGATCAGCTGGCATGTTACTCCTAGATCTCATGGGATCACTCAACTCCTTCTCTGTGTAGCGGAGGAGGAGAGAATTGCCTAATCTGGACCCCAAGAACAGGTACTGGTCTTCACACACACACATCTGAAAGTAATGTTTATGTTGACAAAATAAAATAAAACACAAAGTATTAAAGAATAAGATATACAATGTAATTAAGCTGTCTATCTGCATACTTTTTAACCTTCAGCTATACACCAAGGTATATCAAAAGAAAGACTCCAACACATAACACAGTACAGTATATCGATTGCAGGTGTTCCCATAAAGATCACTCTCACATACATGTAATAATCCTTTAGATAATTCCTACAGTAACTTACACTTAACTTGCTGTATTAACTGAAGCTAATTACACATTTAAATAATTGATCAAAGGCACAGGAAAAACTTGTGACACATACACTACACGTTAACACAGACGCTGCAGCCTTGTCAAAGTGAAAGCTGCGCACAGACCGCATGGAGTCTGCCACTAGGGTGAGAACGTACAACTCGCCCCCTTTGAGAGAGATTACCACTCTGTCCTCTGTCAGGAACTCTCCATAGGCACAGTCTAATGAGATCACAACACCTTCTTGCTTTCCTGCGGTGAAATAATGTCTTACACAATGATGAAATGATAAAATATCCAATTATTACTGATGACTGGACTTTCAATAAAATCTACCAGTATAATCAATTTCATCATTACATAAATTTATCTTTAATTCATATATTACAAATACTGTAATCAAATAAAAATCCTCAATATATGGAAAACATTACAGTGGGTACAGTACTTACTCAATGGGAAATTAGTATTTTTATCTCCCATGGAATTGAGAGAGACCCCATAAGGAGGAACAGACTGAGTGAGGTACGTGAGGGAGTTGGAAGCAAAGAGCAACACGCCCCCAATAGGCTTAGGCACCGGCAAGAGTTTCTGACAGTCGTGCGGAAGACAAGTCAGAGACCAGATCACGGGATGGAGGCGCTGTCGTATGTTGAGGGAGATGGCTGCCAGAGCACACGTGTCCTGACGCACCGCTACTCTCCTGATGATGACAATTTACACAGTTAGGATATTTTATTACCTCCTTACGAGTCTTTTACTACGAAGCAAGAGGAACACACACGCTCCCTCATTCAGTTCTTCAAGCTATATATATATAAACTCTGGGTCTTACGGGTTGTTACTAGAGCACCCTAAGTACTGGTTCATTGGTACAGTGTTGTCAGTAACACCTATCTAGTCTACCCTGTACTGTATTGTAGAAGAAAATACTCGAGTGAAAAAATGTAAATTCAACTTTATAAATCCCAATCATATATCACAAATAGTTTAATGTTATATCATGACAAGACCCATTAAATATCTGTAAGTATTGAAGAAGAAATTGTCTGCTACATTACCCCGGGAAAGTTTTAATAGGTTCGTAGAGCAGCATGAGCGTTGGGTCGTAGTAGCCATTGAGGAACTGCATGTCTATAATATTATCTATGCAGGGTGCCTCAAAATCTTTAGGGTCAATGATATAGGACTGCAGGACGGGACCTCTCCAGTTTGACGTGCTGTAGTCTATGTCGTCTGTGGTCAAGTCTCTTCGGAAAGGCAGAATGACTATTTTTCTTCCATATATTAACATGGCTGCACATCTTCCTTCAGGATCAACTCGAACCAATGGTAGAGTTACAGTTTGGACCCAGCCGCCCTGAAATAAAAGTACACATAAACTATTGCACAACTACCCTCCCCTTAATGCCATCTCTTCTCTATACAAAAACATCTATGATCAAATTCTTCTCCCACAAATAACATCACACCTCCACAACCTGGGGATGAAAATAATGGCACAGCACCACACCCCATTTGACACAAGACTCCCATTGTATGAAGCACAGGTAGATTATATAGCAATGATGTGATTCATTTATTAGAGCATAGAAAGATATCCTACCCTGATGTCCTCCTTTTCAAAATAATGAAGTGATACAGTTCTGAGGTGGTGGTTGTAAGGGTCGTATTCCACCAGGGAGAGTTTAGCGTCGCGAAATCCCAGCAGTACGGAGTCTCGTAGGGGAGAGAGCGACACTGATGCCATCGTTGCTACATTATCGTGCAACTTGTATGTGGCCATGCATTCCAGCTTCACCCTTGGAGGAATATTATCTGCAAGTATTGAAAATGTGTCAGTACCAAAGACTAAAGAAAAATATAATAAAGACCAATAGACTACTGTACTGTACTCTGAGCAACTGTCAATATTAAGAAGGCTTTAAAGTTCATTTTTACTCATGATTCCTAATTCAGTGTGGAGTCTAAGAATTCCTCTAAAATTGTGTTTTTGTGTATCTAAATTGATGAGGTAGTGTGTGTGTATGTCAAGCATTTCTACTTATTGTTCCAGCCCCTTCCTCTTACTATACAGGATACGCTTATGAACATTGTTTAGAGAGAGAGAGATATTCCTGATTCCAAAATTAACATCTGCTTGTGTTTCCTTTGCTAGAACATTCCCATCTATCTGAATGACGCCTCCTGTATTCATTGTATGAGTACAGGTATACTGTATCTAAGAAACCAAGCCCACTGTAAACTGTACCTAAGAGACCAGGCCCAAACACCTATAAGAACAAACTAAAACACTGAACTGTATATATACTGTACCTATGAGAACTGGCCTGTCATCTCTTTTATTGGATTTCAGGGGCACCTCAGCCACCAGTCGGAACACCCTGACAATGTTGGCTCCGGCGACAACGAGGGACTTCTCTCTATGGTTGAAGAAGTTGCAGTACATGGACAACTCCACCCCCAGGGTAGGGTGGGTCGTCTTGCACAAATTATACATCGTTGGCTGCTAGTTATCACACCTGCAAGATATCACACGTTAGTTATGGTGGATTCATCTTAGAAGCATTAAGTATCAAGATGATTAGCACCACATTACCCTTCAATTGTTACCTTCCCATATGAAAGAAAAGTTGTTATAATGGTCAGGATTCATACAAAAAAAAAGTTGGGGGATGACAATCAAAAGATGAAGTATTCTCTCAGCCTAACCTAACTTAACCTGACCTGACCATCTCAGAACAGATTTTAGTAAGTTAGGGAAGGTGTCATAGGTTACACTGAGTTAATCTGTCTCAACCTAACCTCGAGCAAGATGTGATGAGCGTAATTTCTCCCCTAAAGTTTTTTTTTATCGTTTCACACAACAATAATTAAGGACACATTTGTAAGTGTATCCTGATCTGAGAATACAAAATAATATTACACAAATTACAAATTCTCATTATTTTATGGGATTTCATGAATTAAGAAAGTATTTATCTACTATGGGCAATATCCTAAAATCCTACTTAACCTATGATAATGGACCTCATTATTACCTAACCAATTCCTTTAAGAAAACTAGATAAACCAACATATATCAACTGCGAGTTATAATATACATCGTTATAGTGGACAAGACAAAATATCACCAGAGGCCCAGCACATTTACAACAGAAGTAGACGTTAATGAAAGTAGACGCTCACAGCTTTTATTTTTGTAGAGCTATACAGTACAATAATACATATAATAACATTTATAAAGGGTAACATAATATATTTTAATAACTATTATGGTAACTTCAAATGTGGTTCTCTACGGTAGTGTCTAAGAGAATAACATATCTACTCCATTATAACTACACCAAACGTCTATTACACTTATTTATAGTATAGAAATGAATAAAGTTAATGGCTGAGGTACGTGTTATATAAGGAATTACCTGGAGTATTTATTAACGAGACATTTTCCCCAGAGTAAGCGAGAGAACTACAGCTCTGAGGCCCGGTGCTGTAACTCACTAAACCACGTTCACCTAACTCATATATAACCTTCAAATACATAAAATACATAATAATAACTACATAAATTACTATATTTTATAATCCTGTGTATAATTCAAATTTATAAGTTTGTTTTTATATATATAATGGAATGTTTTATTAATATATTAGGCTTGTGTGACTAGTATGTAAGTGGTATATAAAGCCTGTCAGTTAACTAGAGAATGGAAATTTTTGAGGGCAAACTATATTAAACCTATAAGAGTACCGCACAATAATTAGATTTATACTTTACCCACCTAAGGGCCACTCACTATAGACTTCCATGTCCAGCAGGTAGCTCCAAACAATTACAAACATAAATAGATTCAACAAAATATAACCAGATATATTATAAAGAATTATTTCCATTTCACCAGATCTTATTTTCAACAAGTTTTCAAAAATCTTAATAAACTGTAGTCTTGTGGTGAAAATCATTATATTTGTACTCACGGAAACTATACCTTTTTATAATAAGCTTCTCCAAGTACCTTTTCTCATTGCAACCGAGATTAGTATTCATTTAGGTGATATGAAATAGCTGATTTTATTTAAATAATTGGTCATTCTTGTCTTTTCTGTTTCATTGAGGAACTTTCTTGTGTTTTATCCATAGTTGTATCATAAAAGTCCCCTTCATTAGTTCACCCATATGGCCATTTGATAGGAAACATTCTGCAATAATACATTTCATATTTATCACCTCACAAATTTTATATTCTTTTCATTTGGTTCAACATTTTATGGTAGACATCATACAATAACACAATAATTTTTTTATTCAGTTTTAAATACAGCCAAGTGCATCAGTGTTATTTTGCCAATGTTTCTAGCAATGAAGTCTCAAACAAACCCTCTCCAGATATCTTTGAAATACCTTTTATTATAAGTATTAAATAATCTTATCCATGCTCCCTGTTAACACATTGTACTGTATTAAGGCAGCACATGAATGTCATGAGGCCAGACAGAGGATTATCCACCAATAATACTCCACTTAAATTAACAACAGACTAACAACAGAATGAACATTATATCTGTTCACTGTTGAGATCATTACCTTCATGATGTGCGATAAGGTGCAGTACAACATAACATTACTTACTGAGAGAGGAGATGCATACTACTGTGACACAATCTCTGTTATGCTGGATTGTTCACTATTCTGAACCATACAATATAATACCGAGTCTGGGAAAGTGATGTACTATTGTGCTAGCAGTCTGAGGCAAATACTATCAATATAACACAACAACTAGGATGAGACTGTAACACAACACTGGCTGGACATAGTTAGTGCGCACTAAGCTTTCACTGAGATTCAACGCACTTTACAATACTTTCATTGCACATAATGTAATCAACTAAAATCTAGTAAAATACAAAATAAAATTTAATGGTGAAGCTTTCCACCATTTATATAACCTTAACCTACAAGTATACAAAATAATGTTGTACACTAATACAAAACATCGAAGTACTCTGTTATAGAAAGTAAACTGGCCTATACAGAGTCATTCAGCCAGTAGGCAACTTTATATCCCTGCACATGCTGATATTGGACTACAGTACACATGAAAGTTCGCTCCTCGGACTTTGAGCCACGTTTAGAATATTAATTCCTTGGTTAGTTGTCATGAACATTTGTTGAAACTGACATACTGCTCAAGTCACACTAGTATACAACTGGAGGCCACATCACTGACAGATATAAGACATGATACCTTGACTGACATGGTGTGGCTCCTCAAAGTTAAAAACTTCCTGGAGTGGAAAGCAAAAGAGAGAGTACATTAATGACTACAAACCTTACTTGAATTACAAAAGGAAAGAGTAGAATATGCAGCTGTTGTTGTTATAATGTTAACTGCAATTCAACAACTAATGTCTTTAAGCGCATAACAAGGTTAGTAATTACACTAAACCATCAACAAATAAACTACAAGAGACAGAACTCCCTGGATATGTAGTCAGCTAATCACATCAACATGAACTACTCTCTTACATGTTCTAATAACCTCCTTTAATGTGCATCAGTGTTGCCATGCACACAATAACCCAGCTCGGCCAAGTACTGTACTAACCAAGGGGTCATAAATACTTTGGTAAATCCCTGTACTGTTACTGGTAGGTCTGCCACAGTAGAATATACAGAGGCAGTGGTTACCCTCATCTCTCACTTATGAGCTGGGTTGAGACACATAAAAAAGATGAGTTTGACTGTAATCTTTTCAACTGTCAAACTGAAATTACTTATTAATTCTAAGTGTGCTCAGTTAAGAAAGCTTCCACTGAGAAATATAAAATCCTAGTTAAAAAATCTCATAATTGTCTTATAACTTAAGTAAACAGACAACCCAGAACACTGAGGTGAAGGGGAAGAGCCACCTTGTCAGAGCTTAATACATAGTGCATACTTTCTATGGCACGTCTCATGAGATAATCTGAAGTTCATTAAATACTCTTGAAAATTCTTATATGTAGTAAAGTCCTGTTCAGCTTCAGACGTTACACTCAGTACACAGCCTTAGTGAGAATAGCATGAATGGTAAAGCTGAATTAAGAATAAAATATGTACTCTAAGCACTTCAATATAATACAAGAATAATACAATAAAATGGAATACACTCAGGCCATTTTATAAACCATGGCCACACAACCTTAAGATGGAGGGCTAGTACTGAACTCTTCTGGGCTCTTGAAGGAACAAATGTCTCTGTTAAGCCTCAAATACAATCTGTATGGTCCTTGAAGTGTTGTGGTGTGTTTATGGCAGGTCATGGCAACAAGTACAGCTTTGTAATATCCCGTGAACTCCTTCTTGGATACTTCAGTTGATTCACTTTATTTATACAGGTTAAAAACAATAATAAACAAAACACAAGTAAAGACAGATGAGAAAAAAAATGAAGTAAAATAATAAAAGTAGAAAAGTTACAAAAAGTTAAATTTACACGACACTTGACTAATATTATTGATACATCTGGGGAACATCACAGGGAAGGAAGAGGATAAAGGTAAACAGTGAAAATGTCAAGACCTTAAGAACAAACAGATGATAATGAATGTGGTAAATCTGTGTTGCTCTTGATGCCAGACACACTGCACCAAGGCACGTCAAGGCCTAACAAGAGTGAAAAACAATTGTCTTTTTGACATAATACAATAAATTCTGATTAATATCAATATATATATATATATATATATATATATATATATATATATATATATATATATATATATATATATATATATATATATATATATATATATATATATATATATATATATATATATATATATTTGTGTTTAAATACAAAGTAAACAATACTATGATAAGAGTCTACCGTATGTCACTGATAATTATTTAAGACTCCTTCATCAACAATACTGTGGCATCTTATCAATATATTATGTAATTATCACCAGACTGAGCATCAAATATTTCACCAGTTATTGGTGCACTTAAAGATAAACAATGGTGACTTATAATCTATCATCATTTTTTGGCTACATCATCTCTAAGTCAAGTATTTGTCTGTCTTGAACCAACCAGCTCTTGACTAAATCTTATCACCTTAGTTTGATATAATTACTGTAAGTAACAGAACAGCTTAGGTACTTTTGAAGTACCACTAAATGTAATTACCATAATTCCAAGGCCATAACATTAAATGTTAATTACTGTTATTAATTATAACTGTAATGAATTACATGTAAGGCAGTCAGATAAATCTATACCAGAAACAAGCATAACAATATAATACAATATATGCCATGCCTGTCAGTAAACAGTACTCAAGTCAGTATCCCCTGTCCTGTTACATCCATACCAAGACAGTCACAGTTCTATAAAATAACCATAAATGTTGAGTTAAGAGTTAAAGTAATGTGATGAGAAGAACCAAGACACAATACCTTTATGGGTGTCAACAATGGTGATGGGAAGGACCTACGTGAGATTATGAGTGACACATATATACTGTATCAAGGATCCTGAGAGTAAAGCAAAAGGTCCACAGTGTACAGTCATCATGGTCTAATAAGAAGGTTCACAGAATAATCAAACAAATGTATTTCAAATATGATGCACATTGGTTGAGGTATTATCTGGATAACTCTTACAGATAAAAGAAGCTCCCCAAATCGCCCTTCAAATACATGGGTCAAAATCACCCCTCAAACACGTGGGTCAAAATCACCCCTCAAACACGTGGGTCAAAATCACCCCTCAAATACGTGGGTCAAAATCACCCCTCAAACATGTGGGTCAAAATCACCCCTCAAACACGTGGGTCAAAATCACCCCTCAAATACATGGGTCAAAATCACCCCTCAAACACGTGGGTCAAAATCACCCCTCAAACACGTGGGTCAAAATCACCCCTCAAACACGTGGATCAAAATACCTCAAACACATGGGTCACCTCATAATGCCAAAACAATAAAAATCCTTAAACAAGAAAAAATATATTCTAGCAAAAAAATTCCCTTATAGAATTGTTTACATCCCTTCATCTAACAATATGCTTCACCGCTGCGTACTGAGGAATGTGTCTACCATACTTTAAAGGGAAATTATCAGAGCATACATGACGATATCTTTAAGTAATGAAGATCCCCAAATGGTTGATAAATAAACACATAGAGCTACATGATCCCAGAAGAAATGGGCAAAGTGCATCATATTAAATTTTTCAGGTTTGGAGGAAATTCACGGCTTGTTCTTAGGATATTGTCCACACACACACACACACACACACACACATATATATATACACACACGAGAGAGAGAGAGAGAGAGAGAGACAGAACTAATCATACAACAGGAGAGACAAAGAACGACAGGATAAAGAGAGAACAACAAGAGAGAGAGAGAGAGAGACTACAGTACAGTATATAAGCTATCACTGTGTTCGACAATACACAAGACTACAGTACAGTATCCATCTACAGTACATTACAGTAGTGGAATTTCTACCCACACATACACATTGTACTACAGTATGAATGGTTATATATCTGAGGGAGATTTCTGGGTGAAGGTGAGATTTGGAGCATCAGAGGCGGAGTAAACACACTCCCCGGCAATGAATGTGTTTAGCACTTTCAAAGGCCCCTTGTCCAATACCAACACAAAGTCCGCATCTGTGCCATATTCCAGAGTGCCCTTGAGGTGATCGATGCCCATGACCCTGGCTGGGTGAAGAGTGGCAGCATCAATCGCTTCAACTAGACTTACACCTGAAGTATGGATATATGTAAGACCTTGTATAAAATAAATGTCAAATATTAACAATCATAATATATGGATCTTTATCAACAGAATGGTCTTAGCCTGAAATTTTCTAATACTACAATACAAAATGAAAAGAAGATATATAATTATACAATGAAATCAGAAGAAATTTACACTGATATAAATAAAATGTTCAATTGGCTTAATGAATACACCTGGACACATTACAATTAAAGATAAGAACTTACCTGCACCATTAATAAAGTGTCTAACACAGTCATCCATGGTGACCACAGAACCAGCAAGAGTGTCAAAATCAACCAATCGTGCTTTTCGTCCCTCCACCAAAACCTTCATTTGTCCAATCTGATGCACCCCATCACCCAGGCCCATGGCAGCCATCGCATCTGTCACTAGCACTATGCCTGGGAACAACAACAATGATTTAGAGTCACACACTGGGCTCAGATACAGGTATAAAACACAGATGTATTAATTACCAATGTAGTGAGAACTGATAAAATTTTGATGGCAGAAATCATTACAGTGATCCTCCAGACAATTATTATTCTTACTGATGCTTTCAACCATCCCATGACATACTACAGATCTGAAGACAAATGAGAAAATGGAATATAAAAATACCAGCATTAAATTAGAGATATACATACCTTGCGGATGAGCACGGTGAGCGATCCTGAGAGCAGCTGGGTGAGTGTGTATGCCGTCCGAGATGATCCCATAGTGGACGGGGTGTGAGATGAGGCGACTGGTGAGCAGCCCGACCAATCCAGGATCCCGGTGATGGAACTGAGTGAAGGGAAGGACAGTAAGACACCACTTCTGAACTCTCTACTCATGGTTATAGAATTAAGACCTCCAAGAAATGCATAAGATTCATAAGAAGTTTCCAAGATCTTCAAGAAGTGTTCAGGGCCATCACGAATTATCCGAGATCTTCAAGGATTATGTGCGAATTATCCGAGATCATCAAGGATTATGTGCGAATTATCTGAGATCTTCAAGGATTATGCGCGAATTATCCAAGATCTTCAAGGATTATCCGATTCCTATACAGCTAAAGACTCCTGCAGGAAGTCTTAATCCCTCAACTAAGTACTGTATTGTAGACTCTAACACAACGTCTTAATCACTAAAACATGAATCAGACTCTAAAACTTCAGTTAAGATGTGAAAATATCATACAGAGTAAATCCTAAGCTAGATATGGTTAAAGATATTTATAGTTAGGTTCGGTTAGTTTAAGCAATAGGGTTAGATTAGGGTTAATTACAGAAAAAATATAAGGTTAGGTTAGACCTGTTCAGTAAGGTTAGATTAGGTTAATGTAGTAAGGTAAATGTTTTGTTAGGATAAAACAGTGAGGTTATGTTGATTTAGGTTAAGTAAGGTTAAGTTTGGTTAAGTGTTATGATGCTTGGTTGATTAAGTTTGGTTATGAGACAGCAATGAGGTAAAGTTAGTTAGTGAGGTAGAGGTGAATAAAGTGAGGTGAACAGATGGGGCAGCACAAGTAATACACAAGAGCGGTGACTCACTGGCAACATGGCATTGAAGAGATGGGTAATAAATGTTGCTCCATTGTTGGCGGCAGCTTCCCCCTCTTCCAAGTTACTGCTTGAGTGACCTGTCAGATAATACAAACCGTCAAACCTCTACTTAATGGACTATATCGAGAGGTAAGTGCGTTATATCGAAGGTTCGTTACATGCTAAATCTCCATCTAACAAACTATATATCGATAAGAAAGTCCATTATATCCAGTGTTCATTAGATGCGAAACAGTCACTCGGTACACAGCCAGATCCACAGTATATAAGGATGCTAGGAAACTTCCCTCACTCAATAGACTAGAGAATAACCACATATTTATTATTTATTTTTTCCCTGATATGCTGAAACAGTCATAAGGGAAAGATGATACCACAATGATGTAGTTCAGAACAAGATGGAGGGACAGAGGGCTAGAGGCTAGATCGGTCATCACTAAAACAAAAAAGAAATACCTCGCTGATCGTTGACTCACCCACAGACACAACGATGCCCCGACTTGACAGGTGACGGATGACCTCTTGGGCTCCGGGTAACTCTGGGGCGATGGTTATCTTGGCGATGTTGTCAATTGACCCGTAAACGTCGAGGACCTTACTCATACCCTAATAGGGGAAAGGTGTTTGTTTTTAATTCACTCTGTCTCCTGTCTTTAATCCACTCTGTCTACTGTTTTTAATCCACTCTGTCTACTGTTTTTAATCCACTCTGTCTACTGTTTTTAATCCACTCTGTCTCCTGTTTTTAAATCACCCTGTCTACTGTTTTTAATCCACTCTGCCTACTGTTTTTAATCCACTCTGTCTACTGTTTTTAATCCACTCTGTCTCCTGTTTTTAAATCACCCTGTCTACTGTTTTTAAATCACCCTGTCTACTGTTTTTAATCCACTCTGTCTCCTGTTTTTACTTCACTCTTATCATTGAGTCCTTGGAGAAAACCTACCATGTTTGAGAAGCCAGGGACTAAACCCAGGACACATTTGAGAGAGATACTGTACATGTGTTACTACTGTGATTATACTCTATAGAAGCAAAATATACTGTACAGCAGGTGGAAATATAGCTGAAGGAGGTAATAGAAGAGGTAACAAGAGGTCCATTTAAAATTACCTCTTCCACCCCTTCAAGGTACTGGAGAGGGTGAGCGCCCTTCTTGGCGGGGCTAATGAACGGACCTTCCACGTGAACGCCAAGTATACTCGCACCCCCGGGCCCCCCTGGTGTCTTTTTTATGCGTGGTATAACCTTATGGGAGAGAAAAAGAGGATAATAATGATGATAATAATGACACTACTACTACAACAACTATTACTACTACTACTCCTACTACTATTACTGCTACGACTACTACTACAAATAATACTTGGTAATAATTAATCTTCATTCTAGCACGCTCTTCCCCCACAAGGAATTACTGCTGCTGGAAAGACAGACACAGACTTTATCTACTGTCTCTCAATCTCTTTTAACCATCATAATACATAACCAGCTTTAGTGTTCCTCCTCTACAACATGGCGTATACCTAGTGATTCATACAGCTCAACTCAACCATTGACCCAACACCATACATGAACAGTCCATCTCCATACACCTTTCAATCTCTTTATCAATCTTTCACTCTTACCACTCAAGAACTCACTCATGACCCGACAGGTGTATCCTACGGTCCTACCTGATGGTAAACGGATTTGGGGGAAGTAACGAGAGTAGGCAGGAAGGAGGTGACGCCAGTTGCCAGGACACCCTTAGCTACAGCCGCTAACCCTTCCTCTAATTTATCGATGTCAGATGAGAAGTCGTAGCCATATCCTCCTGCAAAAAAATATCGTACAGTAAAACCTCTATTTAATGGGCTATTTGGAGAGGAAAGTCATTATATCAAGTGGTCCTTTAGATGTGAAACCTCAGTCTAATGAACTATATAGAGATGAAAGTCCATTATATCGATGGTCCGTTATATGGAGGTTTCACTGTATTGCTGTTGTTGAAGAGAATGACACACACACACACACACACATAAAAGCCAGGAAATCAAAGTCACTTACCATTAATCTGTATATCCAGGAACCCGGGACAGATCAGAGCATCATGACAATCCACCTTTACATCTGCCTGTAGTTTCTCCACATAGAAAACGGGTTCTGGGTTCAAGATCTTGCCGCCTCTAACCCAGAAGTCGTCCTTGACAATACGCCCACGTCGAACTAAGCGGCAGTTGATGAATTGATATATGGTCGTGTCGGTGTGCGTCGGAAGATTCCCGCACGGTGGTGTCGTTGATGTTATGGAAGGCATCGCGGTGTGTCGCCCTCTCGGTGGTTCTGGGGCGTTTCTTTACGTGTTGGAAGGTTGGTTAGGGTTCGCTTGTGTTCTCTCTCTAGTGTTCTTGCCTTGTTATCTGTGTTCTCTCTTGTAATCCCTTATATCAAACTAATCTCTCTTTCTAATCAGTTATGAGGGATTATCTTCACTTTAATTCCTGTATCCACCATCGACGGATCTGCAAAATGCCCACACACAAATCAACATCACAGCAAATAATACTCTCCCTATAATGAAGATATAAATTAACATAAAATACCATCACATCAACAATAGCTTTAGTAAATATAAAAAAAACCCTTATTACATCAGTATACATGGGCACAAGTCCAGCCAACTTGTATCGTGCCCATGACAAATATACCCTCAGGCCAAACTAGTCCCATGCTGTCATACCCCATACGATGACAAAAGGTATGCACTGCCCAAACGTAAACCTCTAAATATTAAATAACCTACATTCAACAGTACTTGTCAAAAATATCGTCTTGATTTTTCATTTTTTATTTGTATTTTTCTATCTAAATAAACCCTTTCAATTCTAATTAGTACAGGTAGTTACTATTTAGCCAATTAGAAACTCACTCAGTCATACTAGGCAATACCTGTTGCATTTGATATAAGAACCAGGAACAAGTAACCAGAACCTCAGACCTAGTTTACACATGGTTACTTCACCACGTCGAGGACCTTGAGAGAGAGAGAGAGAGAGAGAGAGAGAGAGAGAGAGACCCTCAAAATAGCCCCAAATTAACATCTTCCGCCATTTCGTAAGACGTCAATCACGCCTTTAACTTTAAAGTGTCAATTTTTTTCTACATTTAATCAACAGGAAATGATGTAGCAATCAGGTGACGTCATCGTGAGTTGGCGGGAAAGGGGTGTTTATAAAGTCCTTTGATGTTTGTGTTGATTTCTTCGCGTATTATATTCAAGTGTAACCAACGTGTGTGTGTGTGTGTGTGTGTGTGTGTGTGTGTGTGTGCGTGTGTGTGTGTGTGTGTGTGTTATCGCCGCACCTCATTCCAGGAAGTAATAGGAGATAACAGTAATACTCTTATCATGATAAGACTCTTGAAGATAATAGAGCGCGTTCATTAATTAATAGGCTCTTTAAAACTATGACGCCACAATGGCTCTTTAAAACCCTGACGCCACAATGGCTCTTTTAAAACCTTGACGTCACAATGGCTCTTTTAAAACCCTGACGTCACAATGGGCCCTTTAAAACTATGACGTCACAATGGCTCTTTTAAAACTCTGACGTCTGTGGCCTTTAAAACTATGACGTCACAATGGCTTTTTTAAAACCCTGACGTCACAATGGCTCTTTAAAACTATGACGTGGCTCTTTTAAAACTCTGACGTCACAATGGCTCTTTAAAACCCTGACGTCACAATGGCTCTTTAAAACCCTGACGTCACAATGGCTCTTTTAAAACCCTGACGTCACAATGGGCCCTTTAAAACTATGACGTCACAATGGCTCTTTTAAAACCCTGACGTCACAATGAGCCCTTTAAAACTATGACGTCACAATGGCTCTTTTAAAACCCTGACGTCACAATGGCTCTTTAAAACGTCTTACACACACTAAATAAAGACGAGTTCTAAGCCAGTGTTCCCGCACGTATACGCCTTAGGTTAGGTTAGGTTAGGTTAGGTTAGGTTATATACCCCGACGTATTTGGCAGCGTGTGTAGGAATATACTCGTGTAACCTTGAAGAGGACGTCAAGGTTGGTCGACATGTGTGTACCCTGAGTGTGTGTGTGTGTGTGTGTGTGTGTGTGTGTGTGTGTGTGTGTGTGTGTGTGTGTGTGTGTGTGTGTGTGACAAACCAACATACCAGCATCCACTGAGTCATTAACCACGAGAGGAAGGGGGTGAAGAGGGAGATGCGGGGAAGGGGAGAGAGAGAAATGCGACAGCAAGGGGGGGGGGGAGGTTTCCTAGCAACTCTCCTAGCAACATCTAAGACTGGAAATAACACGCGCCATCGATAAGATAAATTTAAGAGACCAACAACAAGAGTGTTTACATCCTGCGACGAGGTCAAGTGTTATCAAGATTGACCTTCACCCTCACATTTTTACACACACACTCAGCTGGAGGCACTTTACAGTACGTGGTTAGGTTAGGGCAGGTCAGGTTAGGTTAGGTTAGGTCAGGTCAGGTTAGGTTAGGTCAGGTTAGGTTACAAGATTTATCAACAGTAACGATTTGACATGGTTAGATTAGGAGAACTAAGGTCAGGGTCAAGGTCAGGTCAGGTCAGGTTCCAGTACAGGGTCAAACTCCCATCAGATGAATAATGCCGTAGAAACATCACCTATACGTTACCACAACAACCACCACAAACCACACAACAATACCACTAACAACAACCATACAATTCCAAACAATTATAAACAGACACTTTTTTTAAGACACTTGTAACCACCTGCACGATCCCTGTATCCGCCAAGACCCAAAACATGATGTAGTCTTATCTAGCAGTTGTTTACGAGTGGGGTGATAGGTGACCCCTTCATCCTGCCTTCACGCTGAGTCTATAGGATGTCTCGCGGCTTTGTAGTCAAGGTGGGAATACCAAGCAAACACAGGAGGTTCTAAGCGGCCGTCTGTCCTATGTTGGGGGGCCTCGTGACGTCATGTTTGGATGAGTTAGGAGATAATATATGCCCTTTGACCTTCTATTGTGGGGAGTAGGAGGAGGGAGGGGGTATGGAGGGGGAGGGAGGAGGGAGGGAGGAGGAGGAGGAGGGAGCTTATCATGAAGAAAAGAAATCTTAACTAATACATATAGAGTAATGCATTAAAATTAGGGTGAGGAAGCTGAGTCTACTAACACACACACACACACACACGCACACACACGCGCACACACACACACACACACACACAGTGCTTCATCCAACCTCAGCCAAGGGATAAATATAGACCAGTCACACACACACACACACACACAGACACAGACACTCACCCCACTACTGGCAATACGCACACGATAGTTCCTAGGGTCATCATGAGTGGAACTACCTTACTGTTTACAATTGTTTGTTTGCATAGCCACTGTCTAGAGCATATTGTTTTATATACTGCACTGTCTAGAATATATTGTTTGTATACCTGTACTGTTGCTCTGGTATATTGTTTGTATACTATGTACTGTCTAGAGCCATATTGTTTGTATACCTGTACTGTCTAGGTATATTGTTTGTATACCTCTTTACATCTAGGTATATTGTTTGTATACCTGTACTGTCTAGGTATATTGTTTGTATACCTGTACTGTCTAGGTATATTGTTTATATACCTGTACTGTCTAGGTATATTGTTTGTATACCTGTACTGTCTAGGTATATTGTTTATATACCTGTACTGTCTAGGTATATTGTTTATATACCTGTACTGTCTAGATATATTGTTTATATACCTGTACTGTCTAGGTATATTGTTTATATACCTGTACTGTCTAGGTATATTGTTTGTATACCTGTACTGTCTAGGTTTATTGTTTATATACCTGTACTGTCTAGGTATATTGTTTATATACCTGTACTGTCTAGGTATATTGTTTATATACCTGTACTGTCTAGGTATATTGTTTGTATACCTGTACTGTCTAGGTATATTGTTTGTATACCTGTACTGTCTAGGTATATTGTTTATATACCTGTACTGTCTAGGTATATTGTTTATATACCTGTACTGTCTAGGTATATTGTTTGTATACCTGTACTATCTAGGTATATTGTTTATATACCTGTACTGTCTAGGTATATTGTTTGTATACCTGTACTGTCTAGGTATATTGTTTGTATACACTGTACTGTTTGTATAACTTCTATAATTGTTTATATACCTTACTGTCTAGGTATATTGTTTGTATACCTGTACTGTCTAGGTATATTGTTTATATACCTGTACTGTCTAGGTTTATTGTTTGTATACCTGTACTGTCTAGGTATATTGTTTATATACCTGTACTGTCTAGGTTTATTGCATGTTTTTTTTTCCTATGCTGTCTAGAGTATATTGTTTTGTATACCTGTACTGTCTAGGTATATTGTTTGTATACCTGTACTGTCTAGGTATATTGTTTGTATACCTGTACTGTCTAGGTATATTGTTTGTATACCTGTACTGTCTAGGTATATTGTTTGTATACCTGTACTGTCTAGGTATATTGTTTGTATACCTGTACTGTCTCTGTATAACTATAATGTCTATATACCTTCTGAATCAATGTAAACTTGCATTAATATATTACTGAATCCAACTATTTCTCCTTTGTGTGGTTAAGTTAGGTTACGTTGGGTTAGGTTACGTTGGGTTAGGTTACTCCGTTGGGTTAGGTTACGTTGGGTTAGGTTACGTTAAGTTAGGTTACGTTGGGTTAGGTTACGTTGGGTTAGGTTACGTTAGCTTAGGTTACGTTAGCTTGGGTTAGGTTACGTTGGGTTAGGTTACGTTGGGTTAGGTTACGTTAGCTTTGGTTAGGTTACGTTAGCTTAGGTTAGGTTACGTTGGGTTAGGTTAGGTTACGTTGGTTCTCTATAGTAATGGTGTAGACACATGACGTCACACACTCCAGCCAATCCCAGCATGACTGACTGGCACTCTCTTGGCACTCTGAGTTGCACCAATAAACCTAATCTTAACTTTACACTGTGCCTCTTGTCTGGTGTCTGGTGTAAACTTGAATAAATTACAAACAATATGAAAAGAGGCTGAGAGGGTATGGTTGATCGTGGAGGTAATTTTGACCTTTGACCTTAGAATGGGCACAAAAATAAGGTACCATCATTTTAATCTTTACGAAAATATGGCACCTTAACATTGACCTTTGACCTCAGAATGGACACGAAAATACGGTACCTAATTTTGACCTTTGACCCCTAGAATAGACACGAAAATACAGTGCCTTAACTTTGACCTTTGACCTCAGAATGGACACGAAAATACGGAACCTTAATATTGACCTTTGACCCCAGAATGTGACCTTGACTTTGTTATTAAAAGACCTTGGAGAATATTTTAAATAAGTGGTAAAATAAAACTCAAGATTGGCCCCTAACTAAAACCTAACATAACCTAACGTAATCTAACCCTTAGTAGCGTTAGGGTAGTCTAATCTTCAAGTGATTCGTAACTGTACTTCACTATCCATTCATGATCATTTAAGCCAAGGGGCCACATGATTGGTTAAATTTATCGATAAGGCGGCAGCATGGGGTTGAGATAAGGCCTCCAAGCCCCAGATAAGAAGCCTTGTTTTAGTACCTCACATTGCCTCATCGAACTGGTCACTGTCTTCCGTGCTTCATGAGAGAGAGAGAGAGAGAGAGAGAGAGAGAGAGAGAGAGAGAGACAGAGAGAGGAATAATAATAAAAATAATACAATAATAATAGAATAATAATAATAATAATAATAATAATAATAATAATAATAATAATAATAATAATAATAATAATAATAATAATAATAATAATAATAATAATAATAATAATAATACGTCTTTGAATCAAACTCATTCCTAGCCAATAAAATACATTAGTAATAAAGTCTTTACCTTATGACAGCTTTACTAAGTCACCTGTAGGTAAAATGTAATTAACACGAAATAATAAAATAAACAATGTCAAAATCTCTAGATCACATCACCAAAATGGAATAGTTTCTATCTTAAAAAATATAATTAATTTCACTTAGTATAAATTACTTAATATGTTTGTACCCTAATTTTAGATCTGAAGTATAATTTGCATATTATTTAAATAATATATTGAATTTTGAATCATTTGTCACTACATTCATACATATTTTAATCAGAATTTTAAGTATCTATTCAATAGTTTACTATAAATGTTAAGTTAGTTAAGTTATTCATCATTCAGAAGAAAATTAAATAATAATAATATAATTTACTATACTGTACACGCATAGTTTCTTCACATACCTTTTAGGCCGTCACGTCTGGTCGTTTGCTGTGATCTGGTCCAGCCAAAACGAAACTGCCACTCACATGTGGGGTATCAGTCGTCCATAATATGATAGTTGAGATAAGACATACACGTCTACACCTCACCGGCCTCGTACTCTACTGCAGAGTCCAGACTCAGACCTCGACTGCTTCATCAACCTAGTAAGATCGGGGCGGTTGTCAGTTCAGCTTAGTTGTCTTCAAAATTTGCAGCAAACTTCAGTGGACAATACACTAAGTATTTCTCAGTAAGAATTTTTATTTTTCATATATCTGTACTTTTATTTATAGTTTGTACCTAAAAATATATGATGTAATTCTTAAATATTCATAATTTTTTAGTATTGCGTAGTTATCTACGAATGTATCTGAAGTTCTTGTTTACTATTGTCAGCTGATGTAAATTTTAACATCACAATCGCGTATTTTATTAAATAATTAAAGGGAAGCAGTACAGCATTTATGAAAATAATATTTGCCAAAAATTATTTTTATGACGATAATTATTTACTTTATTCAACGATACTGCAACAAAATACAAGAGTACATCCCAGGTAGCAACAGTTTCATAGAAAACTTACCTTATAGTTTTGGGGTAACTACTCGATATAGAAAAATAAGCGTTATCCAGTAAAATAATGCTCGTTGTTAAATATTTACGATTAAGTTACTTCAATACCTTCCTTCGCTTAGATAAAATGTATTATAAATATAAATAAATATACCTTGGACAAATATATGATAGAATGTTTAATATTACACAGTGAAGAATTTTTTTTTACGGGATTAGCCCACCAGGGCACAGGTCAATGACCCACATCAGGGTCTGGGGGGGGGGGATAGTAGTAGTAGTAGTAGTAGTAGTAGTAGTAGTAGTAGTAGTAGTAGTAGTAGTAGTAGTAGTAGTAATAATAATAATAATAATAATAGTAATATTATTATTAAAATTCATAAAGAATTTTAAATACAAATATAATAATAATAATAATAATAATAATAATAATAATAACAATGATAATAATAATAATAATAAAATAAAAGAAGATCAATATTGAGAAACGTTGTATTGTATGTCAGAGTAAGAGAAACAATCGAGACCCTGCAATTGTGTGTAAATGAGGCAGAAAGTCAGATCAGCAACCTGGGACTTGGTCACAATTTTCGTGATGCCGTATGGTAGCAGGGTCTACCATTAGACAATACATTAACCTTTAAATATTTTCCCTGGCGGTAATACCTCCCTGTTTGATAGCTGCCTACTACCTGTACAGAGAGATAGTTACAACTACAAATACACGTAACATCCACGTTTCAAAATAATAAATCTCCATATATATTAGATACTTCAATAACTCGACATACTTCATACACTCACGCGGACACACCCGCCCCAAAAAGTACCTTTATGGAGGTGGTCGATAAATTTCCACAATGAACACCGACTCCTGTTGTCTCGGTAGGGTTGTCAAAATCCTTCGTCCGTTGTCATAATTGTCTGACACACAAAATCGTAAAGATATTTTGCTTGAGTAAACTAAACAAGTCTGACGATTTACCACGTGTTTATTGCAGATATGATGCTTTTTTGGCTAAGACATTTATGGTTTATTGCAAAGAGAAAAATCAGGTTTATTGCAAAGATATAATTAGAATTGTTGATTGCTTGAGTAAATTACCTTAAGTTCCCTTTAGTTAGTCAATTGCAAGATGTACAACTATTCAAACACCAACCGCTACACTTAACATAGACAGTTATTTAATATTAAGAGACTCAGCGAGGCAATCTACATCACCCGTGAAAATACAGTTTTTATGGCTTCGTGGAATTGGGGGCGGGGCAGCACCTCCTAATAAGAACACCACGTCCAGGTAAAACAAAGCCTCGGAAGGAGACGAATCAGTACCGCTTGGGCTGCCGTAGGGGGTGGAGGTCTTCCTCAAGCCAAAACACCAAAACAACCGTAAGTATGATAGAGTTCGTGAGAGAAATTATTATTTTTTATTAGTGAACGTTCGCAAATGAATTTTAATCCCTTTATTTACAACCTGTAGAATTGTATCTGGATTAAATAAAATAAACAGATACCGAAAAAATCTTAAATGTTTGTTCTCGTGTGTGGAGCTTGAGTTAAGGTGTTTAAAGCCTATATTTGGCATTTGATCCCCTGATAATAGCAAAAGAACCTAAATCTAATAAGTTTTGTCCGTAATGAATGAACTCCTAAAAGACAAAAAAGCATCGTGGTTATTATTTAAAAATCTGTACGGTAATAATCTCCCAAACCCTTATTTTTTCCCTCTTCAACCTTAAAATTATTCCCTAAACTCAATTTTTCCCCTAAATTTCAGGACTATTTATCTTAGAATTCAAATCTTTTTTTTTCCCCCAGATATTGATGTTATATGAAGGACTGCAGAGAATTTTTAGGGTTTCTAAAACCATATGTAGGTAAGAATTTCACCACAAGGTAAGCCAATTGTAAGAACACACACACACACACACATTCGTTTATACATGAATTAAGAAAAATATGGCTTATAAAAATGTTATATACACTCATATATCACACTTGCTGTAGACCGCCTCATAATTTTCTTACCGAACACGTATACAGTATATATTTTTGGGTATTATTATACTTAAACTTTACAAACTTTGAATGACTTTACGGCAAAAGTATAGTTGATAAATTTTTTTGTATTTAATATATAATTGTCCTTTGTGAGAAATTTGGGGTATAGTTAACAAGCTATTTTTTTATATACCTTTTAAAGGTGATACGGGTGTGTGCGTCTACTACTACTACTATTTTTTTAAAAGGTGGTCTCAGCCTCCCCCAATAGCCACACCTTCACCCCCATTTTATTACCTTAAAATTAAATATCCTGTGTTGAGTTAGTTGAGCCGCAGATCTATGCGGCATCCAGTGACTGTTGCCTCGTAGTCAATATCTGCGACCGTTGTTGGCTTTGGGGTCGATGCTCTCGTTCCCCTGAGGCAGAGCAATGCAGACCTAAGGAGAGAGAAGGACAGTCGACATCTCATCCAGGCTGTAACATAACTTCTGGGCTGCTGCTTCCGTTCAGATAACACTCCCGCCAGAGGAGTGAAGCTGCCCTGATCAACATTCAGAATTCTCTCCCCATATGCCCTGATCTTGTCATTCTCGTTCCTCCTGTGTGCAGCATCGAGAGCTAGGTTACGCTGTCCCCGCGTCCAGAATCCTCGAGCACTGACGTCCACACGGGCTTCGTTGGATGTGTTTGAAGTCCTGTGACGGAGGTTCTCACCGTCCAACGGAAGGAAGGGCGGTTCCACCATGACGTCATGGCAGATTTCTTTCAGTATACAGGTATTTGCTGTTAGATCCCTTACTTCGCCATGCCTCATGCACACGAGGCCCCCTTTCTTACACACCATGGCGTGGTCGATGTCATGAGTCACACGCATTAGGAGGGCAAACCTTCTACTGGCCTACTGTACCTTAGAGCAATGGCATCTGTGAATTCTTGTTTATTAAGGATGAAACCTATTGCCCTTATCGGTAACGTTGTTTGCCGGTTTGAGGCGCCCAACTCCTGCGCTATAGTTGCGTTTTTTTTTTAAAGTTATCTTTCAATTGCTGCATCAGTTGTTGCAGTTTATCACTTTGGGTGTGCTGCCGTTCTGTCGTAATGTACCGTCGCATCTTGTTTAATTCATTGGTATCCACCTGACTTGCTGCATTCTAAGCTATTATGTGCTCAGTGAGAGCTGCCGTGAGCTTGACAGAGTTCTGGTGTTCTGTCCGGGCAGCTCCACTGGATTAGTCAAGCCCATTCCTCCCAGTCTCGGGGGTAGTGCAAGGAGTGACCTTTCTGCTGGGGTTAAGTAAGGGTTTTTCACTAATGTTGGGATAAAGGCGACCTTGATGGCTTCTTCCAGAGGGTGGAGGAGAGGTCCAATATCAGGGATAGTGCGCATCAGGTAGTTCCAGCGATGCTTGACTCTATGGGTGAATGCCACAAAAGCCGCATGTGGCTCTGTATTAGCAATCTCAGACAGAGCTTGGATTTCCTTCACCCACTCATTCACCTTTCCCGTTACGTACTCGGTCTTGAAGTCCGTCGTGCCGATTACTGCGCCTAGGTGTCTTTGGCCATCCCTTGTTTTTTTGACCTCACTTCCACCGAACGCCTTCATAGCCCGTTCATAATGTTCTGACTTCACAATGAGGAAGGACTTGCTGGCGTTTGGGTGGTACCCTATTTGTGGACCTCGTGATGTTATCAGGTCCCACCACTTATTGATGTCCTCCACTTTTCCTGCTCCTGTTAGGTCATCAGCGTAAGCCACTTGCTTGACCTCAGTTGTTTCATATTTTATTGTGTTGGAGCACAGACAGACATAGTGCGTACATTGCCATGGCGACAGGGTCCCCCTGCGTTGTTCCCTCAGTTGACTGTATGGTGGTATCTCCTCTTAGGGCCTTGAAGCTTGTTATATAGAGGTCTGGTGGGTTCCTGGAGGTGTTTTCAACATACATTGCAAAGCTTGGACACTTGATCTTGATGTTGTGCAGTGAGGCCTTGCGGTTGATCATGTTGAATGCGTTGGAAGAGTCAACCAGAACAGCCTCACAATCACGCTGCTCAAATATCGTTCTCGTGGCGTGAATGGCAGCCTCCCCGCCAGCCTGGTGGCCGGCACATACTTGCAGGTTCCCTACAGCTGCCCTGACATGATCATTCACCACCTCCATTATGCATTTTCCAATGATCCGCCTCCGCTCTTCCCCCACTCCTATAGGCCTACATCCTGGATTTTTATCCAGAGGAATGAGGCAGCAGGCCGTCAGAGTATGGAGGTGGTGGCAGCACGCGGTTGCTAGCTTTTTTGCAAGGGCGGTGGTGGCGTTGCAGAGATCACTTGCTACGGGGCCAAACTTGTTAGTGCTGAGGATGACTCTCCAACCGTCTGCATCCAGACCTGAAGGGCCGGCCCCTCCCTGTGTCTTCAGTGCTTTTTTCCACACCATCCCTCCTGTTATTTTCTCGAACTAGACAGCATTAGGAGGGATATAGGCACCCTGGAACCTGATGCCTTCCTCTTCACTTGCAGGGGGAAGCTTTTCCTTCAGTTGATACAGAAACATTCAACCCCAGGACGAGCGAGACACTGGTGTAGTAACACGGGAAATTGTAAATGAGAGCAGAAACCAACTCACCCACTTTACCTCATAACTTTAACGGAGAACTGCAATTATTACTACTTACCCGGAAACCACAACCATCATGAGAACACAAAATGATCAAAGTTTATACAGACAGCAATACTCCCAGTTTTTCTTTTGTGTGTGTGTGTGTGTGTGTGTGTGTGTAACAAAAACAGAGGTTGGTGACCCGTTGGAGACTTTAATCAAAACTTCCCGCACACACACACACACACACACACACACACACACACACATATATGTTTACCGCTGTAACAATAGTGCTCTACAATGCCTCAAACATCCGCCGCCGTGTTGACGTATGACCACCACACTACCACAGTTCATAAGATACTCGCTACTCTATAGGACAATATAACAAAACACTACACTATCCTCCTGACTAATGTTATATTATAATTGTGAAATATTTATAATGTACTTAAACCTATAACTATACTTCAACGGAAAAAAAATTGAGATTGAAATAATTTTGTTTTTTCCCATAGACGAGAATGGTGGCGGTGTGTAAACGCGACGATGAAGGTGGTGATAGTGGTGATGACGATGGTGATGATGGTGTCACTGACCTACTATGCTCCACTACACACCTCTAGACTACTTAAAAGGTACTCACATACACAAATAAATAACTGGATTTTTTGTTAAATGTTACATCTACCTCAATCTCCATAGTGTGTTAAGTATAGTTAATTAAGGTAAAGTTGAATCTTAAAATTGATGTTATATTCACGTGGGTTAAAAAAAAATTTACGCTTTATATCACGTCAATCCGTTAGATACATTAACGATCTTCCGTTATTGGGAATATCTACCAGACATACATACACCACTCAAAAAATATCCGCTACCAAGTTCTTTACAGATCATAAAAACAAATTTCCCACGTATAAGAATCGCAGAGGCACATGAGGTTGGCTGGTAACCATTCTTTACGATGCTATGCTCCTTTATTTTTTACCAAATACGAGGCTATATGCGCTGCTTTATACGACTATTTGTGTTCTGATTATACTATTCTCGCCCGTGTGTGTGTGTGTGTAGTATGCCAAATCATCTAATACCCAAGGACTATCTGCTGTAATAGGTAGTAAGCAGCTAATAGGGGGATATTACCGTCTGGGAATATATAATGTGTCTAACGGTAGACCCTGCTGCCATATGTGACCAAGTCCCAGGTTGTTGATCTGACTTTCTGCCTCATTTACACACAATTACAGGGTCTCAATTGGTTCTCTTACTTTGACAACACAACATACATATATCGTTTCTCAATATGTAAATTCGTGAAAAAAAATCATACTAGCGGTGATCAGAAAGTCGAAGGTATGGATGGAGACTTTATAATGCTATGTACGTACCTCCACCTTGTCTTTATTTATTTTTGGGGTGCTCAAGTTCACCGTTTATATGATGGCCGCCCGTGTCTTGGACGAGGGTATAAATGGATAATTATTTAGACTGGAATCGTGAAGAAAATGCGCTACAGTATAAAGTCCTGGGTTCGAATTCGCCCCACTACGCTTGAGGGAACATGGGGTAGGGGAAGCGAGGAGAAAAAGACGAGTTTGTGTACGGGAGGAGAATGACTCTGTGAAGTCTTCCGGTCCCACGTAATTGCCCACTATATTTTTACCTTATTTACGGAATGACCATCCCACTAGTAAAAACCTTTCTGCATAACTTGACGAATTTATAGTTTTGCCCCTCGTTGGTGGAGCGTGACATACTGACAACAACAAAATAGTCAGAGTTTAGGAAAATGTCATCTAAAAAAAAAACCGCATTAATTTCTAAAAACCAGAGCCGTATGTACAGTGGGGGGGTAAATAATAGTAGACTCGTTATGTACTTCAGTGAACTTCATGTCTTTTCACGGCGATGTTTGTAATCCCGTTGTAGCTTTGTACTCCAAGGCCCGCCAACAGTACTTCCTGTCATGCCTTTAACCACTCTCATACACCGTTGGTTTGGTGATGGAGGCGTATGTGTGTGTGTGTGTGTGTGTGTGTGTGTGTGTGTGTGTGTTGTGTGTGTGTGTGTGGTTCATTTTAACTCCCCACACACACACAGCTATTGAAGCGTTGATGACTAAGACAACAAAAAAAATCTTGGACTTGTTGTAAAATAAAGAAAAATAATTTATTTTAATTTAGTTTTCCTACCACCACCACCACCATGCCTCAGTCACTCGTGTTCCACTTAGTCTGTTCGTGGTTGCCTGCTTGGGTCTGTCTGCATCAGCAAACCAGCCATATTATAGGTTACCATCGGACATAACCCCACCGGACTAATTCCCACTGGACAAAATCCCACGATATTTTTCTTCCCTAAAATGAAAATATATATAAAAACACCATCTAAACACTTGAAATATGGCATCGAAACTACACTGAGACTGTACTGTAAAGGAATCCATTTTTTACATCAATTACGTGTGAGATGAATTCAGTAATGTTAGAGTCTGTGTGTGTGTGTGGGCGAGAACGGCATAATTTGGGAATAAAAGTTAGTTGTTGTGGTCGGTTGTTCTGTTACTTAACCTGACTTCTTTGTATCCATCCCACAGGGCCCTTCACCCGCCCCCCAACACCACCTGGCCGCCATCACAGTCAACTCCAGGAGGTTGTACTCCGAGGCACAATGTTATGTTTCTTAAGACGCATAAATGTGCTTCATCCACTACCCAGCGCATCTTTCTCAGGTAAGAGAGAGAGAGAGAATAATGCCCCCATACCTGTATACTAGAGAAAATATAAATTAATTAGATGACGTCATAGGTACAGGAACACATCCAGGTAGATAAGCGTTAATGAGAATGACCCACAAATTAACCAGGTCAATTATAAACCACAAATACAGGCATACAGGTGTCATTACAGATAGGGTACAGATACAGGTACAGTATGACTAAAGAAAAAACTAATCAAATCCCTCTTTATAGATACGGTAAGACCCACGGGCTGACTCAGGTGCTACCGCTGACGGGAAATTACCTGGGGTCACCTCTACCCTTTAAAGCTGGAATGATACCAAGGGCGCTAATGACTCCCGACCATAAGTACAACATGATGGTGGTCCACACACGTCTGGATGTTGACGCTCTGCACAAAGTACGTTCTCTTATCCTCAATTTTATCTTTAATCGTCTAAACCCATTGAGAATATGAGTTCTAAGTTAAAGGGATATCAGTACATGTGAATATAGTGAATGATCGTGTTTACATTTTCTCCCCCCCCCCCCACCCGTACAGGTGATGAAGGACAACGCTGCCTGGGTGACCATCGTGCGAGAGCCTGTGGCCCAGTTTGAATCCGTCTGGTCCTTCTTCAATCTAGAGGAGGTGAAGAAATAAAAGAAAAATCACCGGAAAAGTTTCAGTGTTTCATTGTACGGTGGACATTGGACACGTGAACACACACACACACACACACACGACACATACACAACACACACACACTACTACTTTGCTGTCATGCCACGGGTGGGGTGGAGTGGGAGACTGAGCTAAAAAGGTGTAATTAAATATTTTTGTCATTCTGAGATGTTTACTTTTATATTTGGATAATAAAATGACTGATTGAAATAACTAAACCATCGTATAGCATAACTCTCTCTCTAAACATTTCTCCCTTATTGTATTCTTTCCGTTTTTTCTCTCATTCGTAATGCTATTCGCCATTGTTATTCGCCCTATCTCTCCACAGCACTACAAGATGCCGATAGCAGAGTTCGCCACCCAACCTTACTCGGCAGTGGTGAGGGATCGTCGACAAAAAGTATTCGGAATCCATCAAATGTTCTTCGACTTAGGCTACAGCAGCATCGAGGATTATGAACCTGGCGAGTTAATGCAGAAGATCAAGAGATTAAACGATGTCTTTGATCTGGTGATGATAGCCGAGAGATACGACGAATCGCTAATATTGCTTAAAAATCTCATGTGCTGGACTACAGAAGATATTGCCTACCTCAAAATTAACGACAGGAAAAGGTGGGGAAGAATACAATTGTTTGAGGAGACGAAGGAAAGGTTACGCCATCTTAACCACCCCGACGTGAAGCTCTACAAATTTTTCTACAATATATTTGACCAGAAGGTTAAGATGTTTGGCGAGGAGCGGATGCAGCGAGAACTAAATGAACTGTTTATAGCCAATGAAAGATTGAAACTGTCTTGCCTGGTGAGTGAGCTGGACCCCCTAAAAGCCTCGCATGAAATGGATTGGGTTGCCTCAGTAAATAAACAGGTGGTGAGGAAAGACAACCAGACATGCGTCGACCTGGCCAAGACGGAACACAGTATGTTGAACGAAGTGAGGAACAAACAGAAGACGTGGGTGGAGGGAAACTGGAAACAAAACCTTACACAGATAATGATGAAAGAAGATCCCCCAAAACAGAATGAAGACTTACAAAAGAAGTTATTCAAGGTGTTGAAGGCTAACTGAGGTAAGTATGGATATAACTGATGAAGAATCACAATTATAAACAATACAAGTTGTTAGCGAGTTTGATATCTTACTTGATGTTAATTAATAAAGACCAGAAGGTTGTCAGGTGGCATCTTGCATCCTTTATGGGGGGATGACTGGCGGACAAATCTAAGTGGCCGTTATTATATTATATATGTTAATTCCATTATGAAATATCACTCCTAAAGTTTGTCATGAATAATTATTATTATATATGTAAAATGTCAAAACTGCCAATTAAAACTATTTCCATATTTATATTCAGAAACTACTTATGGCAACAAACAACATTCGAGAATAGTAGAAATAATTCCTTCTCCAAGCACAAATAACTGATAATGATAACAATTATATGTGGCTATTCAAATTTTTACTAAGCATATAAATAATTAAAGATTATGAGTTATTCTTAAAAACGGAATAATGAACAACAAACATCATTCAATAATGCACAAAGTAACATCTCTTGGTGCATCATAGTCAATGTTAAAGATATCCACGAACAGTAACCTATAACAAAATAATTACTCAGACTCCATTAACGAAGAAAATTTAAACATAACTTTACTAAATTTACATTATATTAATTAGGTAAATATAAAGTTATTATTGTCTACGGATTAAAAATATATAACAAATAACTTAAACTTTCCATTACAGTACAGTTGTTTTACTTAACATTGTCCATCTTGTTTCAGCAGCACGTAGACAAGAGAAGGGAAGCCAACGACCATTATTAAACCCTTATTAACTGTAAATCTCTCTTGAATATAACACAGGACAATTAGTGGTCACAGGAATTCTTATTATCTTCAAGTATATAAAGAAGACAAGTGTGGAGGAAGTTAAAATACCGCTGTCATGGCTAACCTATTTGGTCTTATTGTTTCTGGACGACTGGTAAATGATTTCACATATTTTATTTAACCATATAAAGACGAGTATATATTCAGAATAATTGTGAAGTTATAAGTAAATATTTTGAATAATTTGTAATATATGGAAAAACATTAATAAAGGTATATTTTGGTGGTGTTACCTTATAGTTGGTTTGGAAATTGTTCACACTTGAATCACTAACTTGAGGTCTTCTCATTCTTGAAGATAAATGTTTTCTTATTTAATGAACAGGTAAAAAAAAGTGTGAAGAAAAGTTAATGCTTAATATTGATTTTACTATTTCCTTTCCCTTGTGAATGGTAATATGTAAAAGGGGGCAGTAAAATTTTAGTTACGCCCATCTCTGTATTTAGATATCCAAACTATGTTTTTCCGATGGTTTTTTTACTTGTTTTGAATGATTTTGATCTAACCTAACCAACCTAACCTAGCCACAGTACCCAGGTACTATATCTAACCTAACCTAGCCACAGAACCCAGGTACTATATCTAACCTAACCTAGCCTAGCCTCAGTACCCAGGAACTATATCTAACCTAACCTAACCTAACCTAAATTCCTAAGACTCCCTGGATGACCAAAACTAAAATAATACACCAAAGAGCCAATGAACCGCATCTGTGGCTGCCGGTCGAACTAAAATTGTGAGGCCAGAAGGTTGGATCTAAAACATTTATATTAATGCCTTTGGCAACGGGGAACTGTGGTCACTTCCTCGTAAATTACAACAGATTTATATGATTTTTTTATTTTTTTATTTTATTACTAAGTGAGGTGCACGGCCTAACTGTTTCTTAGGGAAATTTATATAGATTTTTTTATTGGTTTGTCGCTAGATTTACATTTACTGTTTTAAAGCAAATGTGTTGGTGATAATTGTGATTAAAATAAATAAAGATGGTTAATACTAGAATAAATCTTTACTTACAAAACCCTAAACAACTTTTGGCAGGAGACTGTAATCTCTAGTACTGAACTGTATGATTGTATCGTACTTTTGTTATTTCAGGTACAGACAAATTTTGAGCAGGTAGGAGAGACACAGTTCCTGACAGTCATCCCACAGGCGGACAACATCAATCATGTTGTCGTCTTCCTTACGGGAACACAACCATTCCCTGATGGCCTCGGAGGATCAGGTCTGTTAAACTTTGTAGCTGTTTTTGTTTTTTTTAGTTAATATGTACTGTACTATAACTTCCCTCTTTGAAAGTTTTGTATAAATTAAGATTAAAACTGAATGTTATTAGTTATACTTTGACCATTTATAGTGTACTGTACTGTAGCAAAGTTTAGGTTGATAGCAGTTCAGTAATACACCCATGACCTTCTGCAGTGTACTTCAGTTGGCCTGAACCTACTAAGCCTCCCACCTGGCACCTCTTGGGCAATATCACAAATGAAAAACCATCAGCTATTTTCAAAATCTCTGGACTGAAGCAGTCAGGTGATGAAGGCCCACAAACAGGCTTCTCATTTGGTGAACAAAAAATGTCTCACAATGCACAAATTGGAATATCAGTAAGTTCAGTTTATATTACACGAAACTTTTCTTATATTAGACTAACTTGAAAGAAATGAGGCCCATAATTAACCAACGTATGTTTGCCATTACTTGAAATTGAACCATTTATGGCCCTTTTAAGCAAACATTTATCGTACCTTGTTGCATCTATACTCCATTAAACATGAATAACAGTGCCATATTATTAACTCACAAAATATAAAAGTTATATGAGTTGACATATTTACACTCCAGAGATATGAAGTTGTAGGGTGTGGGCGGGTGATCACACATGAAGTGGCTGACGTATTGGGGATGTATAAAGTTGCTTTCTATTTTAACAATGACAACCCCCCCCCCCCCTTTACATGCACACATTCATGGGCACTGTTTTTCCCGAATAAAAAACAAAACAAAACAAAGTAATCGTCATCCATAAAAAAAGGTTAAGGGTATTAGAGTATTTATGTTTTGCAGGTGGAGCCATTAACACAGATTCAGGGGCAGGTGGCTAACCCCTCAACAGAAGCATCCACTCTCAACTCCTATGTGGCATTCAGTCAAGCCATGTGTGAGAACCTCTACAACTATGCCTCCAGCTTTGCTCAGAGTCCAGCACAGATTACCCCCAACCCCTCGGAGCAGTACCTCCCCCTCTCCATCCTCTCTAAGTGGTATGAAAATTTCAGTCGTAGATTACATCAGAACCCAAATTTCTGGAAGAAGTAAAGGTATGGCAGACTTTTATATACTGTAATATAAATGTATTTAAATTGTCAAAATCAGATAGATTTAATTTTTATTAAAGAAAAAAAAATTAAATGAGGTTCAATTTGTTACAAAAAATGTAATTTGACCTCTAAAAAGAATTTATACTGTACAGGTATATAGTCAATGGGAAAATGATGCATAGCATGAACCTTGTTATACTGAACAAACGAGTTTCCTAAGAATACTGTATAGTTATTGTAGGTGTAACTAACATGAACTGTGTCAACCATGTCACCTGTACACTCCTCTGGCACCACTCTCTTTGTTATTGTCTCTCTTGATTCCAATGATCCAACCAACATAAAGAGTGAAGAAAGGTCAAGACAATCCGCACAAAAATTAAATACATATTAGGATATATATCACTAAAGCAGGACCTCAATTATCAGAAAGTTTAATAACAAAAAATCACACAATATCCCGAGAGAAAAAAATCACATAATCTCTCCTCTCCTCTATTACCTGATAATTCATCCATCATCTAAATGTGTCACTGTACTTTTAGAACCAGTCACTATAAACAATGGCAGCACAGTCTGTAGTGTCCCTCGCTTATTATCGTTTACAACTTGCTAAGCAGTCTATTGGTTTTGTTTATTTGTTTCCTAATAAATGTCTGAATACTGGCTGATTGAAGGTGTTCCTCTACATCTGCTGGCCATTGCATTTACAATTTTAACCATCTGTGTCCTGTGCACCTGAGTCAACTGTCTCACCAACTGATGCTTTGCCTTTGTGTATTGCAGTTGACATTTTATTCACCTTCATATTTTTTGGGGGGCAATTTTTATTATGAGATGAGACACAAAGTTTATTTTTAATACGTAAGCACGAATATTATCTTATTTTTTCCAACAGTTGATATACAGTACATAACATTAAATGAGGATCTAACATGTATATGGTGTTGGCTATGTTGGGAATGGTGAGAGAGGGAATCACACTTGAGGGAGAGAGAAATTAATGTACTGCGATCTCCCTCCCACCTCACACACTTCGTCCACTCGTCGTTTAATAAAGTTTGAGTGATCGGGGATTCATTGTACTGTACAGGGTATTGTATTCATCATTATTTCCAGTATAAAGCTACCAGATATTAAGATAAGCATTGGAATATAAATCTATGCAGTATTTAATAACCTGATTGTTTTGTTCGTCCTAGAGGCACATGTGTTCGCCCTCACCACTTTGCTTAGTCTGGTCATTCTCCGGTGTTTCATCTTTCGGGATAAATACCGGATAATCCTCGGTCTGTGTTTACAATGTTCCAGATGTGTAAATGGTTAATAATTCAACATGTTACTGTTTTAAACATTATTGGAGGTAGAGATTATGTGATGTTTATTACCCAAAAACCTACCATTGTTCTGCCCCCATTACAGATAAGAGGTCCTGCTATATTAGGGATATCAATGTAAAAATAGGAAATTGTAAAGAAATATCTACAATTTCTCAAATATACGACAAAATTATAATTGAAAAAGAATTGATTGAGAACCATAATTATACCATGAAATAATTATATACATTACTGTTCATTATATATTAATATAACTATATATTGTTATAATGTTATTACAGTACAGCATTTCATGTGTTAAGTATCAGATTTTTATGAGGTGGAAATTAAGTGGGAGAGTACAGGGCCATTTTTTTTATCCGAGAATCCTAAATGATTATTACTGTATATAGCAGAACGTGCAATAAACAGCAACCTAAAAAATCAATGCAGAGAGTGTTTATTTTCTTCACTATGATAGACTAGTGGTTGTGTCCACGAGAACTTTTGTTACTGTATAGAAGTCATTTGTTATGTGGACAGAATCATGGGAATAACCCTTCAAACTTTTATGGTAGAGGGATGAAAAGGTTAAGTTTGTCTCTTGCGTTGTAAAGGTCAGTACGGTTTACGAGTTTTCTGGAATGGGACTCGGACGTAAATACTGTATAGGGAAAGTATACTGTACGTTGTTTGACTTTACGGTGGCCTCTGTATAAAATGCCAACTGTATGTCTGGTGTGTATTAATTATATCAAATGTTCAGTATGTCTAGCATTTAATTTTATAGTAAAGGGAAATATTCTTAATGTTTACGTTTAGTTTTTCCATTGTTTTCTTTAGTTTAAATGCTGTACTTATAAAGAGAGTGGCACTAGCAATATGATCTCAGTTGTTGCAAGATGTGGTGTTAAGAATCTTCCATGACACATATGATTCATTCCTTAATTATGTTTGAGGCTTTTGTAGTACAGCTCCTCCCCGACTTACGACTTGGTTAGGGACCCAAATCCAGGTCGTAAGTCGAAAATGCTTAAATAATACATAGAAAATCTAAAATGGGTATCTCTTTTTCTTCTCAGCACCACAAAACTCACTTTTAAGCTTGCCAGCCATTTTAAAGGAATTACAAACGAAAATTATGTCAGTACACAGCACAATCACTGACGTTGGGACTCGAAAATGCGTAACTTGACAAAATTTTGGTACAACTGAGGCGGTCGTATGTCCAGGTGGTTGTAAGTCGGGGAGGAGCTGTATATAATTTTTGATTATGTACTTTATTTTTAAGAATACAGTTACCTTTATAATATACTGATACATGTGTTTAATTATGTAGTCATTTTTATTATTTGGTATTAAGTAGTCTGTAGGATTTTCTATTCGAGGGGAATGAAATTTAAGAAATAAATTATAATCATTCCCTTTACTGTTCAGGGTGTCCCACAGTCAGAGGCAGCACATGATAGTTAACAATTTAAGAACTAAGAGGGAGAAAATGTAGGTAGAATTTTTACCTGGCAGTTAAAATGTACCTAACATAACCCGAGACTATTTCTCACCCTTGGTTCACGAGTGTTTGGGTTATTTGAATACAATGAGTTTTGTTTGAAGATTTATATAATGTGATTCTCATGGATACAAAGGGGAAATTTTATTCTTTGGTCCAGTTATTGTTTCCACCTGCTTCAGATATTTAACAAACTATATTAATGGCATGTTAAATAATAAATCCAGATTGTATCATTTACTAATGGTATACAGTTCAATAAGCACAGTACGGAACAGGTTAATACAGTACAGTAATATAATCTGATGGCATGACAGTAACTTTTGGGAACAGGAATTTGTGTGTACCATGTTCAATAACCTGTATCCTGCTGTTAGTGACTAGTTCACCTGATATTATTACAGCTCCATGATTTAATGTCTATCTTACCGCATGGCCGAGCTTGCACGTGTAGCAGTGACAGCATTATGGCATGCTGTACTAGATGGGGTTATTATGATTTGTGGGAAGGGACGGGTTAAACCGTTAACATTTAATTTAATAGTCAATTTGTATACTATTTTTGTTTACTTTTATTGTACAGTATAAGATGATTGTCTTTTGCTATCAAGGTTGGTGCTCTTGTGAGTGGTATATGGCTGATAGAGTACTGTATTGTATTACATTTTATCATGTCCTTCCATTATTGTTGTTTCACCTTCATTATCCCCAGATCTCTCAACTCTTACTTCTTCAAACAGTTGTGCATCATGACATATAAATTTATTTTAAGTCCAAATTGCTGCTATCAGATATTAATATATCATTGAACCAAAGATTCTCGTTTGTCAACTCGTGTACATGACCGATTCATTTTACGTGAATATCCATGTAATTAAACCCTCGTGTGTGGGTTCCCCTGAACTGAATAAAATCATCTGGCATTAGCTAATTAAAATGTTAAAAGTGTCGTCCCCATAGTGAAGGAGTTAAGAAGATACAGTAGCTGTGTATGGAAGTAGAATACAAAATGATATTGACAAGTATCATCACATCATTGTTTTGTGTCGTTATGTAGTTAAAGGGGACCTGGAATGTTATTTGTCTGTTTGTGCATCTGGGTGTTGACTAACGAAGCTCTCTTGACGGTTAAAAACCGATTTAAATATAACTGGATATGTAATTGCATTTTACAGTATAATCTGATATCTCAAATTCTTGGTCAGTCCTTAATAAGTATTTAGTGCAACACATAAGACTCCTAATGACTGTATTTCCCAAGTTAAGCAGGTCTTACATCTCCTGGGAATATCAAGCCTTCTAACCCAAGGTCCCATAGGCATCTCATAAGATTAATACTGGGAAAGGATAGCAGCATATCTATGATTATTAAGAGCATGTGGCAGTAGTACATTGTACTCTGTTGGCTCATCTGACAGTGGATGCTGCCCCCCACAATGATTCAGATTATTCAGCTCAAACAAGCCTTATGAATTAATGAGAGAGAAAGACACATTACAATTTCAAGTCAATGAGAAAAATTAATAAGCAGAAAAATCTTGTAATGTCTTCTCACAGAGCACTAGAACACAATGTAATAAATCCTTAACAAGAGAGTACTGTGTGTAGAACCATTACCCTCGAGGCAGGACCCCAAGTTTCCGTAATCTTCAGTAAATAAAATGGGAGTTACACAAGAGTTCCACAATGCTCTACAACTGAGGTTCTACTCGATAGGTCAGAGCAGACCTCAATCTGGAAACACTAGGTTGTTGAGCTATGAAATTTGAGACCTGTTTATAAAGCCACATTACCAAGTTAGACTACCCAATCTTTGGGGTAACTGATGCTTCACAATACTGTACAGTACATCCTTTTGCAGTCTATGGTTATGGTTGAAAGCAAATTATATATATATATATATATATATATTAGTAGTAGGAACTGTTAAATTATTCACTGAACATCTACTGTACTTTCAAGTATTTGAAGGTAACCTTAAGTAGACATAGCCAACACATTCCTCTGCACAGTTAACAGTAAAAACTCCCTCTTTGACCCAGAGCTTAATGGAGTATGTTGGTTACCATTAGAATGACTGATATAACATGATGCTACTGAATAAACTTATCAAGACACACATACAGACAACAGCTCAATAACACAAGAATGTCAGTGGGTACGGGGAACAGCGCGGTAGCATTCACAAGTAATGGATGTGAGTATGGCAACTTACCACCTAACCCCAAAGAACTATAAAAATGGAGATTGTCTGATGTTTCTGGATATACAGAGATGAGATAAGTGGGAGTATGTGAAATGTGTATGTACAGGTGTACAGTATATGTACAAATTTTTATGCTGCTGTAAGATTAAAATAGCCAATCGTAATAGTTGTAATAAAATCCTTGCTTCCTTACCTTCCACTCCTGTTGATACATTTGTTTACGTACGATATTCACAACCAATGTACCTACAGCACAACCATACACTACAACAGTACTAATTCTCATACAACATACCGGTACCAGTATTGTCCTGATGGCTGGATTGTGCCGAGACTTTCCATAATGTTTTAGGCTCTTAATCTATGTTAGAACCTGTAAATGTAACACAGAAGATACAGTTTAAGTTCTTGTACAGTATTATATTGATTATAATTTGTAATACTAACATTTACCCCTTGCTGTAACATATAGGTCTTTCAGTGCTGCTGTAACCAGTTCTTCTGCATTATTATGAAATACATTTAGCTGTATTATTGTTTTTATCATGTGATCACCCAAGGAACTATTTGCCTCGTGTCTTGTAGTACTGTAATACGTTATTCATTCATATCTTTCACTTCAGAGATAAACTGTTGAGAATATATCTATGGTTCAGTAGTCATTACATAATATTTTAATACATTTTGTTGTTTTGTTTATATTTCATTCAGTTCTAAGTGACTTTTATATAATTGTCAGGTCTATTAATATGTGGTCTTCTCATTTTCTAGGCGGGCTACGATAGAAATATGCCCCACGCAGATATAGTAGAGTTGTTTTGTCTGTTATTGTAAAATACAGTATACGAACTTTTAATTTTCATCTAGGAAGAAGTCAGCAAATCCCTGGTCTCATAAAACTTAAATTATTATATATGTACAGTACAGTCACCTGCACTTGTACCTGGTGCTGTACTGTACAGTGGAAGGTACATTTTGAGAGCTGTGCTGGCGACTGTACTGTACCTCTGAATTACTGTATTGCCAAACTCCACTGACAACTATAGTGCTTTTTTTCTCAGCTGAGAAAAAAATGCCTGGCCCCCTCCCCAAGAGTTACAGCTGATTGGCCGTTGCAAACCTGTCCAATTTTGTCCTGAAGTAATGATGCATTTCTAAATGAGTTTATTCATAATCATTGGGATGACCGTTTATGACGAGAAAGATATTTAGCTAGATTATATAAAGATACATACATTCAGTATTTCAAACATAAGCAAATAGGAAGTTTATTAGAAGTACAGTATTATACATGAATTAACTGTTAAACTCTGGTAGCAAATTCACACTTTTGTAGGATGCATTTAATATATACATATTTTTACCCACAATAAGGCATACTAAGACAAATTACATATCAGTAATACTACATTATGCAAAAACAACATTTTTAAAGATCAGAATCACATTGAAATATTACACGACCGTTAGCAGAGGCGGGAAAAATATGAAGTTGTTTGCTACCAGAGTTTAACAGTTAATTCATGTATAATACTGTACTTCTAATAAACTTCCTACTTGCCTATGTTTGAAATACTGAATGTATGTATCTTTATATAATCTAGCTACATATGTTTCTCGTCATAAACGGTCATCCCAACGATTATGAATAAACTCATTTAGAAATACATCATTACTTCGGGACAAAATTGGACAGGTTTGCAACGGCCAATCAGCTGTAAATTTTGAGGGGGGGGGGGGGCATCTTTTCTCAGCTGGGAAAAAATGCAATATAGTACAGTATTCCACTTTAGCTTCCTGCCTTATATCTAAATGAGAAGGCTGAATATGTCATGTCACATGCCCTTGTTGTAATAAATACTGTATCCCAGCTTTATTGAGGCATTTTAGAGTCCATTACATAATTGAGTGATTTGGGTGGCACTTTTTACTTTTATAAATATACATACAGTATATATATATATATATATCTATATAAACAGTAATGTTGACATTTTATTTCACCACCAGTTTAGATTCTCACGGTGAAATTTGGTGAACTGAGTAATGCATATTGTTCATATTTTTTTTTAGGTATAAAAATATTCAAACTCATTATTTTTTCAGAATCTTTTAAAGAATGTAAAATAACTCTAGTTTTCACACTTATCATCATCATTACATACCAACTGCTGAGGTAATTTTATTGATTTTATAATTGACCTTCATGGCATAAATCGACCTACAGTGTAGTTCATGATACAAAATTAATAGAAAAAAAAAAGAGGGAGATGGTCAGAGTACAGCAGATGGCATAAGAAAAGTACAGTACAGTATAGAAAGTGAGAGGAGAGAGCTGATGGTCAGAGAAGTGAGAATGAGATAACAATTGGAGGTAACTTAACAAAAATAATTCTGTATCTCTTCAGTGAACAAAACTGAAAAAATAATTCATCTAATACCAGTAACATGATAAATTAAGTTAATGTATATGTAAGGCTCTTTTGTCCCACTAAAAAAAATAGAAAAGTTATTCTCTATCCCTTTAACATAATTTAAATTTATTACTAATTTAATTCCAACTACCTGTACTTGGAAGAATATACAAGAAAGTATTTGCTCAACTGTATCTAATTAAACAATGAAGTTCCGTTTTTCTAAGTGGCCGCATCACATCCCTCCACCTCTCATGGGAGGGGCCACAAGAATAACTCCGTCTCCTCTCACAAACAACATTGGGATGTTCCGTCGTGTGGTTTTGTAGACTTCTTCAAAAGTCTCGTCATCAACCTGCAACAGAGATGACGATGGTGTTAGGAGTGCTGTAAATGGTCACATGTTAGTAAAGGTTATTGAGGGGCACACAAGGGTAGTTACCCCAGCTCATCGGAGAAACCAAATTTAATTATAAAATAACCATATTACCAACCTCTGTATTTCTGGTGTTAGTACTTAAGAGCTTTGGGAGTTACAACCAACACACAGTACATCCTCAAATCACCTTGTTGACATTATGATCTTAATGATTTTATTACTGTGCTTCAACAATTAAGGTCTTTTAAGTGCATAATGAGGTTAGTAATTATAATAGTCATAAATAATAAGAAGTTATGTTAGGTTAAGAACCACCGAGCCATACATACCTCTACAGAAGTCACAGTCTCCTCTACGTCCCCTAAGATCATGTTCAAGTGCTGGTCGTAAGCGTGGAGGCGGCCTCTAAGTTCCCGTTCATTCCGCATCTTGACGTAAATTCTCTCATCGAGGGACAAGCGGATGAGGTCGAGAGGCTCCTCCACCGCCATTGTCCCAATTGTTGGTTCCACATCATCTGCCATTTTTTTTCACCTGTAAATAATCCAACGGTAATCATATGGGCTCTAATACCTTATAAATGTCTATCACTCGGTCATTAGCTAACTTATTAAGGTATTCTTCATTGGCTGTCATCAACCTATAGTAATTACAGTACACGGTCTTTAACTGGGTTTACTTCCTTCTGGGGTTCAGTAATAACAAAATATACTGATGAATGTTTTAAGTCTAATGCACATTATATAATCCTTACATGGAAAATAAAAATTGTCATAAGGAAAAAAGAATGAGAAAGAAAGACAGAACTTTGTCACATTACACAGTTTCAGTTAATGGAACAATGGATATCCTGTGTAGGTTTGTTTTTGGCTTTTGGAATGTAAAGTACCATTACTTTATCGTATACTTTATTTTTTTAACTTATCACAAGGTATATCATGATAACTGCTGCTGCTGAATACATAAAGTACAGCTCCTCCTCGACTTAAGACCTACTCGACTTACGACCACCCGCACTTACGACCTCCCTCAGTTGTACCAAAATTTTGTCAAATTACGTATTTTCGAGTCCCAACGTCAGTACACAGAAAATTTTTTCGTTTGTAATTCACTTTAAAATGGCTGGCAAGCTTAAAAGTGAGTTTTGTGGTGCTGAGAAGAAAAAGAGACACCCATTTTAGATTTTCTATGTATTATTTAAGCATTTTCGACTTACGACCTGGACTAATCCCGTCGTAAGTCGGGGAGGAGCTGTATATACTTTTTGTTACTTAAATATGTTCTACACTGAACTGATAACATTAAATTACCCTAAACTTCAACATACACTTATAAAATGTTTTTCTTAACAGAGTAAATTCATTACACACATAAAATTACATTCTAAACTTAGTTAATCATTACTTTCTATAAATACTTGCCAAGTACACAAGTACCGGTACACACAATATATAGTAAAACCTAACATTCTTTATGCCATTTATTACACCACACCATAGTACTGTACTGTGCTGTATAACACCACCAACCTACCCCACCGCAGAATAAAACCTGCGTCTCATAAATTAGGTGACTAGAAAAAAAGTCACAATTTTGGCTAGGAAATACAGTTGCACTTTATATAAAACCATTAACAAATAAAGTAATAAAACTAGATGCATTTTAGGGGGTAAGGTTAGTTGGTTAGTTAGTTTGGATAGGGTTAATTAGATTTGGTTAGGTTAATTTGGGTTAGTTAGGCTAATTTAGGATAGGTTACATAACATTTTGAATGTTTTCTTCAGTTATTAAAAACTAAACTATCCAAAAGTTAAAAAAATTGTCATGTTCAAAAAGATAACAAAACTCACTTTTCTCCTACAGTCAGGCACCCTGTACAGTACTGCCGGGCCAACGAGCTGGTGTACAATAAACAGGATAAATCATAATATCATAGTCCATCAGTGAAGAAATAACAGGCTTGAGGAACTGATCAGTAACTCACCACCTAGAGAGAGGATCCTCATTGTCTTAAAAATTACTAAGAGAGAAGAGTCATATTGTGTTCGTAAATCATCACAGGAGAGGGGGTTCATTGTCCTTAAATGTCAAAGTGAAAAAAAAAGAGTCCAATTTAAAATCATCACAGGAGCATCATTGCCCTGCAAATTCCTTGGGAGGAATCTTGTTGTCCTGAAATTGTTCCTCATCTCTGAATCTATTACACCTTCACACACACACACACAGGTATACGTGAATTCCTTTTCAGGTAGGTAGGTAGTTGGGAGGTACTACCGCCTGGGAAGATATTGGAAGCATAATGTGTTGTCTAACGGTAGAACCTGTTGCCATACGGCATCACAAAAATTGTGACCAAGTCCCAGGTTGCTGATCTGACTTTCTGCCTCATTTACACACAATTGCAGGGTCTCAATTGTTTCTCTTACTATGACAACACAACATACATATGTATATTGTTTCTCACTATTGATCTTTTTTTCATTTTATTTATTTATTTATTGTTATTATATTTTCGTCCCCAGGCCCTGATGTGGGTCATTGACCTGTGTCTGGTGGATTAATCCCATGGAGAGATAAAAAATAAATAAATAAATAAATAAAATAAAAATAAAATAAAATCTTGTGTCTTCACCAACCCAGAGAACAATAAACACCATCTTAAATGCTTCACAAAAAGATGAGTTCTTTGGCCACTTTAGTGAGCCCTAAATATTGTATTTCAGGGTAGAGTATTAACTGAGGTTTTGAGCCCATTCATCACATTTACAAAGCAATTAATGTACAGTAATGTATCGTCTAACCTTCTCCATATTGTCTTCAACTAAGTATAACTCGTAAAGTGCAATTTAGAGCAGACCGAGATTCAATTAGCACAAAATTTTCTTCGGGACACATAATAAAAATACCTTTGAAATAACTAACTGATATTAAACATAAATTAAATAGAGTACAGTAAAAATACTTTGGTCAATAACTCAGTCTAAAAACATTAGTTTTGTGCTGTAGTAAATCACATACACAGTCTGTTTCTCAGTTTCATCGAGTCATTTGCCATCGAAAAAAACAACGTTCATTGGCTAAATTACTAGACCGACGTACTGGAGAGTCCAATATATGTTTCTTAAAAAAATCCTTCAAACCTATTGCTGTTTTCCTCAATCAACCTCTGAGCTTCGGCCCACATCACCTTCTTGGGAATGGCCTCTTTTAAGAACTCCAGGTGATCAATAGAGTGAACAGAATCAGCCAAGGCTTCATAGTCGACGCTGTCTCTCTTGCTGGAATTTGTCAGAGATTCTTCCGATAAATACTGGATAAATAACTCCGTGGCTCTGGTGATGAGGTGGAGCGTTTCCTGAGAGACCGTCTCCACATCGGGACAACTCTTCATGATCATTTTGACGCGCTGGGTCGGGAGAGTCAGGTCACTGGCAACGTTGCTCGCTCGACCCTGTTTGCCCGGAGGTGACTTGACTTGGGAAGATGCCATTTCTGCTTCCAACCTGAAGTAGTAATTGGAGAGTTACTGATCTCATCAAATCTGCTGTAATACTTTACTTCATGACTATGTGTTTAGAGAAGCAGAAATGGCACCCTAGGAAGATATCATGTGAATAATAATCAGTATACATATATATGCTGACTGACAGACTTATAAACACAACAACTCACAGTACTGCACCCACCTTTATCTTTAATAAAACAGTATAGACAAATATAAGTTGTATTGTAGCGTACTCCACTACAGTATCTCTCGGCTTAGTTTATTATATTAATGGGTTTTACAGAAACAAGGAACACATTTATTAAGTAAAGTAATAATGTCATACATGTTCACCCTGTACAGTACAATGACAGTACAGGTATACAAACAATGGAAAATAGTAAGTTTATTTAATCAATGACTGCACACAACAGCCGTTAAAAGACCACTTAACCTATGCATGGACACTACAACGCCACATACAGTTAGGTTAGGTGGGTACATGACCCCACTGGAGCACGTGGCTGTACATTATGTTCAGGACGGAGAACAGTTGGGTAAGGAATAATATTTTTCATAATACGGTAATATTTTTGGTATTACTGTATTATCATTTTGGTTATGTAGAGAATTTTAGGATTTTAAGGTAAGGTTAGGTTAGTCTGGGTTAGGTTAGGCTGAAATTATGGTTTTCCCCGGTGACTTTTGATGAGTTTTGAACGAATTCCCAAATTGGTACATTAACAAAACGATAATTTTACCATATATTTACGACTTTTACCATACCAAACATACGCAAGGTCAAACACTACGACTTATGAGCAACTGTTACATCACACGACTTATTGACCACGAAATGAACAAACCAAGTCTAGCCTCCACCGATTAGTTAGTTAAATACGTTGGGTTGGTTCATTTAATCACAGCTGGTTACTGTAATTACACACCACGATAGTTAACCAGGGATAAAGTGAAATATTAACCTTCTGTTCAGTGGCCGGGGGGAGGGAGATAGTGGCGCCCCTCGTGGATTATGACGGTACTATAGCCACCTTAACACATGACCTACTGGTTCTAACTTATTTTGATTGACTATACTAAGAATTCACATACAATATGATACAATATTAACTAAAAATACAAACTAAATTTATATAGATTTAAAATAAAACTGGATAAAAGAAAAAATCATCTCATCTCCATTATCCTCCTCATCTTCCTTTCTTCTCTTATATTTAACTATACCCAGCTTCTTCACGACTACACAAACGCCATTATTTGTATCTTAATGTCCTTACCTTTCTATATTAAGTAGTTTTAGTGAAGACGAACGAGGATAACTACCGCGTGCAGCAAACAAACTCTGTCTTCTCCCCACCAATCACGTTTAAGATCTGCGAGTCTGGAGGAACATATCAGCCAATCACCGTCCAGCCGGGGTATACTGTCAAGGACCATCAGTATAAATGTTTATCTATATATTTTTTTAATGTTAATGTCTTCCATCACTATTATATCATTATCTTATTTTATTTACTGTTTATTTGTTATTTTTAGTTTAGATTATAATAAGTACACTATAACTTAAATGTTTATGACCCAACTGTATAAACCAATCTGAAAGTAACCCAAAACATGAAGGTTTATACCATTATAGATGTATAATCTTAATATAAATACATGTGAAGTAGAACTCAAATATGAACAAGACAAATAAACAAATATTTCAAGTACTACACTCAACTGTCAAAAGGGCAATATAGTTAATGTTAAATATTCATTGCGATCAAGAATTGTGAAGCTAAATATTTTTCAGAACATTTCAGGTAACAATAAGATATAAATTAACTCATTAAAAATTAAAAGATGACTTAAAGATTATTAAGTTAGTTTAGGCTGGGTATATATTAACAGTTAAAATAAAAATAATAATTACTGTGGGTTTTTGTTACAGTATTTTTATCAACATTGCTCATCTTATCAGAGTTGCCAACTTAGCGACTTTGTAGCTAGATCTAGAGCTTTTTGTTTTTTTCTAGCGACATTTTAGAGCGATTTGTGACTTGTCTAGAGATATCCACTGAGATCTAGCGACTTTCTGGATACTTTGAGACTGTCCATGAAAACTCAGTTTTCCTAATTTCGAGCCATAATATATAGCAACGGGGTTACAGGGACAATACATTTGAACGGGTTGAACTCATAAAACAACTTCGTCAACTCTTACCTGACAACATTCGTGTGCTGCAGTCTATTTCTTTTCTGAATGCCGATGAATGCTTGAAGCCTATTAAATCAGATATACTTGGTTTGGCACACTTATTTACAGAAGATTCCAGCACCCTTACCAAGATTGATTTCCAGTGGAAAAAACTGCATCACACAATCTGGACAGAAACATCTAACACCCTAAAATTGTGGTCAGAAGTGGCAAATTACAGAGATGCGACCGGTGAAAACCCTTACCATGATCTGGCTGAAATTGCACTCGCTGCCTTATCTCTTCCGCATTCAAACGCAGATGTAGAGCGCACATTTAGTAATATGAACTTTGTGAAATCAAAATTGCGCAACAAAATGAAACTGTCGACATTAAAGGCAATTCTTACAATAAAGTATGTTAATGTAGATTAGAAAATTCATCGTAATGCATGAGAGGACCTGATGCAATTACTATTGAATAATAGGTAAGTGTGCACATTAAACTTTAAACAAAATAATATTTTTATTTTTACATAATGCATTTTATTTATACTCAGTCCATTATAGTCGGCATTATGAAAATATTATTTGCATCAAATTACTGAAGGGGGGGAATAATAGCTAGCGACTTTCCATGGAAGACGAAGCATTACTTAGCCACTTTTTGTAAGTACCTCAGCCAGCGACAGTTGAAAAACCCGAGTTGGCAACACCGCATCATGTAAACAGACCAACAGCGATTCCAGGCGCCGAGGGTGACCCATGACACTGATGGGTTGCCGGGTCGAGTCTGTGTAACAGCGACCCAGGCGTCGAGGGTGACCATACAATGATGCTTTTGTTACGGGTCGAGTCTTAGGTGTAACAGTTGACCCAGGCGTCGAGGGCACTCTGCGACACTGATGGTTGCTGGGTCTTGTGTAACAGCTGACTCAGGCGTCGAGGGTACCCGCGACACTAATGGTTACGGGTCGAGTCTTCTGTAACAGTTGACCTACAGTAGGCGTCGAGGGTGACCTATGACACTGATGGTTACGGGTCGAGTCTTGTGTAACTCCACCACCCCAGCCTGATTACAATGGCCCTCCTGGTTGAGATCTTATGCAGTTGGACGAGGTAGAAGAAGTTAAAAGGTTTGTGTAGTAAGTGGAGGACTTCTATTTGTCTTAATTATCCAGTTAACGATAGACCGTCAGCCAGGTGAGTGAGAGAAGGTTAATAATGCCATTTAATAACAACTTCGACTTATATTAAGGTACTAAACATACATAAATGGCTTGACTCTTAATGGCTCTTCAACAGGAAGGTGCTGGCAAAGGTTGATTTAATAGGTTATAAGCACCTCAAAGGGCATTTCTGGAGGTGGTGGTTGACTGCCCCATTAGATGTCACAGTCTCAAGGGAAACAAGTCACTGAAAAGCCTTTATATACCCATTACCGATGCCCTGACTGGTGAACTGTCCGTGGACGAAGAGGATAAATTAAAGTGATTATTGACTGTTGACGATGATGACGGTTGGGCTGTTAATGGTCTAATCACCTAACCGTTTATCATTGTATACCTTCATTATATATACGGTAAATGTTAATTATACTTTGTTTACTTATGTTTTGTTTTTACTTATCTTAAAACACTTGCAAGATTCGTTTATTATCACGGTAAAATAGCCAGACAGAAGACTAATAAATTTACTATGCTATAAAAACCATTTATTGTGACTATTTTAAAAAAAATCTGGGTATTATTAACGTTTCGGTCATACAGCGAGTTTAGGTTAGGTTGAGTTTGGTTGGGTAAGGTTAGGGTAGATTAAGTTTGGTTAGGTTAGGGTAGATTGAGTTAGGGTAGAAAACGTTGAAATTATGTTTTTCCGGTGGGTTTTATTTTTGTCTTTTGAACCATTTTGACCTTTGGGAAATAGGTGCATGACCAAAACGATAATTATACCATTTCTCTGAATTACTGCTACTGTATATAATTTTGTGGGGAACTTACTATTTACATATTTTTCACATAACTTTATTTCCGCAGATGTTACGAGATAGGAGAGTACGTCGCTACCAGAAGTTCTTAAAGACCCTCAGACAGCCAGAATCATCGCGCTGCTCCTGCCCGTCACACCTCCATCCTCGACCTTGGGTTCCTCCTCCGTGTCGCACAACGCGGCCTCATGGGGTATGGATGATGGCGCTCTCCTCTACGTCTTTTAACTTTTAATTTGAATTTTTGAGCTTTTTTTGTATTATGTGTATTGTATTATTTTTGGTGTTAGTGTATGATATGCTGTACTGTACGTACTTTATATTGCCACTAGGTATTTTGGATATTTTTTTAATCTTGACTGGTGTTAGTTTGACGGACAATTTTGGTTTCATTTTGCTCAATATGTGATGTTTAATGCAATGAAGATAGTCTCTTTTTTTCGAAACGCAAAATTTTTTATTTATTTTTTTCAATTTTCGAGTTGAGAAGTTTTTATCAGCAGGGAAAGCTATCGACTGTAGATGTTATTGTGCCAACCCCTGTGAACTCTTGATCATTCTCCACACCAGCCACTCTGTGACTAAGGTTAGGTTAGGTTATAATGGTAAGGTTATGATTTGTTGCTCTTCAATGGAAAACGGTCTAAGTGATTCTCAACTCGGAAGTTTAAAAAAACAATAAATTTTTTATCATTTCCATAAAATAGCTCATCCCCATTGTATTACGCATCAAATATTGAGAAAAAATATACCCAAATTATCTTCCAAACTAGCAACAGTCAAAATCCAAATAATTACTGGTACTTAAATTAATGTCTCATCTTTGCTTCCATTAATATACTTTACTATTTTAGTTTTCACCTTACATGTATTGTATATCATATTATGGTACGATAACTACGCTATAAGAATTATTTTATTGATTTTATTGTGACAGAACAAGAATCATAAGTTTATTTAATTTTAACTTCTATTCCATTTTCTTTTTTCTACTAGGAAGAAATTTCACTACACAGAAGGTCTCATTCCAATCCAGATTTGTTAACGTACTCTAGACAATCATCTGTAAGTATTTCTATTATTGATACTTGTGTGTGTGTGTTCTGGGGGAGTGATTTATACCTGTATATATAGACATTTATCAGATTATACACCATTAATTAATATTTTATTCTTTTATATATTGAAAAATATCACAGTATTTAAAGGCATAAAAATAATCTATTACTATTGTGTTTTAATGACCATCAATCACTCCTTTCAAATACTCTATATATCTCCCGTGAGTTTTATTCTCTCACTAATATTGTTATTCATCCATATTTAACACTACTGCATGACCATCTTGCCTTTGTTTACCTCCCTCCATTTTTTTTTCTCATTTTTACAATCTTTTTTTCCCAGTATGGTGCAGAGTGGATTAAGTCATAAACCACAAAGACATTTAGGTTCTCATTCACTGTACTGTCATTCATTTCCACTGCCTTACCAGATATGTTTTATGCATCCCTTCTACACGTCCCAGTAACATTCATCTGGCTTAACTGTGTCTTTCTCTAGTTCTTATTCCTGTCTAATTTGTAGAGAATGGACAGAAGTCACCAAGGCTGGGTGACAGATGATGATGAGGGCCAGTACTCATTACGACATCTGTACAATGATGCCAGAGTTCTCAAGGTACAGTAATACATTTAAGAACTTTGTTTGGATCATTATGTTAGTCCTTACAGTTGTAGATGAGGTTGAGAGCCGCTGTGTATAAAGTAATCAAGGTCACCAGCTGCACTGAGAGGCTTCATTTTTCTTATGATACACTTAAAATTTCTTGTATGTTAATGGTAATTATTCTGATAATAACTGTCCGCTGATATTGTGTGGAGATACCTAAGAAAACCTAACCTAACCTTTTGCCCAAGAAAATTAATAGAAGTGAAAGTAATCAGCGTACAAAACTGTGCCTAAAAACGCTCTCCATAATTACCGAACCACTGACAGTCACCGGTCGTATATTAACCATATTAATTGTAATGTCTTTTCATCTGATATGTATTTATTTTCATCTATGACCTCACCTCTGTCTTTGTCACTCATTCACTGACAAACAATTATTTTTTTATTACCACACTTCCACAACATTGTATGACAAAATTGTACAGTACTTGTTCTCTTACAGGAAGCTTTCTCAAAAGTACGTCAGGGTGACCACCTGTCAAAAGATATGCGTAACACCGTAAAGAAATGGAGTAAGAAGAATTTACCAGAACAAGATGATAGGTCAAAGGTGTGTTTCATTCTCATATATTTGTGTGTTCCCCATCTTTTATGTCTTTCCCCATCAGGCTGCACAGTCACTTGAAGCACAAACTAATATAGATTCATCCCTTTATTTGCTATCACTTAATCACAAATGACAATCAGTAAGACAAATTAGCCCCAAATTTTAATAGATCTTAAACTTTAGATTTTCAAAAATATCAGATGAATTACAAGAGTCCTACTTTAGCTTAAAAATGTAATTCTCTGTAATATATTAAATATATGGCAATGTATATAAGACCAAAAGAGAGTACAGGTATATTAAAAGTTGGTTAGGTATTACAGGGTATTTTGTTAATGGGATCTGCCAAGTGAGGAAACTATAGTGAGTACGGGGAAATCACGTCCCTCTTGATTCCCACTACCTCTGCTTGATCAGGGTAGATTAGGTTAATTCAAATTCTTTTATTATTATTAAGTTTTGAAATATTTTCTACCAGTCGGATGTAAGATAGAAAACTTAATGTGGAATATTTACCTCCATACAGCGAAGCAGAAGAAGGGAGGAGAAACAACCTCACACAGATCACAGTCAACAAGCAGAGGGCGATGATACCAGGAGTCCACGAGAACTTGCCAGGGAGGAAGAAGCCCTCAGACACAAACTCAGGAATTTACGTGAACTGACGCAGAATAATGCAGCGTTGATAGAGGAAAATAAAAAACTCATGAGAAAGGTGCGGTTTTTATTTTTATTTATTTTTCTGTAATGTCACATAATAAAACCAAGTTGAAGAACAGTGAATGAGATAAGTAGATGGATAGAGATACTGATGAATGATGGATGAATAGGAGAGAGAGAGAGAGCTCAAAATTGTAAAATGAATGAACAAGGGCTAATTATGGTTGAATCTGTCAGGATGTATTGAAATGAAGTTGTGTAAGGGAGATTTACATTAGTCACTCAGTTGGTAGGAATCCATTAGGAAGGGAGATTGTACTTGTTTTATAATTGTATTTAGGTAATTGATTTTGATAGATCAATCCATCGACACACCATCGTCCCGGCCACAGCTAGTGTGATAATGGCTGACCAAACGTGTAGTAATGCATTGGTTTAGGTTTTTGTTCTTTTGAAATTTTAAGAGAGAATTGCAAGAAATTACAGTAGTTACAGATAATATAAATATTTTTAGCTGTGTTAGTCACCTCCGTAATGACTAGTACTCTCTCTCTCTCTCTCTCTCTCTCAGAACTTTTAACTAGTTTGTAGTGACAGGTTGACTAAATTGCAATCGCTTGTTAAACCAGCAGTTCTTGGCATCCATTTAATTGTACTTTGAATCCCAGCCCAAGAAACACAAATTCAGTCCCATGGCTGGTTGGGTGTTGGGGTATTAACCTGATGTGGTGTGTGTGCTGAGCTGACCACTAGCCACATCAACACTCTGGGCTAAATTAACTCTTCTCACACAATGGTTGTCATCCAACAGATTGTAGCAGACAGGATAAGGGATTTCAGCTTTGTGTAACTATACTGTATATGTCTTTCAGATTCATCAATTACGACAGCGTTCCAAAAGGCAACAAGAAGCACAAAGAGGAAGTAGAGAGAGCATGGGAGGTGAACAGGGAACTGGAAGTAGGGAAGAATTCGTTATTTTATCTCTTAAGAAGAAATATGAAGATCTGCTTCATTACGTCTTGAAGGTACAGTAACTCGACCAACCATTGGTAATGTTTAATAAATCTCGGTAAAAAAAAATTAAAACACTCGGGTTTGGGCCTCACTCAACTGCACTCGAGTTCATTTTTTTATGTTGTTTTCAGTGATAATTTTTTTTAAGCCTGTAAAGGATAAAGTTCATAACTAAAGCTAAATATTTTTTTACTTTTATTGGTTACACAAAATAATTTAAGGAAATAATAAATTGTTCTCAGTTTTGTTTTTGGCAATATAAAATTCTACAGGAAAAGTTAAATTTAAACTATAATGTTACTGACTACTCTGAATACTGTGGGGAAAAATTATTTGTTCTAGGTATATTATTGGCTAGTTAAAATACAACAGGTAAATTAAGCCAAGAGTGGCGTGTGTTAATGAAAAATCTCTTCATTTTGTAACAGGTCGAGTCGGAAAACCAAAAGCTGAAGAGTCTCACGGGAATGTCCGGCGATCATGAAGATTATTTCAACGGCTCGGATCGTGAGGATATAACGTGTGGTCCGAGAGTTGTAGCAAGACTCGAGGGTGAACTAGAAGCACTGAGAAGAGAGGTAGGAATACTTATTGTTGGTAATATAAGGTGTCTTGATTATGTTAAAAGTTTACATTATGTCGTGCATATACAGGTAGTGAGGGTTTTTTTTAGCATGTGCTCTTTAGCCATATCCAATTTCGACCCCTGACTCATTTACACGTTCTTTCTAGATCATGAAAAAGGATGATTACATTGTGGACTGTGAGAGGCACATGCAGACTCTGAAGGAAAACATCTCGCTCCAAGAATCCCGGAGAAACCAGAATGCTAGTGCCGGAAACATCGACACTGCCATGTTGGAGGAGGAGTGGATGAGACGCTTGAATGAGACCCGTGAAATGTACGATCGAGCTATTCAGGGTTATAAGGACCAGCTCGAAGAACTACAGGCGAAGCTACTGAGCTCTGAGCAGCGTCATGCCGAGCAAGTTCAAGAACTAGTGGCAAGGTTAACTAAAGCCCAGAGTGAAGTCACATCAGCAAGAACCAGTAATGAAACACACGATGAGGCAGTAAGTCATCAGAATGGGGAACCTTATGGACGGCAGAGGTCAAACAAAGGTAAAAATGGTGAACGGTCTAGATCTATTGGAACCGAGAGCCCAGAACAAGACGAAGACTCCGATAGTGTCAGTAGCAAAAGTGAGGAAACAGAACGAGAAAAAGGAAGGACTGGGGCTGCAAGAGCTGGTGATGAGGTACCTGGTAGGAGTAATGATAAAACAAAAGAAACCGACAATTTAAAAGATGATGAAAATGGTAACAAAAGCGAAAAAGCAAACCATGCCAATAGTAGAGGAAAAAATCATGATAAAGGTGATCAGGCTATTTCTGGAACACCTTTTATAATAGCAGGATTTGAGAAGTACAGTGAAACATTAGAAAACTTGGTGAAAAGAGTTGAAAGTTTGAGTGTTGGGGGAGAGGACTCAGTTAATACAGTTTCTGTTATAAAAGACACAATAAGTCAATGTTTACAGGAGTGGAGGGAGAGTTTCCAGCAGGTGTGGAGACAACAAGAAGATGATGCTGACAGACTGAAGAAGGATTATGACGACCTGAAGAAGAATTACGATGACCTGAAGAAGGATTACATTGACCTAGAGAAAGGTAACGATGATCTGAAGAAGGATAATGATGACCTACAAAGGAAAATCAGATCGAAGAACAAAAAAGCTGAATCACTGCAGTATCAGTACAAAGATCTCGAACAAAAAAATATAAAGCTCATTCATCAGTGTTCACAACTTGAGTCACGTGTAAGTGTAGGTTTACTTTTCTCCTGTTAGCTCTATACTTGCTTGGGTACAGTGGTGGAACTGGTTATTGTGTTTGCCAGCCATTCCACTGTATTTGGTACTTTGTGAATGCTTTAATTTCCAAGAACTTTTATAAAATAGTACAGTACAGTGTATTACTTTCAGTTCTAGTACAATATGTCACTAGTTCAATATAAACTTAATTTAACCTAACCATGGCTTTATCACCTCCAAAATAAAGGCATTATTATCTAAATTTCATTATTATGACTTGGTATTCAATAGACTGGTGACGAAAAGTCTGCCCACTTTACTTTCACATCTGGTAGAGTACAGTAGCTGGGCTTGTGTGTATAATTAAAGCCTTTGATCAGAATGACACCTTTCAGATTGGATTAGTTTTTAAGGTAGACTTGGGTTTCCTCTGTGTATTTCTTGTAAGTTGTTCTATATATTTATTTTGCTGATAAGTGTATATATTACATATTTTTTCAGATGGGTGCATCGCAGATAACGGGTCACCTGGATGTCCTGCAAAGCCTTCCGAAGACATTGCAGGAGACGGAACAACGATTGCTGGACACGAGGGAGTTACTCCAGCAAGCACTAGGAGAAAAGCAAACATTGCAAGATCAAGTTAAGATAATGGGAGAGAAACTGAGCAAGAAAGAAAGTAAGCTCAAAGCAGAACGTGAACAGAGCACCACTAGAGAGAAGGAAATTGCAAACCACAAGGAAAATATTTTATCCATACACCACCAGCTGGAGGAGGTGACGAGGGAAGTGAGTCACCTTCGAGAACAGTTGTCCACCAAGGATACCATATTAGAACATACGTCGGCTCAGCTGGAGGAAAGAATCCGCGAATGTGCTAGTTTATCCTCCCAAGTAGAGCGTTACAGATTACAACAAAACCAAGAATCAGATCGAATTCAGACCCAGTTAACCGAGAGAGACAGTGCCTCTCACAAGCAGTATGTGGAGGCACAGACTCTAGCCACACGCTACCAGGCTCAGCTCTCTGCATTACGTTCTGAAAAGGATCACAATGAGAAATCTCTTCGAAATCATGTACGCAAGCTGGAGGAGCAAATTGATCAGCTTCAGTTAAGAAACTCGACTCTTCAGAGGCAGCTTACCACCATCACTTCCACTTATCATAACATGTTTTCAACTGTTGACCTCGACCCACTCTGTCCTGTCCCAGGAGGCTCTAATGTGAAGGGTCCATGAGGAGTGATAACATTTTACAGGAAGGACTTTATTACCTGGCAAGTAAGTAACTAGAAACCTCATGTGTTCAGAATATCAAATATCTTCCTATCAATGTGAAGGCAAGCAAACCCTGAACATGAAACTTCCATGGTTTGGTGAGTATATTTGTCTAAAATATTTTGTAAGTAGCTACAGTACAGTAGTTTCATAGTATATATATTTATTTATTTTTTGTACAACATTTGCTATTGTTTAAAAGTTATTATGAGTAGTTACTGAAGTACTGTACACTATTTTAGAACATTATTCTGGGATCAAAATGGAAAGGCCCTTTTAAGCAACATTACTGTATCCTAATGATAAAAGTTGAGGCCAGTAATTTATTGGATTTATAAGTAAAGTAAGAAGGCTGCTACCAAGCCCCTGAACCCCCTACAGGAAGGAGGGGCGAATTATATTTAAAAATGAAATAAATATACTCTGATATTTTCGGAAACATTTACTAGGGCTGATCTTATACAATCAGTTCTGCTATAACGTGATAGTTGTGTTCTTGTAAAATATCGTGTTATAGAAAATTGCGTAATAGAAATAACAGGGCTTATGGAGAAAATAGGGTTAGGTGCAGATTACTACTCGAAATCGAAAAAAAATTAGTAGTTAGCCTAACACAAAGGATAGCACAGTCTAAATAAATGTTACATTCATATCTAATAATGAAATCATACAGTAAATGTAACACTTTACCTTGAAAAAATATGAATATACCTAACTTGATGGGGGAGAAGGGTGATTTTGAGGTTGATAACATCGAGCTTCTCTTCAAGTATTATATCCTTTCTTTTACGATCATCACCGGGAATTCGATCACAAGAACGCTTCTTGGAGATATTCTTCTTTACCATATTCACAGTTAATACCACAAAATTGGAGAAATAGTAAGCAAAAATCGCGTTACAGCAAACAAGCGTTCGCGTTATACAAATATTGTTCCTCTATTCATAAATTGCGTTTGGGGAAATTCGCGTTATCAAAACACGCGTTATAGCAGAACTCAGTGTATGTATGTAAGAAAATACCTTCAGTAAATATTAAGTATCATTAAATATGAGTGTTTCCGTAAGAGGTTCTTGAGTGTCTTTCAGCCCCACAGCCACCGTCTAATAGTAAAGTATCTTATCATTGTTTCCACTTGGGGAGGATATAATTTACCAAAAGAAAGTGTTGGAGTAAATTCGTCTGAGGAAATTAAAAGTTATAGATATATTTTATATCACTTAGAATGCTTTGATAAGAATTTATTTGTTAATTACAGCATGTATTTTAATAACCCAGTTTAGCCTTCAACATACCCACAATGGCAGTGCTGTACAGAAAGAGGCTCATATATAATTAAGAGTCAGCTAGTAGCTTTTTTCTTCTTTTTGTCATTTTCACCAGTTTTCGGCGTACTGTACTAGCCATTCGGGCGAGAAACCTGCGATGTTTGGTAGTGACGGTCATGCTGGATAACTCTCTTCTAATGTGTGTCCAGACCAAACAGGACTCTAACCTTTGCGAGATACCTGTACACACGTTACCACTTACACCCCCTCATATAAGCACACTTGAATGGTATACAGTACTGTAGGTGTAAGATGAAGCAATACAAAAAAAGTTGAAAAAAAATCTTATACTGAAGGGAGGGAAACAGTGTCTTCAGTACCTCAAATCCCATTCTTTAATATTTCTCTGGTAGATACCCATTAGTTGGCTGTCTAGGGAAGCGAGTACTGTAAACATAACCCCCCCAACCAAAAACAAAGAACATGAAAGATAAAGATTTTTTTTCACATGAAATTTCAGTCGTAGAAACCATATAAGATTTTATAATTATCGCGTGTGACGAGTCTGAAGTTGAGGTGGAAAGTAACTGGCAACTACTGAGCTCTGGTGGTTGTGGTGGTGCAGCGGTAGGTTTTTGTGGTGCAAATTGGGTGGTCGAGCCTGGTTGTTGTGATGCAAGAGGTGGTTGTGGTGCAGTGGCAGGCTTTTGTGGTGCCAAGTGGGTGGCGAGCCCTTTCGTAGGTGGTGTGGCATCATAGGGAGGAGGGTGATGAGGTGAAAATTATTCCAAGATGATGATAGTAAGTTGATTTGAGGCTCCACCAGCTCTTAGAGTGTCTACCAATCATCAACTTTCCATTCTTGGCTCACAGCTTTAAATTCATGGTGATACAGTAGTGTGATTTGGGTAAATTATCCAAAGATGATGATAGCAGTTAAGGTTGGCAAGAAATTTCCTTTCATAACACTTAACAGTATATTTTAAGACAACACCCATACAAAGGCACCATAGACTTGTCAAGGATCAATTAGGTACAGGGTGTAGGTAGGGTTGAGCATGTACAGTATGTATTTTACCCCCATCTTTACTGCATACAGTGCCAACTCTCTTGTACAGTTGAGAAAAAAAAAAGTCCTGTCGCCTCTTCTGCTGCTCCACAAACGGCAGAACGAGAACATGGCGATAAATTTTAGTGTGATTAAGACCGTGGTGTTTTTTTTTTTTTTATGTAGGAGTGAGAAGTGAGAATGGCGGAAATTTTACCTAGTGTAATCGTCCTTTTCGTTGTACTGCATATGACTCTCGGGCCACCCTGCCTCCACACTAGCCCAAACTATTGACCTTCTATATAGTACAGTATAGACTTTCAACATACCGCTAAAGGTCTTGGGTAAAAAGTGGTCATCATACTGATGACCCGTAACGAAATTTCACCTGTTACATTTGCTTATGACTGACTTCCTGTAAGTTGGGATATTGTTTATTTACATTCAGATAAAAGACTGAAGCTACCAAAACATTCGAACTTATTAAGTTTGACCCCAAAAAAAAAATAAATAAAATCTGACAATGTCTTATCATTGTTTAGATGTACTGTATATACAGTACTGTACAATAATGTACTGTATATATATATATTTTTTTTTCAAAATCTTAAGACAGTATACAGGTTGAACCTCTCCAATCCAGCACTCTTGGGATCACACCAGAACTGAACCAGAGAATTTTCAGTACCATGGGTGGGGGGGGGTCAATATATTACTGTACCAAAAATTAACAAGTTCATGAACACAGCCTCAAAGCTTACCATAGCAACACAGACTCTGCCTAGCATCGGGGCTCCCCCACGTTGCATGTTAACTCACACATGTGTAGAAATGTTTATTCTCTTTATGGTTTGTCCTTGTGATAATTAGTACTTTTTTTTTTTTTTTTTTTTGCACATTCTGTATGTAGGATTGTGTGAGTGTAATGGCGTTAAAAAAAATATGAAGAAAGTTATGCATATCTACTGTACCTGAAATTACGAGTTGAAAAATAACCACAACATAGCTCACAGTGAGAGGGCTACAGTGATGAGTCTGCCAAGTTGATGTTAACAGAGGCAAACAAAAAGAAATTTATCAAATATTTATTGTGGTTTTAAAGCGGTATATAGTGTATGAGCTCCTCTTCGTGTAGCAACATAACGAATCCAGGGGTAAGGTAGGCAAGCCCAGGATAAAGGAGCTTATTGGTCAAGTTAGCCTACTGTGAGCATGTACAAGGTACCTATCGTTCACAATAAATGACCCACTGAAATGCACAAATTTTTACCCCTCAAATATACTATACAATACTCGTATACAGTATCGTTCGACCCCCTACTTTTTACATAAAAATTCAATCATAAAAACTTGAAATATACTCAAGTACTGTATATACAGTAAGTCATTGTAACAATGTATTTGTGTTTTTACACAATTTTAAGGTGTTGGCATTAGGAAATACTGTACATACAGGAAGCATAAAATAATGACAACAAGAAAAACTGCTGCTGGACCACAGGTGGTGTCAGACCAGGGAGGTCCAGCCTGTAACAATTTCTGCCTAATCCACTGGGCTGTTAGTTTCTAAATTGTAAATCAGTTGCATCCATGGTCAGAAATTGGTCACGTTCCCAAAACATTACCCCAAAATACACCAATCCCTCTAACTGACAAGTAACAATCTGCCTGCTACAGTTGAAACCCAGACTCTCCTCTTCACCTCTCATAACACAGTCAAGCATGTTTGTTCTTCTTCTTGAGTGCAGGACATAATACAGCAGCACAGGTTGACCCAACAGCCACCTGAGGCTTTGATGCTGAAGATAAGGGATAACTTGACCTTCATTACCTTGAAGCCACAAACAGAGCCTTTCCTTCTTGGACAGGAAAGCCCTGGAAGGCTTTAATAACTTTGGCATTTATTAGAGAACTTGTCTCAACACTTCCATGATAACATTTCCATTTTTCTATGTGTACTAGACAGTGGACTTGTTCACACCAAAATAGCAGGCCAGGCCAGTACAAACACACACACCTGCAGCCAACCTGTCTAGCACATAAACTTTTTTGCTCAAACTCATCACTTCATCTTTCCAGCACACTCCCCCTCCCCACTCATCTTATGCTTACAGAGGCCACAATTAAGGGCAATAGGGAAAAGTTCACAATTGCAAGTTGAGACACAGCAAGATTTTTGTGGTTCAGAAACTGGAGAGAACAGAGTGGGCACACATGCACACTCCTTCATGTGGGTGGGAAGGTGACCTAGACATCGGGGGATAGGGTATGGTTATATTACCATATAAAATACTGTTTATAATGCAGGGTCTAAATGTTCACACACATACACTTTGGATGACAATGGAAAGAATATGAATCACAATTTGGGTTACGATAACTGGTACGTAAATGGCACTACAGTACTAGTGGGAAAACTGGAGATTGTAACGTAATGAAAGGTTGGCCTTAAGTAACAACTGTCACAGTTGGAAGATATGAAAGCACTCTTAATTTCAATTATTTTATTAATAAGCTACTTGACCACAATGGGTTCTGTACAAGCTAGCAACAGCAGGTGCAAAAAGTGGTCGTCAGTAAGGCTCACATTGGGAGTGTTGTTTCATGTTAAACACCACCAAGGTCTCTCACTAATATTCTGTGTGCTATCAAACCAATAATAAATATATACCTGAAAAGAAATATTATTCATGGATTTGAACATATTGCAAAAGTTAACTTTTACTAAGAAAAAATTTAATAATATGGCTACTTTAAAACACCATACAGATTAAATTCAGTTGTAATTTCCTACATTTCCTCTTTAACTCACTGTATGGACAGAATATTTTCAATGCACACTTGTAACAAAGCCCTACCAATTTTGTATCAAGTAACAGATTATTACCATATATAAAATTTAGTTAACTCGAGTGAATTTACATATACTGTACTGTAACTTTACGGGAACCTCTGACCTCTGATATTTATGCAGTAATGAAACATCCTTAGCATTTTTTCTAAGTCACACGGTGCCCAGAATAATTGTATAAAGGTCATTGAGTGCAAATGCAATGATCATGAGATATGTATGTCAAAATCTCCAAATAAGAAAATTTTAATTACCAATTTAGAAGATTTTAAAGTTGCCAAGCAGACATGCAATGTGGTACAGATATCGAGCACCCAACAAACTGAGGTTGAGCCCCGTGGCTAACCACAAGAGATCACACTCAGTTTCTGTGCTCACCATTAGAGTTATACCTGAAGAAGTTATGAGGAAACCCACAAATTCACCAGGTGTCAATCTTGGAGATCAAAGCTCTATGACTGACTGAAACCAGGATGGGTGAAGTGATCCAAGGAAAACATACTATGATCAGAACTACAATGGCTACTTCAACTTGGATGAAGGCATTAGTCAGAGTCTCAACCCGATATACTGTTTTTGTGCTTCAATTCAAGGATCAATAAACTCGTAAATGATCCGCGTCACTAATGCAGCTTTTCTGCATTTTCCACGTCACCTCCTGCATTCTAACAGGACGGCACATGCAGAATTAATAAATATCCCGAACAATATTACTAAAGACCTCCATACCTTCACACATTGAAAACTTGACTGTGACAGAGTGAAGAGGGAACTCTTGTTTTAAGTAAGAAAGGGAAGCTTGCTTATAAAAAGAAACCCATTAAAAAAAGAAACTGTTAAATCATATCAAATATTTACCAATTTAACTTGACTAAAAATGCCAAGACTTACACACAAGGCACACAACATCTCTAGGTGGAACTACAGTAACAGATCTTTTATGCTTTAGTTATAGAAATTTTGCATAAAACTACCCTGATATAAATTAAACTATAATTTTGAATACAAATTTCTTAATCGATAGAGAAATATTACAAAGTGTGCCACAACACAGTATTGAGAAAGCATATAGGATCAAGAGGGACTAATTTAGCTGTTAAGGTTCCCTGTTTAGCTTGCACGGTAACTGGAGAATTTTGCATGGAGAGTCTAAGACTTAATAAGAGCACATTGTGTTTTCCTGTAGCTTAAAAATTTAGCTAACTTCAAGAAAATGGGCTTAAAATATTCTCAATGGAATACTTACATCAGACAGTCATTGTGAGAACATTAAGCTTAGCTCAACAGTTTCTATATTAAGGATTTAAACAATTTACAACCAAGTCATATTAAAAACCTGAATACCCTCTTCTGAGGATGCACTACAGTGCTTGATATAATACAAGCAAATACTGTAAATATATGTTTGAGATGTTCCTGTTGGTTCTGTGAACAATGTGAGCTTGTTTCACCATTAACAAATCTACTAGGAATTTGTCTAGGACACACAAGACACTGAATATCAGCATCAGGACTGACACCTTCGTATTGTATCAAAGTTGTTGCCAGTTCACTGTGGGAGATGGCACATATCACAGTTTTCACTTGCTGTCTGATTAATGAATGTGCAGTGCTGACATGTCCATGAGGTAGATGATGTAGAGGGTTGGACACTTGGGCCTCTGCCTGTTACATCGCTCTCCCCTCCCGCCACTGCACCTTCCCCACCTGATGCCATCACCAACTGTTCCACAGTAGCCCAGTGGCCAGACTGTTTCCACTCCAATGCTGCTGCCCTATCACGTTTTTTCACAGCTTCAAGTAAGGGTTCAATATATTCCTGAGGAAAATGAGTGCAAGTTATTACTGAAATGGTGAGTTTTTTCCTTAAAATATTAACCATATGAGTAAGTAATTCCATGTTAAATGTAAAATATATGTTCGAAAAACAAAACTGTCAACAACTCAGTGCTTCACATGAGTAAACTACATTGTAGACATTACTGATGTATTAACACAAATATAATTCAATACATACCCTGAGAGGTAACATGTCCATAGTTGCAATGTACACTAAGACATGCAAATCTGATACAGCTTCCAAGAACTGTTCATCACCAAATTTTTTGAGATATGTAGCCAGTGCATTGAAGTCCTGCAGGTGACCCTCCACCATTCTGTGAGGGTTATATGGTGTTAAGTGTGTGGTATGTACTCCATCAGTATAGTACACACTCTTGTGGTGAGACTATAAACACAGAGCCACAGAAGAAAGAGTTTTGGTTTGAATGATTATAAGAAAGCTGATCCAGAAAATATGTTGGCTCTCCACGCCATCTAGCAACACAACCGACTTAAATGAAAACCTCCATTAATACCAATACCTTATTGCGTCAATTAACTTGCAAAAGAGATTTATTATTGTGAGATTGTTTTCAATATGCACATCAGCAAAATGCATATGGATCAAAACGGAAATAAAAAATTGTAAAGGTATTACCTGTTAGCCACTGGAAAATTTGTTTCATTAACAGCAAATGTATAAATAGGTTCATTGGGGGTGGAAACCGGACAATCCAGGAGTAGATATTCCACAGGTAAAGGTCTTCCTAGACGTACCACATCATTGTTGTACTGATCTTTTTCCTGCAATTAGAAAATATATATTTTGGTTTATTACGTCATCTATTGCTTGTACAGTATTTTCATTCTCTTCTCTCACTTTATGTGGAGTAGATAAAGGAATATAAAGACCTTAAAGTGACACAGCCGTACGGTACAACAGGAGACATGGCTGGATGCAACTGACTTTACTAGTGTGGTAAACGGCTCCCTGTTTCCCTTCTTTATGCCGCGCTTTTCCAACCTGAGTGTCGGGATACCTTCTATACCTCGCCCTTTAGGCTTCCGTGTGGGGTAACTTGCCGAAGAGCTCGGTCTATCCAGGCTTTTTACTTTTTACCATTAATTATATCCAGCACCATATGGCTGTTGAGGCTTTAAGATAATATTCATAATCATTCATTCGTTGGGACAGGAATCAAATGTTGTGTCCACTCGGCTGTCTCACTTTTAAATTTGTTAAGTTATATAGAAATCTTTGATAATAGCTTGCCATGATGTAAGAAAAACTAATTCATGTTAATATTGATACAAAGTTTCATCATACCAACTCTCAATGACATCATCTACCACTCAATAGCCGGGTGCTCATCTAGAAGCTAGGCCCTCCCCATATCACAACCTCTACAGTCTTACACATTCTTCAACACAGACTCCTCCATTAATGCAGGTTCAGGGTCACTTTTTATAGTACTAAATATTCAGAATTAGTTATTCATTATTCACTTTTTTATACCATTAGAAGACCTACCTTGAAGTAAACATCTGGGACATATTGCTCTGCTGACGACTCACGGATGTAGGCCAACTCTGGGGCGTCTTTGGTAGGTATGAGGCACTTGTCCCTCACTACAGACTGGCACTGATTGCTCACTTGGTAGCCTTCCATGTGTACCTGCAGAAATAATTGGCAAAATGAAGTTCCTGCAATAATTATATCAAAGAAAATGTTCAACCCCTTCTACCACTACAGTCAAAGGTAAATTTTTGTACTTTCAATTAAAACTGGCCAAATGCACCATAGCTTATACATAATAATATTATTAATCATGTTTTGATGTAGTCACCCTTCTGCATTAGTCTTTGAGGCTCTTATGGATACACAACCTACTTCATATTCTAACAAGTATAATCCCTTGCCCTTCTAAGGCTACATGCTACAATAAGTGCTGACTGGTCCCCCCAAAAAAGTCCTCAGTAGCTCTTTGACTTGAACTATGACCCAGCTGACCGTTACCCAATTTAGGAGTCACACATCAACAACTACAAAAGTTTATCGAGGTTCACAACTTGCCTGGTTATTTTTATCACCCGTCACTATGACTGTGACAAATTTTGAACCATATCTGCCCTCACGTGACAGTCTGCAGGGGTTAGGGTGAAGAGTTTGTAGATGAGCAGCTGTGATAACTTCGTGTGCGGAGAGGAAGTAGGTATCTGCGTGTCGGAGGTAACGCACCGTACCATTGTTTGAATCAAGGGGTACTAGGTCGGTGAAAATCCAACCAACGCATGTTAATCCCAAGCCTTTAGCAATCTGGAAAAAAGTAATGTTTGTGTGAATCACCAAAGAGCATCTACATTGTTGAATTTTACCAGGTTAAAAAATGGCAAACATGCCACAAACTCCTTTGACTTTAACCGTTATATTTGTGTCCCCTGAACCCCTGCTTGAGGGAAGACTCCAGGCCCTTGGAATGTGCTTTAAGTTTCCACTTGATAAAAAATGCATATAAAGAAAAATAAGTGACAGATTCCATACTTACATCATCAACACTTTCCTTCTTTGGGTCTGGCAAGAGCTTCACATGATCTCTTGACCCTTCCTGAGGAGGTTCATACACAGCTGTCACAGTGGCCTTGATCCCCAGTGGAACATCTAGATGAGGTTCATAGCGCCCGTACAAGAAGCCTATACGCTGGTGTCCCGTCACGCGCCAGTAATTGAGGAAGCGCTCTACTAAATTAGGGTTTTCAAACATAACATTGTCCACGTGGCGGTACGATTGTCGATTTAGTGTGATGGCGGATGGCTGGCACTTGGAGCAGATTCCTTTTGGCCATGGTGGGTGATCTTTACAACCCATCTTGATTTTACAATTAATATCATCCAAAACAACAAACTTCCCCTGCAAATAAAAATTAATGAAAACAAAACATAATAACATCACTCACTCTAGTACTGTGTAAGTTTCAAAGGAGTCACAAGAATTATTAACGTGATGCTGGTTATGGCTTTCAGTGAGCACTTGTCCACTCCTTTATCTGACCTTAATTTTAATACAGTAATAAATTCAGTGTTCTATATAGATTCATAACACATCATCAACGTTTACCTTGTCGACCCCGGAAGTCAGTTTCCGTAGGTAGGAATTAAAGGATATGTGTTTGATGTTCTGTTCCTTCAAGTGACCTTCATCCCAGGGATCCAGTGGTATACAGTGTACACATTTACTGTTATTGCCATGGCGACATCTGCAAGGGAGAGTTAAGATCAGTACAGTTATAATTTACCTATATACCCCCCCCCCCCACAGACCAGGTAAATTGGAAAAAAAAATAATAATAATAATAATAAAATCTTTTTTTTATTTAACAAAATCTTTTAAATAACAGTAATAATTTCATAGTTTCGATAAATTTTTGCATTAATTTATATCAGTATCGTAGACATTTACATAGCTAACCTACGACACTACCCTGACTGTAGACACCACGGTTTGTCAAATATTTCTCTAGTACATGTAAGAGACTATCCATGTTTCACCACAGTGTTTAAGGGAAAAATTATTTTCATCCATTACCAGTGTACTTGGCATCTACAGTGAATCCAACTCCTTTTACCAGTACTGTATTACACTGTTATGTAAGGGTAATGTATAGTATACAGGACAACAAGAGGGTATTGGAAGAGTTGAGGGAGAGAGAACAGGAAATAATTGAAGGAAGGGGAAGAAAGAAAGGAAAGAATGTATTTGTTAATTTTCTCAAAAGTTTAATATCCAAAATAATACTCATCTGGTCCTGAAGGTTAAGTTAATGTAGTACAAAACAGTATTGGCAAAACTTACAGTTGTGGATTTATTTTCCTGTCAATCAAGCCGACTTCCTTGGCCAGAAGCTGATCCACCTCGTTCTCCTCCACCATGCTCTTGATACTAGATGCCACTTGTTGTGTTGATACAGGAACGATCACCTTCCCACCATTCTGGCTGTTACTAGGATTACTGGTTGATGCAGTGAAGGGCGGTGGTGGTGGTGTACTTTTACACCCACCTGTTGGCAAGTCAAGTGCATCAAAAATACTCACCTCTCACTAATTAAATAATTACAGTTTGATATTTCGGACTAATTTAATATTTCTTTGTCAATGTAGTTGTCTTCAAACACCTGCCAATTGTTTTTGGACGGCAAATAAGAACTTGACGTCCTTGAAATGTCCTTAATTACTGTACTTTCATCTATAATAATGGATTACCAGAGGATTAGTCCACTAGTATATCTCACACGATTTAAAAACCCTAATGGTAACCTAACCCCCACCAGGTGATGTAAGCTAGGGGGGCTAATCTTCAGGTGATCTACAATACTTAACATTTTTAAAGGCTCACCACCAGCATCCAACTTGTAAAGGTAAACCATATCTCCATGATTCAGTTTGCATCCCTTGAGGGTCTTCCGCGGCGAGGAGACGAGTTCTGTTTTTCTATCCCGGGTAAGATACAGACTAAATGTGATGCTCGTTAGCTGAAATGCGTCGTGGACTTTTTCATAGAAAGTCTTGGTGGAATCTGTCGGTTTTGCCTCCACTCGTTTGGTGCCGTCGGCTGATTGTACGCGTATAATCTGGAGAGAGTAAACAAAAAATTACTTAGTCTGGGTTAAGCAAAACACATATTTATCTACACAAGACCTTCAACCACCCTTTAGAGACAATCCATCCTGCTACAAAACATACACAATTTCCCTTTGTTCCTCACCTAAAAAAACAAAATATCAAATAATCTGTCTGAATGGCCATAGAACTCAACTAGACAGACATAGTCACTAAAGGTACAAGTTACATCAACCAGGGGAAACAAGGATTATGACTCGTTAGGTTTGGGGTCAACATGATGAAACAAGGGAAAGTAATGAAGTACACATAAAAAAAATATATTCAGTCTCATTCTATCTATCCTATGGCCTCTTTGAGTTCTAGGCTACATAAGTAAACTTCATTTAATTAATACAAAATAGTATATTACACTTAAGATATTTTTAATTTAAAGTACAGGGATATATTGTGTTTTCCCTGTATGACTTTTTTCCGTTTTATCTCGAGTCCATAATCCATATCTTATCCTCAAACATCATCATTTGTTGTAACATTAACTTGGATTTATTTTACGTTAAATGGCGAAAAGGAGATTTTTTTGTGAATTAAATAAAGAAATATCGAGACGTGTCAAGAACACAGGCTCCTAGTACAGCCATCAAAGATATTCACCCAATTAACCTCCTATGTCACCCGTACCGTCATTTCCCTTATAAAGTTAGGTCCATAGATAACCTAACCTCCATCTACACCTCAAAGTAACTCTAAAACACGTACCATGGTGGAGATTTTGTTGGTTGCATTCGAGCTACTTCTTCTGTTTTGCTCGCTGGGGTCTGGGATTCATAGACGCCACAAAACATAACAAACACGAGCCATCACCCGAGACAAAACACTATCGAGAATCGGTTCTCACAATACGGATTCGATACCCATCAACCGTTTTCAGCATATATTGTTTTATATGGGATCAGAATAGACATTAAATACCGGTACATGATATCTATACTTGCAGCTTGTGCATGTCATCACATCATCAGCTGTTTGGCGCGGTAATTAACCCCTTTAATATTATTTTATTAAACATTGTATAGATTTTATTATAACCAAGAACATATATATATATATATATTGTTTTATTTTTTGCCTGAACATTTTCTAATAAAATGTTTCTTGTTTTCCCATTTACCCAATTTTTATATTTTTGGTAAACAATTTTTTAAAATACATTATTACTTAAGATACAATGGCTTGATAATACCAAAGACTAAAAGTCCTTATTCTTTGCTTAATAATACTGGTAGTTCACTGCAACATATGGCAGCAGAGATAGTTACAAAAGAAATATTGCATCACACCTGACATAATATATCCGTGAATCATTTTTTTATTTCGCCATTTGTCAACTTACTAGCTGTTCAGGGGGTGGGTCTGTTCTATGTTGCTTTATAAACTTTATTTTTCTAGTGTTGGTACAGAAGGAGGCTGTAGTATCCGGAGGAAACCTGTAATTAGTAGGATCTCTGCCATTCTCTGGAAAGCGTTCTCCCCACGTGTGTCCGGTGTGGCAATAACCCCAGTCGGAGCCTTCTCATTATTATTATTATTATTATTATTATTATTATTATTATTTACATGTATAGTACAGTGTATGTGGTCTGAGAGCTCCCCCAATTGTGTTAGGTAAGGTTAAATTATGATACGTTAGGTTAGGATAGGTTAGGTCAGGTCAAATGAGTGAGCAGAGAGCTCCCAGACCGGGAGATTCCCCGTCGATTTTGCGCATGCGCATTACTGATGAGCATCATTGCTCAGTGTTGGTACAGGAAAAAAGTTACGATGCTTGGTGAGGTCTGCCCAATAATGAGAGGCAGGCGCTAGCACCGTACCTCAATCTTGCACCTCTTCCTCCGTTTACCTCCATTTAACAGTGCACATCTCCCCCTCCCTTCCTGAAGCCTCCATCAGAGTGGCCATTGCAGTATTTATTATATGTATCAACTCACAGATCACTTCTCTAAATTGTGTCACGTCATGAATGTCATGTCATAATCAGTGAACGGAAAAAAAGTCACATGACTTGTACACATTGACAACACATTATATATATGATGGCATTGCACGTAGGTTAGGCTAGGTTAGGTTAAGTTAGATTGGGTTAGGTTAGGTTTTTTCCGTGACTTTTTTTTTACTTTTTTTCTCGTGATTTTTTCCTGGATTCATTACCTCACCTCACACCTGCAAGCGAAGGTGGCACAGATGCTGCCTCCCCAATGTATTAGGTGGTAGTTGTCGTGTCACCCCAATGCAGAGCCGTCCCGAGGGTGTGGTAACCCGTGCGACCGCCCCTGCCCGCGGCCCTTATCTCGCCCCACACCAGAATTTGTGACCACATTAAGCGGACCTCACCTTACCACCCAGATTCAGGAGACCACCTGAAGGATTAGTGAACAGCACAGTTAGGCAATGCATCTGCTGACAAGTTGGGTAAGTTTAGGTTTAGGAGGGAGATAGGAAGGAACTGGTTTACAAATAGGGTGGTGGACGAGTGGAACAAGCTTAGCAACTTTGTAGTAAGTGCTGGAACGCTGGAAAGTTTCAAAGGGAGGCTGGATAGATTCATGGATGATAGAGTGGTAGTAACTCTCGACAGGAGCTGCCATGCACAGGCCAACCGGCCTATTGCAGACTCCTTATGTTCTTATGTTCTTATTAAGCCACACCATCTTACCACCCAGACTGAGAACAATATGTCATTCTTTACTGTGCTCTGTCGAAGAGGAGTGAGGACGTTGACAGCGGTCACCTGTCAGTGTTGTCCCAACTCTGAATCTCCAGTTGTCGGTGATTTGTGTTTTGTGAAATTGTTGATCTACATTATTTGACTGTTGTACACAGCCCTCTATTATACCATGGCCAGCAGGGATAGAGACAGATACAGAAAATACATCTCGGGTGCAGAGGAAAGGTAGAGGGAAGAAATAGAAATGTCAATGAAAGGTTCCCTAGAAACACCAAACACTGGACCTGAGCGACTGTGATGGGTGGGTCATGTTCAAGCTGAGGAAGAGGAGAGTACTGAAAAAAGTACTAAGGCTTTTAAAATGGCCAGTTGTACCTACGCTAACGGGCATGTTGATGAAGATGTATGTGATCCAGCCAACTGGCCACATGTACTGGACACTACGACAATTGATATTTTGGTAGAGAAAGGACCTATTAAGGTATCTAGTGAAAATTATTAAAAAACATGGTGAAAACCGACACTTTTCAGAAGATTTTTGCCTGCGAAGATTGTCAAATGGGGAATATATGAAAAATGTTATAACATAGCAAATGTAAAGGGGCCCCGCAGTGGATGAATTGCCCTGGGCCCCGCACCCCCCTAGGGACGGCTCTGCCCCAATGCACGCGTAAATAATTTACCAAGAAAAAAAGAAAGATATTATACTTCACCCTGTAATGACGAAACGCGACCACAAATTGGTATTACAGTTAAGTTGAAACACTAAACTTTACCACTATCTACCGAGCACAGCTGTGGGTGACTATTGGCTTTACGTTATAATTTTCTTGTTTGAGCGTGCATTTATGTATCAATGTTGTTTATGATTTGTAATCCAACCTAGTGTAACCAAACTGAGGAGGATAAGAGAGAGGAAGAGAAGCTCCTCTAACCGTGGAAGCTTCTTGATGCTGCTGTAACGCACAAATAACCACAAACTCGTACATATACTGTACAGTTGAAACACTCTCCGACACCTGTACTCTCCCTACGTGCTTGACTTGCTGACAGGTATATAGCGCACTACTCGTTAGTTAGAGGCGAATATATATATATATATATATATATATATATATATATATATATATATATATATATATATATATATATATATATATATAATTCATCTTCAGGGTAGTACAGTCTGTATACTTATGAAGATGTGTGAATTACGAAAAGCACTTAGGAACTTCGTGTTTTCTTTCCCTGTGGTTATCAACATATATATATATATATATATATATATATATATATATATATATATATATATATATATATATATATATATTCGCCCCTAACTAACGAGTGCTGAGATTTCACTTGTGCGCCATATATTAGTTTTATCTGCAGAGTAGAGTGATTGCATTGAGAAGACGAATTTACCGATGCCCCACTGGAACACGTGGTACAGTAATAATTAAACTTGGTGTAAGAGCGCGTCAGCTAGCGTTAATACGTACAGTAGCTAGAATCGTAGAGGCTGTACTGTACTGAACTATGGTAGCACAAAGACTGATGTTGTGTGTACTGTACATAGGCCCGCAGCTAACAGTGGTATACAGTAGGTGTGGTAGTACTATACGATTATGCTATGAGTTTCAGTAGTCGTTTAAGGATAGGTGGCCATTGACGAGGCTATTTACGGTACTGTATATCAGCCAATGAGGTGTGTTGCCGTGTTAGCGTGAAGGCACAAGTGACATTCTCCAGACTGATCTTTTCGCTTAAAGGCTGTGTTCCCAGTGCAGATGCATTGTCCAGTAGTAGTACCTGTGTCAGTAGCAGATGTATACGAGCACTTTATGTAGTGTTTACAGTACTAGGCAGGGAACTGTAATAGTAGACTATGAGTACTAGGCTGTGTAGTAGTGGTCAGTAGTACTTGTTGTTGTCGCTGCTAGATTGTGTAGTAATAGTAGCTTATTAACGCAGTGCGAGGCAACGGAGGTGGTGCTGGAGAAGCTGTGTATAGGGGTTAACTCTACACCGTTGACTTAAGGGGACCCCAAGAATCCCCCACCCAAGCAATGCCCTCTTAATCATTTCGCCAAGAACAGTGTCATTTTAGCCACGAACTTATCATCATAGCGGGACTGCTTCCGCAACTATTTTGTTGGGGGAACTTAATTTGTTCGTCTACTGGGTGTGTCAGTTACCGAGCTCACCAAACCATCACAAGATCCACCTCCCCGTTCAAGCCTCACGATTCACGTAATGGGCGCTAGTTGCTTCAGTTTCTCAGTACCGGTGAGACGATCTCAGAGTTACAAAACCTGGGTCGTGATGGAAGTGATCTTTCGGTTCTCTCCTTGGTCATCATGCCCAGCAGTGAAGAAACTTAGCCGGCTACAACCTCACCTGTGGCTGTGAGCCCCAACACTTGTTTCTTTTTTTGTTTGTACTCTAAATGAACTTTATTCTTTCCAATTCCTGTGTAAATTTCTTCTTACTTTTTAGTTAATTTATTTTTGCTAAGCATTTCCATGTTCTTTTCCCCGAGTGATGTTTTTCTGTTTACATGGAGATGATGGAGTGGAAATAACGTGACTACCTGTTCTTTCTACCAAGACGTTGAAAATGGGAACAAATCTGGAATTTATTTTTTTGTTTTGTAGTAAAGTCGGTATTATAAGTTTCAATCGTTTTGATGGGAAAATGCCTTGATAGCAGTACGATACGTTGGACGTTGTGCACATGTGATTAACTAGTCAGGTCACTTTCACATCCACACTCGTAGTTGTCGGGCGTAAGGTGTATTAGTACGTGTACGAGTGTCTGTCAGTAAGGTTCTTGTGATCATTCTCTAGAAATTAGTACCCGCACTACAAAACCTAATAAACTACCAATTAGCACAGATTACGAGTTAATTATCATTTGCTGTAAGATTAATATACACGTATTATCTGAGAATATCTGAAGAAGTCGAAGGATACGAGCCATTGTTTTGGCAACAGAATTATATACACAGTTCCTGCGCCAAGGATATAGGAACTTGTGTGTGTGTGTGTGTGTCTATACCATCTCTTAACTACACAAGACACCACCATTACAATCTACAAGTGGCTAAAACAAACCCTGGTAACTACAGAAGAGGGTGTGCTGTATCCTACGTTAACCATAGTGAAAGTAAGAGTGAAATCTTTTCCCTTAGGGTATGCTATGTACCGCCGGAGATATTTAGTAATTCCGACGCATATTACCCATGTTACTTTGCTGTTAAAAGAGTGATTTAGTGACATTTTGTGAGACATTAACTCTATGAATCTTAGTGACTTCAAGAGCCTAACTATTTACCTTAGTGACTTCACGAGACAAACTATTTATCTTAGTGACTTCACGAGACATTAACTATATTTGACTTTGTGACCTCTAGAGATGTACATTATTTATATTTGTAACTTTAAGAAAGATTATTTTTCAAAATGTCTTAAGGGAGATAATGATACGTGGCCGAATATTGTATTGTATGTTGTTGTATTGAAGTGTACAGTATCTTGCTGGAGCATTATACTGTATATTAGTTACCTGCTACCTACAGCAAGGCCTCTTAAAAATCATTATTAAGTAATCAGTGCTTTTTTCCTTTTATCCTCTTCACCATTGATCGACTCGTTAGCTACTTGGACGATCGGTCACGTCTCTGTCACGCACTGTTGGCAAGTACTGGGCATGCCGGCTCCTGAATGTACCTGAACCTGCTCCAGTGTTGGTCAAGTCTGGTCCTGAAAGAGCTCACACTCGGTGCCGTCACAACACACTGGCAGATTGTTCCAAGAGTTCACAACTCTCACTCCGACAGACATAGGATGAAAGTCATTTTCACACAAACACTTCCTCTGATGTACTATTCTGTTCCTGGAAATTCGCCTCTGTGGTAATTTTGTTCAGCGTGTAATTTCCTAAAGTGCGTTTTAAGAAGCCACTTTATTTACAAGTTGGGTTCCTGCCTGTTATACTCCACCCAAACATTGTTAGTTTCAAGTTTTTCCATAAAATTGTTTGCATGTAAATATATTTTCTTTTGAGTTTGATATTGTTCGGCCATGTTTTAGGTAAGAATCTTTTTGTTTTGTTTATGTTAAGGGCGGACAACATAATCTTCACGCCACGGAGCTCGAGTGCTGGCCAAAGTTTATGCATATTTGATAGTGATGCAGTAGTTTATACAGTTTTTCATCCCCCGATAGAAAGTTTTGGTGATATAACAGCAAATGTTCAACTGTTCGTGTATCATATATTATAATTATTTATATTTTGGTGCGTAAGGATATGATAAGATTTTGCTGTCTTGTTCTCGGGTGTTTAGTTTGAAGGTGTGGGGTATGGGATGTTTGGTTCACACTCAGGATGGGTTGGAGAAAGGAAACTCACAATGTGCTCTCTATATACATGTTGTATTGGATGTACAATGCAGCTTGGTGCTGGGAAGGCAGCATGGTTACAAGCGTGATGTAGAGAGAGCTGGTTGGTGAGGGTGCTCAGAGGAGGACCAGCCTGTGGGTCGCCATGCTCGCCGGCGGGAGCGAGGACCACCAGGCAGGCGGAGGAGGAGGAGGTGTTGCTGGCTGGTTGGTGTAGGTAGAAAGAGAGATCACGAGGTCAGGTCTTAAATAGCGGGGGGTAGGCGTGGCTTAGTAGTTGACCCCCACTCCGTGGGCGGCGCTGGTTGACCTAGACCACGAGGCATACACTGGAGAATTCGTGGGGTCGGCTACCCAGCGACAAAGGTACTGTACTGTGATAACCAAATTCGGTCGGGGATCCACCGTTTTTAATTATTTTATGGGTTAGACTAATTTACCCCAAGTTTTCTCTCATCCCCAGACACACACACACACCCAAGAATTAACGCCAGAATCCTTGAAGAAGTGTTGACTAGATGCTGAGATTACTGAATATGGTTACTGTGCTAGGCGCCCGGCTCTTCCGTCACCGAATATTATTAGTTGTGCTCCTGCCTGTGATGCTGGTCGTTACCCTCCACCTGAAGTTTCATCTTGATACCAGCAGGAGGTATGTGGCTCTTCCTCTGACAGTCACTACCCCCTTATTGTGACGCTTACTCTGACAGTCACTACCCCCTTTTTGTGGCTCTTCCTCTGACAGTCACTACCCCCCTTATTGTGCCTCAAAGTCACAGCCTCCTCATTATTGTGGCATCAAATTACCGTCCCATTAGTCTCACGTCAATCATAGGCAAGTTGCTAGAGTCAATTATTGCTACAAAAATCAGAAGCCACCTTGAAACATTCAACTTAATTCAGTCTTTTCAGCACGGGTTCACCCAGGGACGTTCTTGTCTCACAAATTTGCTTAGCTTTTTCTCAGAAGTATATGAAGCGGTAGATAATGATGTCAGATGATATAATTTATTTAGATTTCAGTAAAGCATTCGATAGAGTCCCTCATGAGAGATTGATAAGGAAGGTAGAAGCACATGGAATAGGTGGATCAGTATTAAAATGGATTAGGTCATGGTTAACTGGTAGGAAACAAAGAGTCAGCATAAATGGATTAAAGTCAGACTGGGGTGCGGTCAAAGCGGAGTTCCCCAGGGATCTGTATTAGGCCCTCTCTGTTTGTTATATTCATTAATGATCTTGATTTAGGCATAACTAGTAGGATTAGTAAATTTGCAGATGATACAAATGGGAGAGTGATAAATTCAGACAGTGACTTTGAACACCTTCAAAGAGATCTAGATACCTTACATGAGTGGTCAGTAGACTGGCAAATGAATTTTAATACTGATAAATGCAGGTACTAAAGAGAAGAAGACGAATACAAACGTTAAGTATAAACTAGGTAACACGGAAATAGAAAACTCAGATTGTGAAAAAGATCTAGGTGTATTTGTTAGCAACGACTTGAAACCTAGAAAACAATGTATTAGCGTTCGCAGGCAAACAGGATTCTTGGGTTCATATCTGGGTCTGTGAGTAACAGAACTGCTGACGTTATCTTGAAACTTTACCTAGCATTAGTGAGGACACATGGATTATGCGGTTCAATTCTGGTGTCCTTATTATAGAATGGACATAGATTCTTTTGGAGAGAGTACAAAGAAGAATGACAAAAATGATCCATAATATTAGAAACCTTCCATATGAAGAAAGACTGAAAAGCTTAGGCTTGCATTCATTAGAGAGGCGTGAGTTAGGGAGATATGATAGAGGTGTACAAGTGGGTAAGTGGGATTAACAAGGGTAAAATGGAAGATGTTCTGAAGCTCAGTAATAACGAAATAACTAGAACAAATGGCTTTAAATTAGATAAATTCCGATTCAGAAAGGATATAGGCAAGCACTGGTTTGGTAATAGAGTTGTGGATATGTGGAATGGAGGCTGCAGTGCTATAGTAGGATCGGGGACGCTAGGGACTTCAAGACGAGTTGGATAGGCGCATGGAAGTGCTGGGGTGGGTGTGAAAGGATCTGCCCTGCATGGGCCAGTCGGCCTCCTGCAGTATCCCATCTTATGTTCTTATGTTCTTATGTTCCTCTGACAGTCACAGCCTCCTTATTGTGCCTCAAAGTCACAGCCTCCCCTTATTGTGGCTCTTTTCCTCGACAGTCACTACCCCCCTTTTGTGCCTCAAAGTCACAGCCTCCCCATGTGCCTAAAGTCACAGCCTCCCCTTATTGTGTCTTTTCTCTGACAGTCACTACCCCCTTGTGGCTCTTTTCCTCTGACAGTCACTACTCCTTATTGTGGCGCTTACTCTGACAATCACTACTCCCTTATTGTGCCTCAAAGTCACAGCCTCTTATTGTGGCTCTTCCTCAAAGTCACAGCCACATCTCTATTATCTATCTATCTATTATTTGTCTACCTATCTCTATTATCTATCTATATCTATTATCTATCTATTACTGTCTACAGGTTACCAACACCATGTTGGATAAGAAGTGAAGTGACCGAACTGTAGTCCAACACAACGTTGCCTTCCTGAAGAGCCACAAAGTGTGCTTCATCATACTGGGTGAAACAGGCGTGATGGGGTGGGGGTAGGTGAGGGAGATAAGAGGGAGTGAAGAGGTGAGGTGAGAGGGGGTAGAGAGAGAGGGGGGTGGGAGGGAGGGAGGAGAGAGAGGAGTGATGAGAGGAGGTGAGAGAGAAAGAGGGGAGTGTGAGTGGGGGGGAGGGGTGAGAGAGAGAGAGGGGTAGGAGAGGGAGGGAATGAGAGAGAGTGAGTGAGAGGGGGTGGGTGGAGAGGAGGGAGGGGTGAGGAGAGGGTGGGTGGGGAGAGAGGGGTGGGGAGGAGGGGTGGAGAGAGAGGGAGTGAGAGAGAGAGGGAGGGAGTGAGAGAGGGGGGTGGAGAGAGGGAGGGAGGGAGAGGGTGTGAGAGGGGGAGGGGAGGGAGGGAGAGAGAGGGGGGGGGGTGAGGGGGGGAGGAGAGAGAGAGAGAGAGAGAGACTTTGGTACACACACACACACACCAAATAACGAAAAATAAATATAATATTGTCCCCTAATTCTTACACATTGAAACAAAAAAGGCATTAATTCCTTCTCTAGTAAACAACACCTTGATCCTGACAAAGATAACCTAACCCAACCTAATCCAACCCTAACCTAACCCAACCTAAGCTAACCTAACTACATCTGTTGCTACATCCTTCTACAGAACATCTTCTTTCGGTATGGACTGAAACACAACCTGCACTTCGCTCTGCCCCTCGTTGGCAACTATTTCGGAGGAGGGTTGCGGCCCTTCAATGCTGACATGCTCAAGGCTTCTCCCTGGAACAAACTCGGTGTTAATATCATGGCTGTTCATATGAAGTGGGATCATCAACAGGTGAGTATCCATGATAATACATATCAAAGTCAAACTGGATTTATGATAATTCAGCAACTTATTCACTTACGTTTTGACTCAATGATTCTCTCAAGTTTATAATGTGGATATAAATATAGACCATACGACTCAGTGCTTTATCTATTCTCTTTTGTTTTTTAATGTTTCTTGGACACCCCGATCAAACTCAGTCATTTGTACTGTGGGCTCTGGTCTGCGTGTTGGTCTTATTATATAATACTCAAGATACGTTTACTGCCCAGGGCTTATAAGTTTATCTCAGGTTGTCGTTTAGTGTGACGTTGTAATGGGAGAGTTTCTTTTCATTTTATATCCCACCTAAGCTGCCATCATTTGTAATGGGACGTTTTCCTTTACTTGTTATTATTTCAGACGTAGTCCTTTTATTCTTCAATACTTGATATATATACTTATTCTTATATATTCTTGCTTATATTCTTATATAAGTAACTTATATTTCTCTGCTTATATTTTCTAAGCCATGTTCTTCCTTTTCATTTTCTTTCATATATATTATATCCTCTTCAATATATTCTGTTCTAGTTATATTCTAAACCATTGATTAACCTGGGTAACCATGTCTTTGTTATTACCACACTTATTATACTTACAACGGTAGCCTGCCACCACCCAGACTTTTATTAGACTATAACATATCTTAGTTAACTGTTAGGTAGCGAGCTTCTAGGCACGTGAGTTAGTTATTTTCTGAGAACCAATGTGTGAAAGGATAGAGTGGTGATACTCGTAGTCTACCAGTTCAACATTTATTAACACAAGGAGTGAGCAAGATGTTAATCAAGTACACTCACCCCTGACTGGACCACTCAGGTCCCACTTTATCATTCATAAAATAGGGCTTCAGTTACTTATTATATCATTAAACAACTTCAATTACTTATTACATCATTAAACAACTTCAATTACTTATTACATCATTAAACAACTATTAAGTTCACTCAGACAAGATTGGACCCTCAGGTCTTACTGTACTATTGATAAAATAGATCCGCAATTACTTACACTTTTTATCCTCTACGCCACTGATCGGCTCGTTATCCTCTTGGGCGATCGGTCACGTCTCTGATTACTTTTCCTTTTCATTTATCCTCTTCACCAAAAGATCGGCTCGCTAGCCGCCCGGGCGATCGGTCACGTCTCTGCACGCTCTGTTGGCAAATACTGGGCATGCACCGGCTCCTGAATGTACCTGAACCCGCTCCAGTGTTGGTCGAGTCTTGTCTTAAGAGCTCGCACCGGTGCTGTCACAACACTCTCTGGTAGATTGTTCCAAGAATTTACAACCCTCACTCCGAAAATGTTTGCCCTCACAGTTTTCTGGACTTGCGGCTTCTTCAATCTTGAGCTGTGACCCCTTGTGGGCGGCGTCCGCCAGCTCAAGTAAGGACACTTCGACTGAGTAGTGCCCTCTGGGATGCTTATACCTCAACTAGGTCACCCCTTGCCCGACTGTAATATAAGCTAGGCAAGTTCAGGCGCTCCAATCTCTCAGGGTAGCTGAGGTGCCGATGCAGGCACCAGTCTGGTGGCCCTCCTTTGAACATTTTCAACCAACTGACAGTCCCTAGCATATCTCGGGGACCAGACGGGGTGACAGTACTCCAGATGGGGAAGCACTTCACTCTTGAAGTTCGTTACAAGGGACAGACCGTCTAGATATCTGAACGACCTTCTTATAAGACCCAATAGTTTATTTGCCTGGTTTACCTTCTTCTCGCAATGGCCTGAGAACTTCAGCTCATTGTCAACATACACACCTAGGTCCTTCTTGCATTCAGTCTCAACTAGTGCTTTAACTGTAATCAGACATATCTAAGTTGACTTAAAACAATGGTGTTCTCTCTCACCTTCAGATTTACTTTATAGAGAGGTTGGTTTCAGGAAGTCAGAGAAAATTTGAAAACGGACGACTCAGGTGTCTTGAAGTGATGAGAAAACGGACGCCTCAGAGGGGAGACTCAATAAAGAAGGCATAGCTACATGTTTTGTGAGCTATTGAGTTTAATATGAATCGTCTGATTTTACGTTAACTAACATGTCCGACTGTGGTCATTACAACGTAGCTTAACACATATCCTGAGTGTGTCTTACTTCGCAGGTGAAGAAGGTGATGCCCCTCGACACGGCCTTCGTCAGTATAGTCAGGGATCCTATAGAGCTGTTCGAGTCCCTCTATACTTACGTCAAGATGGACAAGGTTAGTGTTGTCTCTTCTTACTCCGTCTATCCACCATCATCATGCTAATTTCTATCTTTTCTTACTCTATTAGTTTTATTTTTTCTTTCCTTCTATTATGGAATTGTCATTTCTCACTAACACTCATTCCCTCCTGCTTTTCCTCAGTACCCCTTGACCTCTACTCTTCAAGTTGGTACTGTATTCTATTCATAATTTTAATAAGAATCATGAGTTTAATAGACCGATAGAATCCAATAGTATGGCTTACACTGTGAACCATATGAACTGATTCAAGTTATGCCAGAAGGGAACATTTTCATAAATCTGATAAAATATAAAAAATTACAAATAAACCCTAATTTAATCTGTAAACATGTATGTATTTATTTGTTTACTGAGATACAATGTTGTTTGACTTGTTTATTTAATGATTTGTGGGATAAAGACAGATACCTTGATTCCTAAACCCTTTAAATCCCTTTTAGGATTTTTACCTAAATATTAAAAACAATCTTATGATGTTCCTTGACTGTACTGTGTTTCCTCAGGCATACCACATGACGGTAGAGGAGTTCGCCCTGAATGTATCCATTGATGCTCCCAGACACCTGGGATACATTGGTTATAACCAGATGGTGTGGGACTTTGGCATTCCAGACCAGAAGCAAATATATAATCTCACTCATGTCAGTCAGCTGGTATGTTCTGTGAGAGATGGGATGTTAGAGACAGTGTGATTGTGAGCTATTTGTATTGTATTTTGTTCCCCTGTGAGTATATCAGGCTATGAATGGGAAGTTGTGAGTTGTTAGTATATCAGGCTACGAATGGGAAGTTGTGAGCTATTGTTTCTATGTCAGGCTCTGTATTGGAAGTTGTGAGTTATTGTTTCTATGTCAGGCTCTGTATTGGAAGTTGTGAGTTAGTTGTATATCAGGCTACGAATGGGAAGTTGTGAGCTATTATTTCTATGTCAGGCTCTGAATGGGAAGTTGTTAGTATATCCCATTGATCCAGGTGCTAATTCGTTTAGGGCGGGCGGGTCGTGTTGCGTCTCTGTAACAAAGCGTGTTCGGCATCCGGGCCTTCGATGTAGAGCGGCAGAAATTGGACAGTGATTACATAAGTTCGTCAAGATCGTCTTAGTGAGGTGAAAGTGTATACACAGTGATAGTTCATAGTGTCATCAGTGACCGCTGAAGTTGTAAATAACTTAAAGTGAGCGCTAACTAGCAAGCAAGCTGGAAAGGCACCGTGCCAGCTGAAACCAAGTCGTGTCATAGGTGCCACAGAGACTTTAAATTTTATTTTATGTTGATTGTGTGCTTGCTCAAGGACTGAAACTGTGCCTACAATACACCATTCACAGGGAGATACAGGGTACGCAGTCGCAGACGACAACTCCATAGGCAACAGAGAGTAGCTAAGTACTTTTTTCTCTCTTTATTTTCTTTGAAATAGGTGTAGATCTATACACAGTCTACACCCCCCCCCCCACAACAACAACAACCATGAGTTTGGTATGTGATTACTGCAGGGAGACGTCGGATATGGAGGATGCAGGCCTAACTAATGCAACGTCTAGGAAGTTACTAACTGCCGTAAAGCTTGATGGCTGTTGCTGGTATTGCCCTGGCTGCATAGTCAAGGTGAATGAAGCGATTGCAATCCATAAGGGAACGAGTTCTCTAGGGACGAAAATAGATGAAGCAGGAGCCCTGCTGGTTGACAAACTGGAGCAAGTTGAGAAAGAGATCCTTGCTAAGACTGAGGAAGTAGCTAATAGAATGGGGGTGGTTGCTAAGAGGAGCTATGCGGACGTATTAGGAGGGCCACGGGTGGGGGGGGCGGAGAGTAATGCAGAATCAGTACAGGTTCTACAGCAGATTGGGACTCTGAAAAAGTGTGTCGAAGAAATGAAAATTAACGGACCTACTGTTAGGGGAGAGGAGGAACACCAGGAACGGCTCCAGCGCAGGAACAATGTAATAGTTTTTGGAGTCCCAGAGAGCCAGGCAGAGGGAACGGTGAGTAAGGAAACACACGACAAGGTGCTGTTTCAAAATATTTGCACAGAGGTTCTGAAGATTCCAGCAACCCCTCAGGATGTGAGGAGACTGGGACAAAAGCAGGGGGCTAAGCCTCGCCCCCTCAGGATCACATTAGGGAGTGAGGAGGAAAAATGGCAAGTTATCCGGCAGGCAAAAAACTTAGCAAGGAGCGAGGCATTTCGAGATGTATTTATTCACCCAGACCGCACGGTAATGCAGAGGGAACAGCACAAGAAGCTCCTGCTGGACTTGAAGCAGAGGAGGGAGGAGTCGAGAAGGAACGGGGACAGGTGCACATGGGTTATACTCAGGGGGAGGGTAGTGGAAACAAGTGTGCCGACACAGGGCCAGGGGGCAGCAGTGCACCCTCCACCCACTCAACCCCCCACCCGGGAGGCGGCACCAGCTCAGCCTACCGGACAGGAGGAAACGAGCGCCGTGTAAACAACGAAATTTTTAACCACACCCTGCAAAATACAGTGTACTTAGCAAATGCTGCAGCTTCTGAGAATGTGGGTGGAGCGGGTTTATTACTAAGAGCAGAGACGTTACCGAGAACAAATTCTGGCTTGAATGTCATGTACACTAATACCGACACGTTCCTGGATAAGAGGGAGGAGTTTGAAACACTACTAAGAGTACACCAACCAGATATTGTAGGAGTTGTAGAACTGTTGTACAAGAACAGGAGAATCGACCCAGAGGAATGTGAGTTCAGTATTGCTGGATATGACTCATTTACGAACCTAACTCAAGAATCCTGCAGGAGGGGTGTGGTTATCTACGCTAGGCAAGACCTGAGAGCCAGCCAGGCGAGGGTACAGGGAGAGGATGTCTTTGAAGAGTCCAAGTGGTGTAAAATTAAATTAAAGGGAGGGGACTTACTTATCGTCGGGTGTATCTACAGATCCCCGAACTGTGGCCCACTAAATCAAAGGAACTTAAGAACCTTAATAAACAATGCGGCGATGCTCAACCCCAGCCACCTCCTTATCATGGGGGACTTTAACTATGGCGACATCGACTGGAGAAACGAGTCAACCCCGAATGACTTGAATAATCCTGCTACTCTTTTTGTAGAAACTCTGAGAGATACTTTTCTGTTCCAACATGTGAGAGACCCGACACATTACAGAGGGGAGCAAACACCCAAGCCACTTGACCTCATCATAACAAACGAGGAGGGTATGGTGGCCAAACTGGAACACCTTGCCCCAGTTGGCACCAGTCACCATACAGTGTTGTCATTCAGATTTAACTGTTACCTAGTTCAAGATAAGGCCAGGCCAAGGTGCAAATATTACAAGGGAAATTACAATGGGATGAGGGAAGAGATGAGAGGTATCAACTGGCCTGACTTATTAAGGTACAAGAACGCAGACACTACGCTGAATATCATAACTAGTAAAATGACCCATTTGATCGATAAATATATACCCAAGACCAAACCCAGTGCTTCTAGGAATACGAGGGGATCCCTACACATGAACCATGCGGTGGTCGACAAAATTAAGAAGAAAACCCAGAAATTCAAGACGTGGGTTGGGTCAAACGATGAGCAAGACAGGAGGATGTATGCAAGAGCCAGAAACCAAGCAAAGATAGAGTGTAGGAGGGCTGAAAAGGAGTTCCAAAGGCTGGTTGCACGCGAGGTCAAGTCAAACCCAAAGGCGTTTTACCGCTATGCAAAGTCGAAATTGAAAACGCGAGTAGGAGCACCTTCCTGTTTTGAGGACAGACGGTTCGACACAGCACTGACCCACATTGTGTTCACAGAAGAGGGTATTAGAAATAAACTGTCCAGGCTAAAGGTCCATAAGAGTCCTGGACCTGACATGGTGCATCCTAGAGTGCTAAGGGAGCTGTGCAACGAGCTTGCAGAGCCCCTGAAGATTCTGTTTTGTAAATGCCTGGATGAACAAATGGTCCCCAGTGAATGGAAAGTGGCTTATGTGAGTCCTATCTTCAAGAAGGGCGATAGGCACTCCACGAACAACTATAGACCGGTGAGCCTGACCAGCATAATATGTAAAGTACTTGAGAGTATTATCAGAGATGCAGCGATGGAACATCTACTACGAAACAACCTTGTAAAAGATTGCCAACACGGTTTTATGCCGGGGCGCTCTTGCTTGACACAATTGCTCAAGGTATTGGATATTTGGACCCATATTCTAGAACGTGGTGGTAATATCGACAATATTTACCTAGATTTTGCCAAGGCTTTCGACAGTGTACCCCACGAAAGGCTGAAAATCAAACTGGAAGGGTACGGAATTCGGGGAAATGTCCTAGCGTGGATAGAAGACTTTCTACATGACCGCAAGCAATGTGTGGTGATTAATGGCACGAAATCGTCATCTGTACCTGTAACAAGTGGGGTACCGCAGGGTAGTGTATTGGGCCCGCTGTTGTTTGTTTGTTTCATAAATGATATGCCTGACGTTGTACACTCCTCCATACAAATGTTTGCCGATGATGGCAAGTTATTTCGGGAAATTAAGAACCAAGCGGACTGTGAAGAGCTGCAGAAGGACCTCTGTGGGCTCCAGGAATGGTCGAAGGAATGGCTGCTGAGATTCAATGTCACGAAGTGTAAGAGGATGCACCTGGGGCGTACCAACGGTAAGGAGGCGTACCATATGTCCCAACGGGATGAAGAAAATGTACTAGTTGAGACTGTGTGTGAGAAGGACCTAGGTGTGTATGTTGACAATGAGCTGAAGTTCTCGGGCCATTGTGAGAAGAAGGTAAATCAGGCAAATAAATTATTGGGTCTTATAAGAAGGTCGTTCAGATATCTAGACGGTCCGTCCCTCGTGACGATCTTCAGGAGTGAAGTGCTTCCCCATCTGGAGTACTGTCACCCCATCTGGTCCCTGAGATATGCTAGGGACTGTCAGTTGGTTGAAAATGTTCAAAGGAGGGCCACCAAACTGGTGCCTGCACTTCGGCATCTCAGCTACCCTGAGAGATTGGAGCGCCTGAACTTGCCTAGCTTATACTACAGACGGGCAAGGGGGGACCTAGTTGAGGTTTATAAGCATCTCAGGGGCACTACTCAGTTGAGTGTCCTTACTTGGAGCTGGCGGACGCTCGCCCCACAAGGGGTCACAGCTCAAGATTGAAGAAGCCGCAAGTCCAGAAAACCGTGAGGGCAAACTTTTTCGGAGTGAGGGTTGTAAACTCTTGGAACAATCTACCAGAGAGTGTTGTGACGGCACCGAGTGTGAGCTCTTTCAAGAGAAGACTTGACCAACACTGGAGCGGGTTCAGGTACATTCAGGAGCCGGTGCATGCCCAGTATTTGCCAACAGTGCGTGACAGAGACGTGACTGATCGCCCGGGCGGCTAGCGAGCCGATCTTTTGGTGAAGAATATAAAGGAAAAGAGTCGTGACCGATCGCCCAAGCGGCTAACAAGCGGATCAGTGGCGAAGAGGATAAAAGTAAAAAAAAGGTGCTAGCTGCTGGTGAAAGGTGCTAACATCACCTTAATTTAATAATTGCTACAGGTGGCCACTAGGGAAAGAGGATTGACCTGATAATGACTGGAAGAGTGCAGTGTGTAGTGACGGCCGATGTGCCACTACGTCTTAGAGTACATTACATCATTTACCCATAAGAAAATATATTGAGTAATGTGCTTAGTCCAGTCCTTGCATGTGATCAGATCTATAAAGCATCATGAACATTACCAGTAACTTCTATTAATATTGTTTATTTCTTTATGTTTACACGATCTTGGTAGCATTTATACGAGTCATGAGTAATATTTATTAGGTATGGAGGATAACTTTTATATATATATCGAGCATAAGAGGACTAATGGATAATAATTGTGTCATGGGTAACAGGTATAAGGTGTATTACAGGTGAGGGAGGCGGAGGAGAAGTTTGACCTGGTGATGGTGGCGGAAAGGATGGAGGAGTCCCAGGTCCTTCTCAGTCACCTTCTCTGCTGGGACCTGAGGGATGTCATTGTTCTCAAACTCAATGCTAGATCCTCCAAGGTTAGGCTCCTGCAGCTCTTGTTCTTGTTCTGTATCCTACAAAGAGAGACAGAGATAGAGCTATTCTTTTAGCTTAGAAGAGATAGAGAGAGAGAGCTATTCATTTGTCTTAGTAAAGAGAGAGAGAGACAGACAGACAATGAGCTGTTCTTTGTCCTAGTAGAGAGAAAAAACTTTTATTTGGTACCTTGCTCCTCAACCTCTCATATAGCGTACACTTATATAGTATTACAAATTATTTTTATAAGTTGAAGATAACAATTTACTTATACTTATGTAGTTGGACATTTTCACCTTCTTGTTCCCTGTTTTACATAGATTTGTGATTTATACATGAATGCCAAAACAACTGGGGAAGACAAGTACTTTTAAAGGCAAAAATGCGCTTGCTACAAAAAGTACAGTACAAGATCTGCAAAATATTAAGCTAGACAATATAACACAACGGATGAAGGATTTTGACAATCCCACCGAGACCTGGGGAGTCGCAGTGTTCATTTTGACATATCAGACTCAACCTTGCAGATACTTTCTGTAGCGAGTGTACACTCTATTGAATATTGAATGCAACTCACAAAATATATCATATTCAGTTAGGTGATTACCATATACAGTATCTGTCTTATCATACTGTACTTTAAAGGGGTCTAATCTTATGTATTACTGTGCAGTACTGTACTGTGTTCACTCACACCAAAATTTTCAACTTAGTTTTACAGATCCCATCATGGATGAAAAAAAATCCAAATCAAGGTGCATTAAATCTCTGGTGATGTACCTGGTGTTATTTCCAAGTGTGCAAATGGAATGTACCAATATTGTACACCTTTTTACCATTAAGTCTGAACACCATTACACTATTACATGAGGTCTTAAAAATTTACTTGTCGTCAACAGTTCAAGAAGGCCATGAGTGAAGAGTCACAGAAGGTACTCCGTGATAAGCTCGCCCCGGATTACCTGCTCTATAGGACCTTTGTCAAGAGACTGGACGAGTTAGTGGAGGACTTTGGGAGGAAGCGCATGGCCCGTGAGATAACCAGGCTAAGGGCACTAACTAAGCAGCTGATGGACACGTGTGAGTTTACGAAGGTGTCGTCTAATCTGATGACGGGAGCTAATAAACCCTGGTCCAGCATGGTGAGTTATGGTGATTATTCTTATGCAACCATATGTTTATACCAATGACATCATCTAGCCATGGTATTGTATGGTGATGATGTGCTTATAGCACTGGGCTATTAGTTCAACTATCATGAAGCTAGATAAAGAGCCAGGGAGATGAAGTCAGAGCTGGGAAGATGAAGTCAGAACTGGGGAGATGAGGTCAGGATTATTGATATCCATTAATATGAAGTCAGACCCCCAGGAGTTGTGGTAAAAAGGGAACTAATACAGTAAGGTATTTGGTTCACAGGTGGATGGATACAAACCAAGTGCAGGCAGCAGCAAATGTCAGCAATTTTCAAGGTCAGAACTTTCCTTTATAAATTTCCTTCGTGGTCTGCAGAGAAGTGAGGTGTCCCGTAGGTGAGTATAGTCTTCCTGCACCTGTTTAAATATTTGGCTTGTTTTAGTGATCCAACTGTAATAAGTGTTGGATCCTCTTTGTTATAGTTGTGTATTTCTTGGTATGATACACTTTCTTCCATCCATTTGTTGATATTGAGCTGCGAGATATACATTATAAAGAATCAGATAGAGATGGATAGGTCGAGAAATAGATTGAATCACAAGTACATTACACAGATGAAATTCTAAATAGACTAATAGATACATAGGTGGGAAAATTTTTTTAACGTGTTCACAGCATATCAACATTACCGGCAGATTTGGTTTACCGGACAGTCTTGGCCTTGATGCACTTCCCCTTGGACCACAACTCTTCGAGAACCCAGCCAGCCTTACCAATCGAATAAATGCATTGAAGAAAATGTTGGTGTATAAAGAAAACGCAGCGAAAGAGAGTGGCGTGTCAGGGCCCAGTACAATAGCTACAGTGGAGACAGCTGCATTAGGGGAAAAGTAAAAGAAAAAACGAAATATGAAGTGGAAATGACTGGTAGGCAAGGGTGAGACCAATCTCTCTAGTATTGTATTGTAAATGTCCAAGTGTAGTTAAGTAAAGTAATATCTCGTTAGCCAGAATCCACGTGAGCAGGAATTCTCCAATACCCGGAATTTAAATTTAAGATTTCCAGAAACTCCCCAAATATTTTTTTCCAGGTCTAGTAGCAAATTCCGAGGGTGAAGTAATGTGTCGTTCTGGAAAATCCCGAGAAAATTTCAGAAACTCCAATTTTTGTTCCGTGTCTGGGAGCAAATTCCAAAGATGAAATATTACGCGTTTCCATAAAACTCCAAGAATATCTTCCCAAGACTCGGAAAATCTCGGGGATGTGGAATTCTTCTGGGTATGAGAGTCATCTTGTTACCGGGAAATCTTTCATCCCTGGAAGAGCTCTGCACCAATTACTATGGCTGACGGGGACATCACTATACCAAGAGGGGCAGAGTTTACTAACTTTATCTCCTGACAAATGCTTGAGTCTGAAGGTGATCAACTAAAAGAAAAGAGATATGGGAATAGTAGACAGTACAGTAGTGGGAATATATTGACGAAATCCTATGGTTTGTGTGTGTGTGTGTGTGTGTGTGTGTGTGTGTGTGTGTTGATATTCACCTTTACTATCTGTATGTCATAGTTTTTTCTAACTAACCATCAGGATTGGTATAATTTCTGTTCATATTTTTGTTATTTTGTTGTCATCAGTCTTGTCTTAGATTTTCTTCATCTTAACTAACATTTTAGCTTTTGTTTGCTGTAATATTGATCTCACTTCCTGTAGTTGAGAGCTCACTAAGATCTTATAAAAGCTAGGATTGGTCAGAGAAAAGAGAAGACTGCACTACTGTATACCAATTCTCAGTGATTTGTAAGGTAATTTTCCCTTACTGCTGTTGTGAGAATGCATTAACTACCTCACCTAAACTACAATGCAAAGATGGATTTTCAAAGACACTGTATGTACATGTTATCCTTTCCTAAGGTTATATTTTGTAACATCTACAGCTGCTACAACAACTACTTGTGTAGGTTTGTGACATCTTTTAGCGAACTGTGTATCATTTGGTTTTCTTAAACGAGGCGGAGGGGGGTTACATAGGCGGGTTAGCCCATACTATAAACAACGGCAGATGTTACGACCCACAATGAGGATACTTCTAACTTTCTCTCGTACTGTACAACACCAAGATGATGAGAACCAGTGTCAAATTTGTTCCTGTGTATCTGTTGTAATGAAATGTGTTATGTTATACCCAGACAGGCTCCCCGCTGAGCTGAATAAAATCATCTGACGTTAACCTAATGAAACATTAAAAGTGGCGTCCCCATTGTGAAGGGGTTAAGAATCCATGGTCTTTTAGGGGATGTGTTAGGAGTTCCCTTAAGTGTAAGGCCCTTTAACAATGAACCTCATCCTCGTGGTTTGGTTAGGTTAGGTTTGAGCACTACCTAAGCATTTTGAGTTGCATCATCCAGCTATATGAACACCAAACCTGACTAACTCGGAGAAATGGGTGAGAAGCCAACACCTACATGACTCAAGAACAGGTCATGATGTATTTTATAAGAAAGAAAAGCTTATGTATGTAGAATCTATTAGTTTAGTACTGTAGTAGATATAGAATTTATTTCATATGTTTAGAATTGTTGATTATTGTTATACTGTAGTGTAGTGTTGATGTAGATTTTGTTTATTTTCACAAATAGGAAAGATGGAAATCAATTTTTTAAACTACCGGTACAGTATATACTTACTGTATATGGGGAGTGTATCTCACTGTTGATTGGCTGTGTGATCAATGTTGTGATAAATTTTATTGTCTGTGATATTGTGTCTGGCCGGGTATGGTTTACATGTCATAAATAAAATGTGTGTTTGTTCTGTGCAATATATTTACTTTGTCCTCTGTTGTACTGTTCATCACATTATGTGCTGTATAGCTTGTTTATTTCTGTGTCTATACCGTGCAGCTTCAGTTAATGTGGACTGGTGTGACAATTATCCTGAATAAATATTGATGTATTTAGTGTAAAGACAAGTACTTTCACTTTGTAGACAAAAGATCTCAAGTCTGATTTCTGGTCAGACGGGCTTACAGTGGTTATGGTGAACAAGTAGATAAATATTTATTATAGTAAAATCATCATACAAGTTTGCATTGGCTCATCATGTATAGTGTAAACATACAGACAATCATGAACTGTGAGTTAATACAGTACAGTACAACTAAGGATAGCCTAAGAATGAGTGAGTTGTTTGAACATCTTGGGGAGGGGTATTATTTAACAACCCACCAGCTAAGTTAGTCAGTGACATATAAGTTTTTGGAAAGGAGGGAGGGGAATGGCCCAACCCTTCCTCCACCTATACACCTCTGAAGCTAGCACATACTTGTCTCAAATATAAAATGATAACCATATTCCCTAGACGGTAGATTTTTTTGCGGAGAATTAGTAATTTTTCAAGAAACAGTAAAAGCTACATGTTAACTACTTTGTTTGGGCCTTGTGTGTACTCTGTGATAAGATAATAATCATTGTGTAAGTATGATGAGGATAATTCTTGTCAAAATATATAACATCAGAAAATATCATTTATGAATAAGTTTACCCTAAAAATCTACAAATTCAAAGAAAATTTTCCCGAAAAGAAAGAAGGGTAACTATAGCAACTCATTCATGGCGGTGAAACCATTCTTCCTTCTACTTTTATCCTCTTCACCACTGATCGGCTCGTTGAAGAATATATAACACCATGACAATTAAGCCTCAGAAGAATGGATAATTTTTAACTGTTGCTAAATATGTGACAAAATTTCAGTAAAATTTAGACGAAATGCGGTTCATAAGAAAGATATAAAGTGTATCGCGTTTAGCAAAAGTTTTTCTTCAATATTATAACTTCCAGTGCAGCATGAATTAGTATTTAGTAGTTTAATCTAATTTAATTACATCATAATTTCATGTATTTTATATAATTTCTCGCATTTTGTGTTAAATCAGTTTTTAAATATATGTTATATGTTGGTTACCTCCAGCAGGTGCAGCGGGAAAAGTAACTCAAATAAGAGGCGGAAGTGTTGTCTTGTTATCAGTGCTTCAAGCTTATTTTTCATCTGATTTACTCAGGTAGGAACTCTGTTTTGTCTTATATTATTTACTAAAATCTACAGGCAAACGACAGTCGTAGAATAGATGGATAAAATATGATTATAAAGTTATTTGGGCCATTTATACGTGGCTATTATGTTTTATCTAACTTATTAACTCCCGGTTGGTGGGGCTGTACAGGTCAAGGGCTGTGTCATGGAGGTGTAGGAACTGTAGGTACTCCACATGGTAAACAAATCGGACTTTAATTAAATCCACTCGGTAATATTTTAGCTTCATTATGTAGATTTATTGCCTCTACTGGGAAAGAATGTCGATGTAAATATATGGAGAGTAGTCCTGATTGATACTGCTTACGTAAGATAGATAGGTATAATTAACACAGTACCTGGCTATATTAATGTACTGACTAATATGTGCTCCAGTTAACGAATATTTTGTTATTGTGATAAACATTATCGTAGAAGACATGGAAGAAACATAGTTATAAACAGTTTTTGGGACCACTGCTATTCTAACACCCTTGTCTCTGTCCAAACTCGTAGCCTCTATCCCAACCCCCAGTCTCTCGTTAATGTATTTCCCCATCCAATTACTTAAT